GTAACAACCCTACACTACCATGCGGGGATATGAAGGAAACTCCATGTAACTTCCGTTTTAAAACAACAGAAAAAAGGATTTCATTTGTGCAAAAATCTTTGCAAAGGACCTTTTATTACAAATGTAAAGGATTTGCATAATTTTTGCATTTATGGTTGTTCGCTCTCTCCCTCTCTCTCTTTCGCTACACAAGCATGCGTCACAGACTACCGCACACATGATACTGCCACAGATGATGGTGCCACAATGCCTGGAGGGTTGCTGCCACAGCCTCTGTTATGCAAATGACCTGTCGCGTTTGCGCACACGACAAAATTTCACCGTGCGGATTTACGAAGCAAAAAGAAAAGGCATGGTTCATGTTTTAATGGTATGCTAATTTTTTGTTGTTGCTGCTGTTCAATATTCGGTGCTGATCGAACGAACAATCGATTGAACAACGAAATCCATTGGCAATTGTGCGTACAGGACTAACGAAAAGGATATGCTGGTGTATGTTTTTGGATATTGATTACAGTGAAAAAAGGTTATCCTTTTTTATTTTTCTGTACATTTGTTCGATTGGCAAAATTGAAAATTGAAATGAAACGAAAAACAAAACAAAAAAATCTGCATAAAAATGGTAACAAAGGACCTGAACGCATTTCGTAGGTTGTCATAAATTCAAAAACGTAATTTCAAATCGTTCGTTTTGTTTTATGTGAAAGGCTCTTTGTGATATCCTTTTTGATATATTTTTTGAATATTTGCATATATGTATGTATTTCATAGAACGTAGTTATGAAAGATGGCCTTGTTTTCTGATTGCGCTATGGATTTATGAATTTTGATTTGAGAGATCATCGTGCGTGTTTGTAATGTAATTGAACTTGCCAATACATATAAATTAATTTAGGCCTAAACAAATATATAAATTGGACCTATGGAACAAACTTGGACTTATAATTCGGACAATTTTTAATAGGATCTCATAACTAAAATTCGAAATTATTACAAGGCGTGGATTTTTTAAAGAATATTTTTTCAAGGATTATTACAAGGCGTGGATTTTTTAAAGAATATTTTTTCAAAGACCATGCGTGTATTTTATTAATAATATTGTTTTTAAGGACGTGGATTTTTTAAAAAATATTTTTCCATATAACTTAAAAAAGTCGCAATTTTTTTAAAAAAAATTGTTTTTAAGGACGTGGATTTTTTAAAAAATATTTTTCCATATAACTTAAAAAAGTCGCAAATTTTTTTAAAAAAATTGTTTTTAAGGACGTGGATTTTTTAAAAAATATTTTTCCATATAACTTAAAAAAGTCGCAATTTTTTTTTAAAAAATTGTTTTTAAGGACGTGGATTTTTTTAAAAAATATTTTTCCATATAACTTAAAAAAGTCGCAAATTTTTTTAAAAAAATTGTTTTTAAGGACGTGGATTTTTTAAAAAATATTTTTCCATATAACTTAAAAAAGTCGCATTTTTTTTTTTTTAAAAATTGTTTTAAGGACGTGGATTTTTTAAAAAATATTTTCCATATAACTTAAAAAAGTCGCAATTTTTTTAAAAAAATTGTTTTTAAGGACGTGGATTTTTTAAAAAATATTTTTCCATATATCTTAAAAAAGGCGAGGATTTTTAAGAAACATTTTTTCAAGAACCTTAAAAAAGCGAAGATTTTTTAAAAAATATTTTTCCAAGGACCTAAATAAAGCGTGGATTTTTTAAAAACATATTTTTTCAAGGACCTATTCAAGGTGTGGATTTTTTAAAGAATATTTTTTGGAAGAGATGTAAGAGACGTGGATCGAAAAATGATCGAAAGTTTCCATAGAAATAATAGACCTCAGGACTGACGTTCCGATTTTTTCTATAGGAAAAAATAGACCTCAGAACTTAGGCTGCGATTTTTTCTATAGAAAAAATATACATTAGGATTTTTTCTGTAGGAAAAATAGACCTCTGGTCTGAGTTTCCCATTTTTCTATAAAAAAAGATCTCAGATCTGAGGTCCCGATTTTTTCTATACTGAGATTCCGAATCAAGGACCTAATCAAGGTGTGGATTTTTTAAAGAATATTTTTAGGAAGAGATGTAAGAGACGTGGATCGAAAAATGATCGATGATTCCTATAGAAAAAATAGACCTCTGGACTGAGGTTCCGATTTTTTTCTATAGAAAAAAATAGACCTCAGGACTTAGACTCCGATTTTTTCTATAGAAAAAATATACATTAGGACTGAGGTTCCGATTTTTTCTATAGGAAAAATAGACCTCTGATCTGAATTTCCCATTTTTTCTATAAAAAAAAGATCTCAGATCTGAAGTCCCGATTTTTTCTATACTGAGATTCCGATTTATAGACCGGAAAAATATAGACCTCATAACTGAGATTTTATTTAGGTTTCACTATTAAAAATCCTAAGAACTGAGATTCAGATTTGTTCCTTTAAAAACTGAGGTCCTACACCTCAGAGCTGAACTCCTATTTTTTCTATAAAAAAATAAGATAGGCCACATAACTGTGGTTCCGATTTTTGTCTATAGAAAAAAAAAACTCAATTGAGGTTCCGATTTTTTCAATAGAAAAACTGCCTCGGAATCTAGGTTCCGATTTTCGTCTACAAAAAAATATACATTAGGACTGAGGTTCCGATTTTTTCTATAGGAAAAATAGACCTCTGATCTGAATTTCCCATTTTTTCTATAAAAAAGATCTCAGATCTGAGGTCCCGATTTTTTCTATAGAAATAATTATAAAAAATATCTCGTAACTGAGATTCCGATCTATAGACCAAAAATATAGACCTCATAACTGAGATTTTATTTAGGTTTCACTAGCAAAAATCCTAAGTACTGAGATTCAGATTTGTTCCTGTAAAAACTGAGGTCCTACACCTCAGAGCTGAGCACTTATTTTTTTCTATAGAAACATATGATAGACCACATTACTGAGGTTCCGATTTTTGTCTATAGAAAAAAAAAACTCAATTGAGGTTTCGATTTTTTCAACAAAAAACTCCTCATTATTGAAGTCATCCGATTTTTTTCTACAGAAAAAAGTAGATAACATTGCTGAGGTTCACATTTTTTCTTTAAGAAAAACCTTTAAAACTGAGATTCCGATTTTTTAGAAAAAAAAAATAACACAGAACTGAAATTCCGATATACCGTATCCTAGAATGATATTCAGATTTTTTAGAAAAAAACTCAGAACTGAGATTCCTATATTTTTTCATAAAAAAATAGACATCATAACTGGAGTTTGAATTTAAATCCAATAGAAAAAATACACCACATAATTAAGATTCAAATTTGTTTTCTATAGAACAAAGATTCGAATATTGTCTAGAGTAAAGATAGCGATTAAAAATAGGTCTAGTATCAGAGAAAAAATTGGTCTCATATCTGAGGTTCGACTCAAAACTGAAAATTGATTTGTTTTCTATTAAAAACCCTCATAGCTGATATTCGACTATTAATTATAGTTCGATTTTTTTATAAAAAAACACTCATAACTACAAATAAAAATTAATCGGAACTGAGTTTTGACTTTTTCTATAAAAAAAATCTAAATTTTTTCTTAAAGACAAAAATATTTGAGATTGAGTTTCGATTTAAAAAAAAAAAAACACATTATTATTTTTTTATAGAAAAAAATCATTGTCACAAATCCTGACCTTCCCAAAAACACCCTCCAGCTAGGTCATGGTCTTCTTAATCAAGTGAAAAATATCGACAAAAATTCCCACACAAAAAAACTGCAAAAATTCCACCAAAAAAACTCTCATTTTTTTCTCCTCAAAAATCTCTCTCTCTCCCCTTCTCTTTCACCCTCCAATAAAACATACATGAGATAAAAAAACTATCCCAAATGCGAATGAATTCCTACACTCCTGTTGGTTGAAACAGTCGGAATTTTTTAGCAAAAAATCATGTTTTTGTCGAAATATTAGCATGTCTCGCCATACCATTGGTTGAAAACTCCCCGAAAAAAAAACTGAAAAATAAAATATTTCAAGAGTCCCAAATGGGAACCAGCAGACAAGCAATTTTTTGCGCGCTCTATAACAATGGGAATGTATTTTTTTTGCCAAAGGACAAAGGAAGTGTAGCAAAAACAACAACAACCATAAACATAATAAGGGATGAAGTTTTTATGGAAGCTACAACGCAAAACTGGCCTTCAAAAGAGTTGTAGAGGAAAACCAGCAAACAAAAAATAACGTTTAAAAAATAGGAAGCAAGGATGAATGGATGGACGGACAAGAGACCAGCCAGACAGGACATTCACAAGCAACCCCTTTTTGTGGTGCTGACAAACTAAAGAGAGTTTCGGGGTTTTTTAAGGCTCTCTTATTTTTTAGAATCACACACACCAAGGATCCTATTTTCTCCGTTTCTTCTGTCTCTCTTTTTCTCTCGCCTTCTTTTTTAGGGAAGTTTTGTTGATGATTTTTTTAAGAGAAAGAGAGTGGCGATCTCATGTCTCATGTTTTGTTCCTTTAAAAAAAGAGCATTGTGTGTTACAAAGGGAGAGGGTTGTTTGTGTGTGCGTTTTTTACTAAAGAGATCTTTTTATTGCTGATGAAAATTTTTGCTATATTAAGCGCTCGCCGTTGAAGAGTTAAATCAGTTTGAGCTCAACAGCCAAGCTTGAAATAACACTCTTATTTCGCCTTTACCGAACGTTGAATAGAAATAGAAATATTTCATTATTTTACGTGAAGTGACAAAACACACACATACAAAAAACCACCAAAAATATAAAAAGGATTATTACCATACACCCAAAGAAAAATCTCTGTTGGATTATTACAAAAAAAATCATTAAAAAAATAATCAAAAAATATTTGATTGTTGTGAAAAATTGGCAAAAAAATATAACAAAAAAATTGTGCAAAAAAAATTTGAAATCAAAAAAAAATAATTTAAAAAAAAATAAAAATTAAAAAAAAAATATTTTTTTTACAAAAAAGTTTGCCAAAAAAAAATTGAAAAAAAAACTAAACATGTCTACCCAAATGGAATTCATAATGCAATTATATATGATGAATTTATTACAACAACAACAGCAACAATTGCAACAAAATCAGCAACAACAGTCACAATTTGCCCTGAGTCCGGTGAAAACCAAGGAATTGGAATCCCTAAACACAGCAACACCCACCAATTTAAGGACCCAGCAACGCAAACTGTCACAAAACACCAACACCAGTAGTAGTAGCCGTAGTTGTAGTCCCAATAGTAATTTGAGTCCGCAATTACCACCAACACCTTTGACTGTTCCTCAACTTTCCCTGCAACAGCAACTACTATTGCAACAACACCAACAGCAGCAGCAGCAACAATCTCAGGCCATGAATCCCATGTTGTTAAATAATTTGCCGGCCTTGACCCAATTCATGTTAATGCAGCAGCAGCAACAACAACACCAACAAATAACCTCCTCCAATCTCCTGCTAACACCCACCACACCCAATTCCTCCTCCACAAATTCATCATCCTGCACGCCCTCCTCCACCTCCCTAATGGCCGGAAATTATTTAGGCAACTCATTTGGGGTTTATGGAGCAGGAGGTTCAACTACTGCTGGCTTTTCTGCAACACCACCTCCTCCCTCCCACTCTGCTTCCGCTTCTCTTTTCTTTCCCTCTTCTGCTTTTCCAGCACAAAATTCTAGTTCTTTTATAGCCTCCAGCACCTCACCATGCACCAATTTTCTTCAATCATCTACAGTGACATCGACACCAAATGCCGCCGCTGCCTCCGCAAATTTGGTTGCCTCTGTTGATGCTCATAGTGTAGACGAAGAAGAAGAAGACGATGTGAAAATTATTAAAACCGAACAATTGGATACCGAACAGGATGTCCATAGTTTGGCTAATTCCACTATCGGCCTCAGGCCATTGGAATTGACCTCGGATTCTATGGAGGATTCCAAGCAAATGGTAAGTGAAGGAAAATTTTATTTCAAAAATTATAAAAAAAATCTAGAAAAATTCTCAAGGCCCCATGTCCAAGTTTTTTTATAGAAAACAATTTGCAAGACCTCAGGTCTAAGTTTTTTATATAGAAAAAACTTCTCAAGACATAAGCCAAGTTTTTTCTATAGAAAAAAATTCTCAAGACCCCAGGTCCAAGTTTTTTCTATAGAAAAAAATTCAGGTCCAAGTTTTTTCTATAGAAAAAAAATCGCAAGACCCCAGGTCCAAGTTTTTTCTATAGAAAAAAATCGCAAGACCCCAGGTCCAAGTTTTTTCTATAGAAAAAAAATCGCATGACCTTCGCAAGACCGTAGGTCCAAGTTTTTTCTATGAAAAAAAATTTGCAAGGCCTCAGGTCGAAGTTTTTTCTACAGAAAAAAAGATTTTTGTATAAAAAAACATAGAAAAAATTCTGAAGATCTCAGGCAATTTTTTTCATGTGGAAAAATTCTCAATTTTTTTCCTTAGAAAAAATCTGAGTATTTTTTTAAATCCCTCATTATTTCCATTGCCTTTTTCCAACGATTATTTTTTCTTTCGAATCTTGTACCAAGCATGTGAACTTTTTTGTTGTTGTTTACAACAACAAAAACAATTAAAATTTGCTGGAAAAAAATCGGCAACATTATAACAACATTTGAACACTTGGACAATGATTTCGATTTTTTTCTTCAAAATCCAAACATAAACAAATCTCAAAACACATGCACAGATATTCCGAATATGGGTGGGCAGGAAATTTGAGAATCAGCAGCATAATAAAGAAAAGCAAAACACAATTTATCAAAAAAAAAAATCTCATTTTATTTTTTTTCTTTCTCTCTTTGCAGCCCTTTACACCCGAAAAATCCGATTTCTCTGTGAAACCCCTTGGAGACCATGATCCCTCAAATGTGACACCGGTGACATTGAAAAATGCCATTTTGACACCACCCTCTAGCGAACAGTTGTGTTCGAAGCAACACGGCAGTTCCGCATTTGAAGGCTCATCGTCTTCATCGGGTGGCATGAATAAATCATCATCGACGGCATCGAATTCTTCAGCCACCTCAGCCACCACCTCGGCCACCAATCTAACCGGTAGCACTTGCATTTCGGCGGCCACCGGTGTTGATAGTTTCCTTACCGAGGAAAATCTCAAACATTTACGTAAAAATTCCTCCTATTTGGAATGTGAAAATCCCCTATGTCGCCAGGAGAATCTTCGTGAACATTTCCATTGCTATGAGGAACCATGTCAGGGTAAAATTTTGAGTAAAAAAGACGATATCATCCGCCACTTGAAATGGCATAAGAAACGTAAGGAAAGCCTTTTGTTGGGTTTTGCTCGTTTCTCATCGTCGGATGATTGTGCCCCTGAATATGGTGCCGGATGTGCGTACAATTGGAAACAGACTCATTATCATTGTGTCTATGAGGAATGCCCCAAGGTGTACGTGAGCACCAGTGATGTTCAAATGCATGCCAATTTCCATCGTAAAAATTCGGAAATTGTTCAGGAAGGTTTCCGCCGCTTCCGCGCTCATGAAAATTGTAAAATCGAAGAGTGTCCCTTCTATGGCAAGAAGACATCGCATTATCATTGCTGTCGTGAGGGTTGCAATCATACGTTCAAGAATAAGGCTGATATGGGTAAGTTCCAAATCTAATATATATTTTTTAAAAATTCCTAGGCTCAAATTTTTTCTAAAGAAAAAAATTCTCAAAACCCCAGTTTCAAGATTTTTTCCATGGAAAAAATTCCAGGTCCAACTTTTTTTCTACAGAAAAAATTTCTCAAGACCACAGGACCAAGTTTTTTCTATAGAATAAAAATTCTCAAGACCCCGGGTCCAAATTTTTTGCTATAGAAAAAAATCTCAAGACCCCAGGTCCAAGATTTTTTTCCATGGAAAAAATTCTCAAGACCCTTGGTCAAAGTTTTTTCTATAGAAAAAATTCTCATGGCCCGATTATTACATGAAAAAGTCTCTAGAACCGCATTTTTCTCCTTAGAAAATATTCTCAAGACTTCTATCTAAGATTTTTCAATTTTCAGTAATTTAAAAAATCGAAATAATTTTCAAAATTTTAATATATATATATTTTTTTATTTTTCAATTTTTTTGCAGAAAAACACAAGGTCTACCACATGAAGGATCACCAGCTGACCCAGGATGGTTTCAAGAAAATTTTGAAAACCGAAAAATGTCCCTTCGACAATTGCAAATACTCGTGCGTTTCGAATCACATCCATTGTGTTCGGGAAAATTGCAATCACATTCTGCACTCGAGTACCCAAATGATTTCACACAAACGTAAACATGATCGGGCCGAGGGTGAACAAAATTATCAGCAGTTCAAGACACAAAGGGATTCCAGTGAAGAAGAGTCTCCCAGCAATGTAGCGGTAACGGCGGCAACTACCAAGTCGACTCTCAGCAGCAGTAATACCTCAACCCCATTGTCTTCGCTGTCGGCTGAACACTTTTTGGCCCGCAAACGTGGCAGGCCACCAAAGAAAATTGTAAGTAACAATGACAACAACAACAACGAAATTCAAAAATTTAATTCGAAAATTGAAAACTAATTTAATTTTTTTTATTTTTCCAGCAATTGCCCTCCGAAGTCAATGAAGCCAAACGTGTCAAATTGGAAGCCTCAGCTGACTCCAACTCGAACAGCTCAATTCCCAATGCCACGCCAGCTGCCACAGCCGCCAATCCTTTGGCCTCCACCACCATGCCTTTGATGAATCCCTTTATGGCCAATTTTAATCCTGCTGCCGGTGTAGATCCCAATGCTCCCAATTTCCAATTGACCCATTTGATGGCCCTGTTCCAATTGCAAAATCCTCTCTTCTATCAAAATCTTTATCCACATGGACTTACAGCTGCCAATATGGCCAATATCTTGGGTGCAGCCAATTTGCCAGCGGCCAATGCCAACATCAACACCACACCCAGCACCCAAGTTAAACAGGAATTCAATGAGAAACAGGAATTTAAGGAATGAACAGGGACTTAGGACTAGTTTTATTTGGTAAAAAAAAACATGGTTTAGGATCCAAAAAGGACTCCCCGGAAAAAAAATGTTTGGCTTTCGAACATTTTTTTGTTATGGTCCATAGACTTTAAAAACTGAGCGATCTTTTGTTAGATCTTTGGCCTAGAAGATCCTTGGAGATCGTTGATTTTGTTTCACAACTAGGCAAATGGGAATTTGGCTGGCTTATAAAGCTCGACAATAAGCTTAAAGCTTTAATTCCTTTGGGCGGAAAACAAGGGATTTAGATAGACAAAAATAATGAAAGAGCAATTAAGAGAGAGAAAGGATTTACTTATCAAGGACATGGTAATAGTCCGCATAAGTAAAAAAAAATCAGAAAAAATTAAAAATTTCTTTCAAAGGTTTTTTTTTTATTGAAAACAAATCCGAAAACCTTTGCAACAAATTTTTATTTATTTTCTTTTTAATTCTAACCTCACAAATGTTTTGATTTGAAATTTAATTTTTTTTCAAATCATTTCATTTGTTTAATTATTAATTATAATTTAAAAAAATTAAATAAAATTAAATTAATTTCTTAAAAATTTCCCACAAAAAAAAAATAACTGTGATTGTTTTGTTTAAAAAAATTGTGTTTAGAAACTATAAATTAATACATAAAAATAAATAATTAAGTAAATTAATTTGGCATAGTTAATCATGTAAATAATATTTGTATTACACAAACAAATTGTTGTTAAATTATAAATGAAAAAAAAAAATATTTATTTGAAAACAAAAAGAAATTTCTTTAACAAAGATGTGTGGAAAGGATTATTAAAAAAACTAAAAAGGGAGGTTATGTTGAATTGATTAAATTAAATAAATAATATCCGAGTGATCAGATTTTTTCCTATATGATGTCTTCCAATTTTTTTATAGAAAATTTTCAAGACCACAGGTCTTCTTTTTTTCTATAGAAAAAAAATTTGAAAAAAATTTGGAAGACCACAGGTCTTCTTTTTTTCTATAGAAAAAAAATTTGAAAGACAGCAGGTCTTCTTTTTTTCTATAGAAAAAAAAATTTTAAAGACAGCAGGTCTTCTTTTTGGAAGACCACTTGGAATTTGGAAGACCACAGGTCTTCGATTTTTTTCTATAGAAAAAAATTTGGAAGACCACAGGTCTTCGATTTTTTTCTATAGAAAAAAATTTGGAAGACCACAGGTCTTCGATATTTTACTCTAGAAAAAAATTTGGAAGACCACAGGTCTTCGATTTTTTTCTATAGAAAAAAATTTGGAAGACCACAGGTCTTCGATTTTTTTCTATAGAAAAAAATTTGGAAGACCACAGGTCTTCGATTTTTTTCTATAGAAAAAAATTTGGAAGACCACAGGTCTTCGATTTTTTTCTATAGAAAAAAATTTGGAAGACCACAGGTCTTCGATTTTTTTCTATAGAAAAAAATTTGGAAGACCACAGGTCTTCGATTTTTTTCTATAGAAAAAAATTTGGAAGACCACAGGTCTTCGATTTTTTTCTATAGAAAAAAATTTGGAAGACCACAGGTCTTCGATTTTTTTTTCTATAGAAAAAAATTTGGAAGACCACAGGTCTTCGATTTTTTTCTATAGAAAAAAATTTGGAAGACCACAGGTCTTCGATTTTTTTCTATAGAAAAAAATTTGGAAGACCACAGGTCTTCGATTTTTTTCGATAGAAAAAAATTTGGAAGACCACAGGTCTTCGATTTTTTTCTATAGAAAAAAATTTGGAAGACCACAGGTCTTCGATTTTTTTTCTATAGAAAAAAATTTGGAAGACCACAGGTCTTCGATTTTTTTCTATAGAAAAAAATTTGGAAGACCACAGGTCTTCGATTTTTTTTCTATAGAAAAAAATTTGGAAGACCACAGGTCTTCGTTTTTTTTCTATAGAAAAAAATTTGGAAGACCACAGGTCTTCGTTTTTTTTCTATAGAAAAAAATTTGGAAGACCACAGGTCTTCGATTTTTTTCTATAGAAAAAAATTTGGAAGACCACAGGTCTTCGATTTTTTTCTATAGAAAAAAATTTGGAAGACCACAGGTCTTCGATTTTTTTCTATAGAAAAAAATTTGGAAGACCACAGGTCTTCGATTTTTTTCTATAGAAAAAAATTTGGAAGACCACAGGTCTTCGATTTTTTTCTATAGAAAAAAATTTGGAAGACCACAGGTCTTCGATTTTTTTCTATAGAAAAAAATTTGGAAGACCACAGGTCTTCTTTTTTTCTATAGATTTCTAGTGATATTTTCAAGTGATTTTTTCGAGGAAAGTGGCAGCAGTCATAGTGGATTTTTATGGAAACCTTTTTTCGAGGACTACCAATGCAGTTATGTTGAATTTTTGAAATCTATTTCCTGATATATGGACCCTAAAATGTTTGTCCGAATTTCAATCCTGGTACATGTTACGGAGCTGAAAACTCATAATCAATTTATCAATTGCATTATTTTTCCAACTACCTGGTCCGGATGCCTGGAATTATGTTTTGATGTTTGAGCAATTACCGAGACTTCAAACTTCAAGACTGATTTTGTTCATCATTCCAATTGTATTAAAAATTATATTACTAGCCATTCTTTTCTTTATGTACTTAATTTATTTTATATTGAAATAAAAACCAATAAACAGATTTGAAAAGAAGTACTAACATGTTTTTTTATTTATTAATGGACGTCTGTTAGTGGGGGTTCTCAATATTAAGTTTCTTTGTGTCTGCCTCTAAAGCAGTAAAGTCACATGTCTATCCTCCTGGTTCCCTCCCAATGAATTAAAAAAATCCCAAAAATGTTGTGCATTTTTGGCAAATTTCACAAAAATACCAGGCGCCCAGAATTAAATAGCTAGTTGCCCGCCAAAAAATAAAAAATTCGAAAAATTTTGATCTGGCAACAACCTACCCGCGAAAAAATTCGAGCGCCTAAAAGTATGCTACACATTTTGTATTTTCTTAGTACGGCATTGCCAGATGCAAATTTTTCTACATTTTTTTTTTAATTTTTGGCGGGCTACTTTCTATTTTATGCTGGGCGCCTGGTATTTTTGTGAAATTTGCCCAAAAATGCCCTAAACCAAGCGATAGAAAAAATGTGACGTCATCACATCACATTTAGTGGCATGTATACTTACCATATTTTTTGTAACCATAAATAAAAACAAACAATTTTTTTTTTAAATTGGTTTTCTTTTTTATTAATTAAATATTCGTTGTATAAAATATATACATAATTAAAAAAAATATATAAAACATTAATTTTAGTAAATAATGTTCTTAACAACTAAAGCGATTTTTCGGACTCTCTTGAATTGCTTGCAATCCTTTCATGTAGAATTGGGAGATTGGGCGATTGGGAGAACTGGATAATTCCAAAAGACATAATTTTCGTTACAGTCGGGGAGGGTAAGCCATATTATAAACTTATTTGTAGATCGTTTTCGATTGCCATAATACGGAATTCCTGGAATGAAAAATAAAAAAAGATGAATTAAAAATATATTTTTAAGGTAAGAAATATGTTTGAAAGACCTGAGGTCTTCCGAATTTTTTCCTATAGAAAAAAAAGAAGACCTGAGGTCTTCCGAATTTTTTTCTATAGAAAAAAAAGAAGACCTGAGGTCTTCCGAATTTTTTTCTATAGAAAAAAAAAGAAGACCTGATGTCTTCTGAATTTTTTTCTATAGAAAAAAAAGAAGACCTGAGGTCTTCCGAATTTTTTTTCTATAGAAAAAAAGAAGACCTGAGGTCTTCCGAATTTTTTTCTATAGAAAAAAAGAAGACCTGAGGTCTTCCGAATTTTTTTCTATAGAAAAAAAGAAGACCTGAGGTCTTCCAAATTTTTTTCTATAGAAAAAAAGAAGACCTGAGGTCTTCCAAATTTTTTTCTATAGAAAAAAAGAAGACCTGAGGTCTTCCGAATTTTTTTCTATAGAAAAAAAGAAGACCTGAGGTCTTCCGAATTTTTTTCTATAGAAAAAAAGAAGACCTGAGGTCTTCCGAATTTTTTTCTATAGAAAAAAAGAAGACCTGAGGTCTTCCGAATTTTTTTCTATAGAAAAAAAGAAGACCTGAGGTCTTCCGAATTTTTTTCTATAGAAAAAAAGAAGACCTGAGGTCTTCCGAATTTTTTTCTATAGAAAAAAAGAAGACCTGAGGTCTTCCGAATTTTTTTCTATAGAAAAAAAGAAGACCTGAGGTCTTCCGAATTTTTTTCTATAGAAAAAAAAGAAGACCTGAGGTCTTCCGAATTTTTTTCTATAGAAAAAAAGAAGACCTGTGGTCTTCCGAATTTTTTTCTATAGAAAAAAAGACCTGTGGTCTTCCGAATTTTTTTCTATAGAAAAAAAAAAGACCTGTGGTCTTCCGAATTTTTTTCTATAGAGGTCTTCCGAATTTTTTTCTATAGAAAAAAAAGACCTGAGGTCTTCCGAATTTTTTTCTATAGAAAAAAAAAGACCTGAGGTCTTCCGAATTTTTTTCTATAGAAAAAAAGAAGACCTGAGGTCTTCCGAATTTTTTTCTATAGAAAAAAAGAAGACCTGAGGTCTTCCGAATTTTTTTCTATAGAAAAAAAGAAGACCTGAGGTCTTCCGAATTTTTTTCTATAGAAAAAAAGAAGACCTGAGGTCTTCCGAATTTTTTTCTATAGAAAAAAAGAAGACCTGAGGTCTTCCGAATTTTTTTCTATAGAAAAAAAAAAAGACCTTTTTCTTCCGAATTTTTTTTTATGAAGAAAAAGAAGACCTGAGGTCTTCCGAGGGGATATATTCCATGTTTCTTTGGATCAAATCCGTTTCAGACAAATGTCCATCTGATCGTATGGTTAGGTGGTTGGTATACACGATAACTCTACAGGGCAACCTCATCTGGCCCCTATACACAGGTGGTCAACCTTTGACAACAAAATTGTGTATAATTCGGTAGACTTCCGTAAACCATAGGCTGACATTTTTTTTACTGGTTTCTATAAAAAAAAGAAGACTTTCAGGTGTTTTTGTATAGAAAAAACAAAGACGTGTAGTTTTGGCGATTTCTTTCTATAGTAAAAACTTAGACCTGTGACAGTGAGAATTTTATTCTATAGAAAATAATTTAGACCTGCGGATTTGACGTTTTATTTTCCGATTTGTTTTTATAGAAAAAACATGTACCCAATGGTCTGGCGATTTTTTTTTTCTATAGAAAAAACATGGACCCAATGGTCTGGCGATTTTTTTTTCTATAGAAAAAACATGGACCCAAGGGTCTGGCGATTTTTTTTCTATAGAAAAAACATGGACCCAAGGGTCTGGCGATTTTTTTTCTATAGAAAAAACATGGACCCAAGGGTCTGGCGATTTTTTTTTTTATAGAAAAAACATGGACCCAAGGGTCTGGCGATTTTTTTCTATATAAAAAACTTGGACACAAGGGTCTGCCGGTTTTTTTTTTTCTATATAAAAACAATATTTTTCTGTAGAATAACCTTAGGCAAACCCTACAATTCTTAGGTTTTTATAAAAAAAACTTTGTTTTTTCACAAGGGTCTGCCGATTTTTTTTTCTATATAAAAACAACATTTTTCTGTAGAATAACCTTAGGCAAACGCTATAATTCTTAGGTTTTTATAAAAATTAGTTTTTTTTTCCAAATTATTTGAACTTTTATAACGACGAACAAAGGTCATCGGTCATTCCGAACGATATCTGCAAACTACGCTAGAGCTAAAGATTCTGCTAGCATCCTAATCAATCAATCACCGCATGGATAGCCGATCTCCCTAAAGAACAAAAATAAAGGATTTTTTCATTGACAGACCAAAGTCCAAACATGTTGTAATTTGTCTTTTTTTAAAAATATGACTAAAAATCTTTATTGATTTTGATTTTTGTTTATATGAAGTTCTGTAATTAAAACTAAAAAGAAATAATATATATGTATATATGTTTTGGGGTTATGTTTGCTGGTGTATAATAAAATGTTTTTTTTTTTTTAATAACAAATATAATTCAAGTTTTTCGTTTTATTCGTATTTTTTTAATTCTTTCATCTTTAATATACATATACAAGGACTTATTAACAATAGTAATAATAATAATAAAAAATATTTTCTTTTTTATATTATAATATAATTAATAATAAAGGTACTTGGTTAAAAAAGAATAATAATAAACACATATATTTGCCAATCAATGGGTGTGAGTAAAAAAATAAAAAAAATAATGGAAATTTATAAAAAAAATATTTTACAAAGTAAACGAAATGTTTTAAAATCTTTTCCTTTCAAAAAAAATTGTAAAACAGATTCTTGTTTAGGTTGTTTTTTTGGTACTATGACAATTGCAATGAGTTGTTGATAAAAAAATAGTTCTTGTTCAAAAGTAATACCAAAAAAGGTTTAAATAAAATATAACAAAAATAAAACAAAAAAAAATAATAATAAAAACAATGAAACGAATGATTTATAAAATATTTATACTAATATTAGTATTTTTTTCTTATTCCGATTGTTGGATAGGTTTGGTTGGTTTTTTTCGATATTGCATATACAGTTGGAAAAAGGCAAAAATAAAAGAAAATCAAAAAAAATTAAGATTATGTTATAATTTGAAAATGTAAATGTTTATCCTAGCTATAACTATATTCAAAATAGTTTTTTTTAATACACAGAGTAATGAGGGATGGAAATTGATTTTTGGATTTCATGACAGTATTTTTCAATGGAATTTCTAAATTTTTTTCAACTACATTGAAAATCAATGTCCCCTCACATCTAAGCTGTATATCGATTTGGAAAATTATTTCACTTACTTTGAATTCTAACCTTAATAAAGATCATAGACAGGCTTACAATTATAGTTTTCGTTTTTTCTTGTTTGTTTATAATTTGTTTCTTAACATTTTCTTTTTTTTTTGGGTAGGTAAGCTATTTTTCATTAATTAATTTAATTTTATGTTTTCAAAAATTTAAACCAATACAACGGTTTTATATAAATCACAATATTTATTCTGGTTTGTTTTTTAATAAGGGTTTCTTTTTTGTCTTGAATAAAGAAGAGGAAGGAATAAAAACAAATAGTTTAGTTTTTTCTCTTTTTTTAAACTCGGGAAGCCATGGCAAATTGCAAACGTGGAAAATAAAAATAAAATAAAAAGAAGAAAACAAAACAGACATGACTAAAATGTTTTGCATTCAATATTTAAGCTTAAGCTCCCTGCTGGGTTGAGGTCATTGCCTACTGCCTCCTCATCCCCTTCTTTATAACAAACTAAAAGAATCCAAATTTAATGTTCCCCTACCAAGGGCCACACACTCACACATTACCAAAACCTAGCATTATTACTATTTGCATGGATAGGGGGGTCATTGCCATCCCTGGGCAATGCAGCCACCGCAATGCCACCTTGTGTCGGGGTCTGTATAAACACCGAATCTGTTTCATTTGTCACAATAGGCTGTTGTTGTGGATTATTATCTAACCCACCACCAGCAGCAGGTTGCTGTATGGGATTGGATGTGATCACGTTCGATGCAGGTTCATATATACACTGTAATGGCGGCTCATCATCTTCCTCGTCCTTAAATGAACCACTTAAATTCGGATTTAGAACATTATTGGATGAATGTGTGGGTACACTGGTGGCCATGGTGGTGGAATTTGTCGCCCTTGGTTCACCAGCTATAACATCACTTAATATGTCCTCTTGATAAGGTGGTGCTGCCACACTAATTGTGGTTGGTTGACGTCTTAACCATCTAGGCGGAAAATACATATTTTATTAATTTTAAAATTATATTTCAACAATAAAAGTTACCTGAATACCGGCAAAGACCAAAAGAAACTTCTGGAGCCGTCATTGTTAAGTTGGGCCGCCAAATGTGGTGGTAAATTTGGAGAACGGTCAAAGGGATTGATGCGGCGAGTAGGGGTAGACGATAGCACTGCAACAAAAGAATAAAGACGAATTATTAAAATAAAATTTTCAAGGCCCCAAGCTCAAATTTGACTTTAAAGAATAAATTCTAAGAAGTTTCTTCCATAGGGAAAAAATCGTTAGAGCCATGGGTCCAAGTTTTTTCCATAGAAAAAAGATCGCCATACCCTTGGGTCAAGTTTTTTTCTATAGAAAAAATCGCCAGACCCTTGGGTCAAGTTTTTTGCTATAGAAAAAAAATCGCCAGACCCTTGGGTCAAGTTTTTTGCTATAGAAAAAAAATCGCCAGACCCTTGGGTCAAGTTTTTTGCTATAGAAAAAAAATCGCCAGACCCCTGTCGAGTTTTTTCTATAGAAAAAAAAAATTCTATAGAAAAAATAGAAAAAATTCGTTGGAACTTTGGGTCAAGTTTTTTTATAGAAAAAATTCGTTGGCACCTTGGGTCCAGTTTTTTCTATAAAAAAAAAAATTCGCCAGACCCTTGGGTCTATTTTTTCTATAAAAAAAAAAATCGACAGACCCTAGGGTGCATTTTTTTCTATAAAAAAAATCGCCAGACCCTTGTGTGGAGTTTTTTCTATAGAAAAAAAATCGTTGGAATCTGGTCAAGTTTTTTTCTATAAAAAAAAAATCGTTGGTCCTTGGTTTTTAATCCCGAACTTACTATTTTCATCATCCGATGTAACATCGGCTGCACCACGCTGAAATGTACCATGCCGTGTTGAATTATTCGATGACATTGTTGTTGTCAATGAACTCTGCGATGATTGTTGTAACAATGGCGCTGTATCATCATCAGTATCGACTATACTATCCAATGAAGACTGTCGATTCCGTTGTGATCGGGCTTCGCCTTTCGTAAAAACCTTACGCTTACAAATTGGGCATTCGCGTTTATTTTCGGTTAGCCAAACGTCAATGCAATCACTGTGATAGGCTGCAAAAAAACCAAAACAAATTATTATTTATTGATCCAAATTATGTTACGTGCCCAAATTAGCTTACGATGTTTGCATGGCAACACTCTCAGTTTATCGCCCTCGGCAAAGGTTTCTATACAAATGACACAGGTGTCATAGGCTATGTTGCTATTTTTCGTAAATTTGATTATCGGCAACTTCTTCAGCATACGTTTGGGCAAACGATAACGTCTCAAACGTCTTTCTTCACGTATGCATTTGTAGATCATGTAGAAGATCTAAAGAAGAATATTTAAATTTAGCATTAATTCAAATACAAAAAAAAATAGAGGTGTGGTTTACTTACCATCACCAGAAAACATAAACCAATTAATATGGAAAATGGTAAAATCAATTGGGTATTAATATTAAAAGGCAGCTCATCATTTATGACTAAAACAATTTCGGGTGTAAAGAATGATTTCAAATTCATTCCGGTTGTGTGGCCCACAAATACCGCTGGTATCATAATACCACTGGAATTTTGTGCTGACATGTGTTCTATAATAAAATAATGATTTTTGAGTTGTTATTAATTTGAGAATTTCTATTCCAATTTGAATTGAATACTAACCCAAATCATCACTCATATTGTTGTAGATAACCACAGCATCGAATGCTGCCGCCTGAGCATTGCGTACCTTCAATTCAAATGTACAGTCCACACCACCTCTGTAATGAAATTGAGAAGGAAATTATTAAATAAAAAAATATATAATTGATAAAAAGCATAAATAAATGAAAATTAAAATAGGAAATTTACTAAGCTAACAATAAATATATTTAATGAATGTATATGACAATTTAATATTGATATTAATGATATTGATTAATATAGATATTATTGTATAAGACAAATAAAGGGTTTCCTAAGAGAACAACCTATTTTAAAATATCTAAGGACATTATAAACGTGATTTTTTTAATTTTTAACTATTATTAACACAATAAAAACCTCAAGTGTATTAAAAAAAGCACAATTTTTAAAGACTATCACAGTATTAGAACCACATTTTTAAAAAATACTTTTCAAACCCATTAGAAACGTAGCCGTCTATTTTTTAAATATTTTTCAAGGACAATCATATCAATTATTTTTGAAAATATATGCTTCAAGGACTTAGAAGGACTTTAAGTGCTAAAATCGAATTTTTGTACAGCGTGAATTTTTATGGAATATTTTTGGAGAGCTTCAAGTATAATAGACGGTGATTTTTTAACAATATTGTTTGGAAGTCTTAACATACTGGAAGCTTGATTTTTTTAATACTTTTAGGAGGCTTCAAGGAAGTATGAGTTTTTTCCTAATTTTTAAGGGCTATAAGCGGAATATTTGAAATAATTTTTTAAAAGAACATCCAGAGCTGTAAATTTGGGTTTAAACAATTTATTTGAAATAATTAAAGGAGAATCACCCATTGATTCTTAAAAAAAATCGCCAGACCACGTGATCAAGACTTTTTTCTTTAAACAAAATGCATTATGTCAAGGTTTTCTGTAGAAAAAAAATCGGCAGACCCTTGGGTCAAGTTTTTTTTTTATAAAAAAAAATCGCCAGACCCTTGGGTTTTTTTTCTATAGAAAAAAAATCGCCAGACCCTTGGGTCAAGTTTTTTTCTATAGAAAAAAAAATTCGCCAGACACTTGGGTCAAGTTTTTTTCTATAGCAAAAAAAATCGCCAAATCCTTGGGTCAAGTTTTTTTTCTATAGCAAAAAAAAATCGCCAGATCCTTGGGTCAAGTTTTTTCTATAGAAAAATAAATCGCCACACTTTTTCTATAGAAAAAAATTGCAAGGCATTTGGGTCAAGTTTTTTTCTATAGCAAAACAAAATCGCGAGGCCCTTGGGTCATGTTTTTTTTATAGAAAAAAATTCGCCTGACCCCTGGGTCATGTTTTTTCTAAGAAAAAATTCGCAAGACCCTTGGGTCAAGTTTTTTCTAAGAAAAAAATCGCAAGACCATTGGGTCAAGTTTTTTCTAAGAAAAAATTCGCAAGACCCTTGGGTCAAGTTTTTTTCTATAGAAAAAAATTCGCCAGACCCTTGGGTCAAGTTTTTTTCTATAGAAAAAAATTCGCCAGACCCTTGGGTCAAGTTTTTTTCTATAGAAAAAAATTCGCCAGACCCTTGGGTCAAGTTTTTTTCTATAGAAAAAAATTCGCGCAGACCCTTGGGTCAAGTTTTTTTCTATAGAAAAAAATTCGCCAGACCCTTGGGACAATTTTTTTAATAGAAAAATAAAATTCGCCAAACCTTTGGGTTATGTTTTTTTTATAGATGAGGTCTACAATGATTGAAAGCTTCAAAACTGGTATTTTAAAAATGTGTCTACGACAATTTTAAATGACACCGAAAGGTGGATTTTTAAGGACCTAAAATTATAGATTTTTACAATTTTTCTGACAGATTTTATTTGACAATTTTAAAATGTTTTCGCAATTTTTACAAATTTTCAGAATTAAATAAAATTCGCCAAACCTTTGGGTTATGGACTTTTGTTTTTAAAACAATTTTAAAGGGCCTCAAAGTATGGAATTTCATACCAACTTTCAAGGCGAAGATTTTAAGGCTACATTAAAAGACTACAACCATTTTTTAGTTTTAGACGAGGATTTTTAAGAATGTTTTATTTTTTAAATAGTTAAAATGTGGAATTTGTGGAAATATTTCTGAAGGACATTCAGAAAAAAAATTAATTAATTAAGAATTAATTTATTTAAGAATATTGCCATTCATATTAATGAATTAAGATTATTATTTCAATGGCCTTTAGGATAAGTACAATTCTAAATCTGTATTTTTTTGAAATGAGAATTTTTGATGGCAAAATTTTGAACCAAAAATTAAAAAGAAGAATAAGCTAAATTGAATTATGTGTAAAAGATATAATAAGAAAAAATCCTTCTTGTTTTAAGAGTACCTTTGATTACTAAACACAATCGGCATATTTGAAGAAAATAAAATTAAACAAAATTAATTGGATTACAATTAATGTCAAAAAAGGTGTAAACATTTCTCGTTGATTACAAAATTTCAAAAGAAAACCTACCTTTGTATTATAGCTGCAAATTTTGCATTACTGGGATAGCCGGCCATATGTGGGGGTTTTGCTATTTTCCCACAAGCATCATTGGGTTCGGCTGGCACAGCAAATACCTTAATACCGCTAGATGTTAGACTAGGACCAAACTGGGCTGGCATATCATTGTATTCTTCAATTAGCTGGATAAGGAAAGAAATCAGCATTAGCATAACATGATCATTTTTGTATTATTGTGTTAAATAAGAAATTTACAAGAACCTGATTGGTTATGCGTCGATACACCAATATATGGGCATCAACTTCCAGCAAAGGACTTAAAATACATGTGCAGGCAATTAGTAGTGGTGTAACTAAACGGGTACATTTTGAGGGCTCCATCTTTAAAGCCTAGAAGAAGAGAACACAAGAATTCTGTTTATTTCTAAATTTAAATTTTCTAATGCATTTAATATCATTTATTTTTAATAACATACAGACAACAACCAACAACTTTTTAATAGATGGCAAACACGAAAGCGTGTTGGATGGATGGATCTTGCCTGTATTATTAATAGCAGTAACTTGTTCTCCTACACCGCCGTGTGTGTTTCTTTTTCTTCTCCTTTGACGTTTGTCGCTGCTGCTGCGGCGTCGTCAATGATATCGTTGAATTTTTGTTGTTGTTTGCAGTTATTGTTTTCTTGTTGTTGTTGTTGTTTTTTTATGCGTTTGATTGTTCTTTTTTTGGCCCCCTACAAACAAAGAAATCTTTTAAAGTGGATCAAATATTTGTTGTCGTTCTCGTAGCTGGTGTGCCTGATGTTGCTGTTCTGTCGGCTGTTGTTGCTGATGCTGCTGCTGATCTTGTTGCTGATGAGTTTGGATAACAAATTCCCTATTTACAAGTTGCATTTGTATGCCCATGTAGTACTCACAATGGTTTGTAATGTATCTGGAATGAATAAAAAAATACACACATTAAATAAAATGTTGAGTTATTTTTTTATATTAATTAATGTTTAATTAAATTTATAATGAATTCCATAAAATATATTTTTTTTTTCAACGAACAACAACAGAGAGAAGAGAAATTTGGATTTTGTAAAATCTGTTTCGAATACTCAGCAGTGTCATGAATTATTTAAAGAATATTGTTTTTTATTTTAAAATCCAATATAGTGAATTTTTTGAACCCCGAAAATTCTAAATTTGATTTTGAAGATCCAAAAAACGAAAAATTTTCACAAAATGTTGTTCAGGGACCCAATAAACCATCATTAAAAATATTTTTTGACGTATCCAAGACCCCACATTTGGTCAAAATGTTCAATATTTTTAAACCCATTATCAGTAGAAATGCTGATATTCCCTTCTTAAGGAAGTCCGCAGACTACTTAGTGCGGCAGTTAAGAACTTTAACCCCCTTTGTTCAAAGTCGATTGTACGTTCCGTCGTTCCTTTGTGTACGTTCCGTCGGTTAACTTCATTGGCATAGAAGAGGTCTTTCAGATAGCTGTCCACAAGCAACCAACCGTCAGTATCGACTTTGACGGCCAACAGCCTCAGAAATCGCGAGACTTCACTACAGGCCGTAGAGATGGAATTAGGATCCTATTCCTCGGCAAGGTTTACGTCCCTACTCATCATCTGAGGGGAGTCACCTTGATTTGGAGGAGTCACGAGAATAGCTACGAAAGTCGAAAGTAACGGGGGATGAGACAAAAGAAAGGTCCAATGGCGGTTGGTTAAATTCTGAGACTGAGGATGCCAAGGTAGTCACACCAGCATCAGTCAAAAAATCACATACATTGCTTTCATAATTTTTAGAAGGGCGGGGGTTTTAGAATTCGGCTCCCTAGAAGAACGATTTTGTAAGGGTTTGAGGTTGGCCATGGTATAGCCCCTGACCATGATAAGGATTCGGCAACTAATCCTTAAAAAAACTTGTTGAGACGCCCAGGTAGCAACAAGGCTCCGTTCTTATACAGTTGGGACCCTGAATGCAAACCGCAAAACACTGATGGGCACGCCTAACACCCCAGTGTTGTTGTTGTAGCAGTATTTCTTAAAAACATAGTTTATGTTCAAAAATGGGAAATATCGATCCACTCCTTCTGGTACCACTACCAACAAAAATGGTCAAAGTTGTGCTACAAATTTACTTTTATAATATCATGCGAACGGACTCTCCTATTTGAACCAAATTTTGTATATCTTAAAGATGATACCCATTGGTCCACTCCTTCTGGTAACACATTCACATAGGGTCGAAATTTTCAATATTTATGCATGCAATATGTCCGATTTGAACCAAATTTTGCACAGTCTGTTACCTTTACCTAGCCTAGATCAGATCCAAAGATACTACCCATCGGTCCACTGTTTCTGGTACCTCCTCCACAAAGGGTCAACATTTTCAATATTTATAAGTCCAATATCAGGTGGATGAAAACCTATTATCTTTACCATCCCTAGATCAAATTCAAAGATGGGACCCATTGGTCCATTCATTCTGGCACCTCCCCCACAATTGGTCAACATTTTCAATGTTTGTAAAACCAATATCAGGCGAATGGAATGTATGATTTGAACCAAATTTTGCACAGTCTGTTATACTCACCTAGACAAAATCAGGTAAAAAGATGGGGCTCATTGGGGGCTCAATAACCTATTATCTTTACTAAGCCTAGATCAAGTCCGAAGATGGGACCCATTGGTCCACACCTTCTTTCATATTTCAAATAATTTAAAAAAAAATGTACTTCTTCTCCTGCAAAGAAATTGTCCACCATGAATATTCCCATTAATTACACATGATAATATTTGTATATGAGGATATACCCCCCGTCAGGCCAGGTCTATCTACTGATAAGATATCAATGTCAAATTTTTATGAAATTCCAAAATAACTGATACTGATTAAGAATAGTAATTTACGGCAGCCCTTATAAAAATCGTTGGTAAGGTCGCCTTTGTTTGAAATGCACTCGCAGGCTAATCTTCAATATCTGTAAACATTTTCTTTTATTAAATATATATATATATATATATCTTCACGGTATACTCCCCCCATTTTATTGTTGTCTTTGTTATTTGCTGCTTAACAGATTTATATATATATATATATATCCAGACAGCCAGACAAACAAACAAAAACATGATCACTAAAATGTGAAGAAGAGTATGACGACTACCCAACCCAATATCATAATCATCAGCAGCAGAAGATAGTAGAAGTAAGTTGTTCGATGTCCACTTGTTGTTTTTGTTTTGAGTTCAATAACACATTGCCTTATTTTAGATGATTGAACACAATGATGATTTGGTGACAAAAATAAATAAAATAAAAAACAAATTAAATAAACAAAAGCGAAATCACAGAGAGCAAGGGAGAGCAGAAGAATTAAAAAAAAAATATTTTTAATAACAATAAAAATGAGATCTGAATTTTAAGGTTTGTTATTTATAAACAATCCATCCATCCAGATCCGAACCCCACCTTGATTAACAAACAATACATAAATAAAAAAAACATTTTCATTCTTAAGCCATGCAGCCATAAACGGAAACTGTTCGGCCAACAAAAAAAAACGAGGAAAGAGGAAACATCGACGAAAAGAAAGTCCCAATAAAAGTTAAGGGCAAACACACAAATGATTTTTTAAAAAAGCAAAACAACAACAACAAAATAAAATAAAATAAATTATAGTACGCATTAAGTCAATAGTAAATAATAATAATAAAAATCGACTGTAGTGAAGTCGAGGAGTGAGTGAGTGACTCACTTCCAATGGCACAAACAACAAAATGCATTTTTTGTTGTTAAATAAAACATTCTTACACACATGCATGCATGCACATGCCTGTTGTTGATACTTTGTTGTGTTTTTCTAATTCTATGAAAGTGAATTTAGAAATAAATTATTATAAATTGTTAAAGCTTTGTTTTAATTTCAAATTCAATATTATGCAAGGGGAAATGAATATCCAGCAACAACAACACATAGCTGCATAATGTGACAGACAAGAATTGCACGTTTGTTAAGGGCGTAGTGGCATATTTTGATAAAAACATGCACCAAATATTTTTGAGACTATACAAAAATGGAGATCTAGGTACAAAAATTCCCTATAAGGAGGTTTCATCAAGAAAAACACTGCCAAAAAATCAATAAAAAGGGGAAAAGTGACCGACTACATGACTGTATATTCGGTATATAGGGGAGAGGGGGGCACCTTTGAACACTTTTTTCTTTCAAGCCTCTAGGCTTGGTTAAGATATTAGGTTGTTCCAAGTTATGTTCAAATCGGTCATTCGATTCGCCTGATATTGAATTTATAAATATTGAAAATGTTGACCCTTTGTGGTGGAGGTATCAGAAGGAGTGGACCAATGGAGTTGATCTAGGCTCGTTAAGGATAATAGGTTGTACAAAAAGTTTGCTTCAAATTGGACATTCCATTCGCCTGATATTGAATTTTTAATTATTAAAATTTTTATCCTTTGTGGGGGGAGGTATCAGAAGCAGTGGATCAATGGATCCAAACTTCAAACTTGATCTAGGCTTGATAAAGAAAATACGCTATGCAAAGTTTGATTCAAATCGGACATTCCATTCGCCTGATGTTGAATTTATAAATATTGAAAATGTTGACCCTTTGTAGGGGAGGTACTAGAAGGAGTGGGCCAATGTGTTCCATCTTCAAACTTGATGTAGGCTTGGTTAAGATTGTACAAAGTTTCCTTAAAATCGGATAGTTCATTTTCATGTTATTATAAAATTGATTTTTAGCACAATTTTGAACATTTTGTTTGGAAGGTACCAGAAGGAGTGGGCCGATATTCCCCATCTTCGAACTTAAAATATGTATGGAAGAAATATTAACATGTGCAAAGTTTTGATGAAATCGATTATTCCCTTCGTGCGCACCAGCCAGACAGACGGACATGTCTAAATCGACTACAAATTTTCTGAAAGGGATTTGTTGCAAAGAAACTTGGGGTCCAAAACCAATATTTAGATAAGGCACATTTTCACCATATCAACGTGTATATACCCTCCCTCATTAGCCATAAGTCTGAGGGTATAATGATTGAGAATGAAATGAGTCCCTAAAAACACTAAGTGTCCTCCACTTGTTTGGAAGGTCAAGGTCAAACTCACAAATACTGCAGTCAAAAACGACATACAATAATGTTTTAAAAAAAAATATTTTTTTATTACATTGTGGTTTTTAAGGCGGCCAACAAATTCAGTCATACGAAAAGGTCATTGCATGAACTTTAAGGTAGTGGCAGACATACAGTTCATCATTCATTCAGCTGGCAGTAATTTCCTAATTTCTTTGGATTGAATTTTAAATTCATTTCCATTTTTTTTAAATGGTAGGAAAATGATTTGTTGTCTTATTAAAAAAATAAAAATTAATATTGTTAAATGATACAGACGAACGGATGAGAATCTCTATAGACGAGCGGAAAGCAGAAAACAGATGATCGAATAGGAGTCTTTATAGAGAAGCTGAACGGAGTCTCTATAGACGAGCGAAAGGTCTGTGATTTTTATTTATATAAGGGTTATGGCTGTCAACATATACAGTCACCAGTCCTAGTTCGTTGAACCAATTCTCTTAAACTAATTCCACTGCTTTATAATTGCTAGAATCTCTTCTTGAAAGACGCTACAAATTGCCTGGTTTGTATGACATTTTGATAGAAAATTCATCACAGAAAACCCCTATCGTCCAGAGGAAGTAGTCCACCCGTCCAGTTTTCTCTGATGTGGGGAGAGTCAGTAAATTGCCTTCAAAAAATTCGACCTCATTCTTACTGAGGTATTTTTTCTGTAGAAAAAAAAATTCTACCTCATTTCACACTGAGGTATTTTTTTTCTCGAAAGAAAAAAAATCCGACATCAGTTTCCAAAAGGTCGTCTTTTCTATAGAAAAAAAAATAACTCATTGTGAACTGAGGTCGGATTTTTTCTACTGGAAAAAATACCGCAGTTGGAATTGAAGTCGGAAAAAATTCAAGTACAAAAAATCCGACCTCATTTCCCACTGTCGTTTTTTCAAAAGAAAAAAATCAGACCTCAATTTCCACAAAGGTCATTTTTTATAGAAAAAAATCGAACCAATTCCCAAAGAGGTATTTTTTATAGAAAAAAAAAATCAGGGAGTTGATTTCATCTCTCTTTCGTCCTTGCACAGACGGCAGTAATCCACCACATTGATTTCCAACTTAGAAGTAAGATATCTAATCCTGTAGTGACCTGTTATGATTCCCAAAGTTATTTGCATCTCTTTCTTGCTGAGAGAAAACAACGAAAACAAGAGCTGCTTATAGAAATAAACGACCTGATTGATTTTGAAGCTTTGCATGTCCATAGTGTGAGATCCTCCACGTTTCTCCATCTTTCATCCTCACTGCACTTCTGGCTGCTTGAAATTGAGTCAGTAAATTGAAGGGGTAAACGATTTATGATAGCTTTCAAAGCAGCGCTACTAGAGGCGGCAGAAATTTGGAAAGCTACAGATCTGTGTACACTACTTAAATCGGACATATAAGTTCTTTTTCGAAAATTTGTGTTTTTGTGTCTAGTAGGCCTGGTTCGGTCCTGCTTTTAAGTATAACCCACATTCTGTAAATAAATTGATTTTAAAGATATGGCTAGGCTATTTTTCCACTGAGGTAGCCATCATATAAAGGTACGCCTCAAATTTCGGAATTAAGTCCTTTTAAATCTTTATCCGCACCTCATTGAACCTGAAACTATATAAAGTTAAATATAACATATTTAAAAAAGAAATAATTCCCCACAAAAAGGATAATACCTGTTGTGTGGATAATGATGCTGCTGCTACTGACCACAAATAAAACATGGGGGACAATTAAAGGTCACTAGTATGTAATTGCACACAATCATGAACACATTCAACCCAGACCTTGAAATTATTTGACGCATCGAGGTGGGAGCCTAGGTAAAATTATACCCTATTAAGGCACTATAAAAAAATAAACGCCAAGGAAAAAAAATCGAGCAGGCTAGCGAGCTTAGCTCATATTAAGAAAACAAAACTTATTTTCATTCATATTCGTCGTATTGTTTTCTTTTTTCGGTTTTGTTCTTAATCAAAATCAGCTGCGCTGCCTGCTCTGTTCTGCCATTCATCTGCTGCTATTCATCTTCTTCTTCTATTGTTTTGTGTACTGCTGCATAAATAAAGTGAATATAGGCAAACGAGAGTTAAGAAAATGTGGGGGGCAAACATGTTTATCGAAAGAAAAAAAAAATAACAACAAAAGGTGGGGGTGGTGGTGAAACTGAAATTTGATTATGTTTATTATTTTTTTGTTTTTGCTGCTGTTGTTCATATTTACTTCTTGCGATCGATAGATAATAACAAATTTCACTTACATGACTGCTGAACTAATCCCCCGTTTTAGATGTAAATTTTGCAGGAGAGCTGGGTCGACGACTAGCCAATATGTTGTAATGAATTTGTTTTTGTTTCCAATTTTTTCGCCACTTTTCACACTAACAATAAATCACAATTTTGTTTTTCTTTTCTTCTTTTTTTGAAAATCGTGAAATTGTTTTTCTTTTCTATTTCTTTCTATTTTGTTAATTCTTCTTTGCTTTTGCTTGTTTTTATTTCGTATGTGTTTTTTTTCTTTTTTATTTTTTTCTAGGGTCTTTTGTCTTCCATCGCTGTCGTTGTCGTCGTCTGTCGGTCGGCCGTTTCTCGTTTCAATTGCGTTCAATTACGACCCCAAACTTTAGAAAATCCTTTCTCGTTTCGCTACCTTCCACTTCTTGCAACAAATAAATTTAGCTTTTAATGCTAAATAATTATTGTTTCCTGATTAAGCACACACATTTTATCCATTGAAATCTTCACAATTTTGCTGTAAATTTTATTTGTAATTCTCTCCAGATTCACTTTACACACCAGAAAAAAATATTCTAATTGAATTTAGGGTTGTGTAGGTCGACGTTTGACTAATCGATTGCAGCAACTTATCAATGGGAAAATACTAATCGAAATGTCAATTTCACATGTTTGACAGTCTGCTCGGAGAGAGAGAGAGAGAGAGAGAGAAGGATAGACATATTGATTTTATTTTTCTCATAAATTTCAGTTGTAGGAAATTATAATAGTGCAAGTTTTAGGGTTTGTCGCTAGAATAATATATAAAAATTTAATTATAGTCTTTAACTACATATCCCTAATCCTAATAGAACAGTGCTGTCAACATGATTAGTGTAAGAAAAACGCGGGTTTGTAAAACCACTTTAAGAGCGCGTTTAGACCACTAAATCCACTCGATTTAAAATGTCAATTCCATATCGTGTACGTCACCTTAGAGCGCGTTTAGATTACCTTTATATGCAACACCGCTATATCAAAAAGCGGTAAATATTTCGAGCTCAGTCGTGATATCAGCAGACAAAAAGGCGGATATGGCAAGCTTATATTCATACATTCTGGGTCTCCGATAAATATATCTAGAAGGCCCATAGGCGTGAATTTTTTGAAAAGTTCTCGAACGTCATTTCAAGAGTTCCTAGAAAGCGTGGCTTTTTAAAGCAGTTTTCGAGAGGTTCTAGAAGGCCAAAAGTCGTTTAATTTTAAAGCCTATAGGCCTATAGGCGTGGCTTTTTAAAGCCGTTTTCGAGAGGTTGTTGAAGGCCAATAGGCGTGGATCTTTAAATCAGTTTTGAAGAGGTTTTAGCAAGCCAATAGGCGTGGAATTTTAAAGAAATTTTTAAGAGGTTCTAGAAGGGCAATAGGCGTGGATTTCTAAAAGAGTTTTCTAGAGGTTCTAGAAGGGCAATAGGCGTGGATTTCTAAAAGAATTTTCTAGAGGTTCTAGATGGTCAATACGCGTGGATTTTTAAAGCACTTTTCGAAAGGTTCTAGAAGGCCAATATGCGTGGATTTTTAAAGCAGTTTTCCAGAGATTGTACAAGGCCAATAGGCGTGGATTTTTAAAACAGTTTTCGAGAGGTTCTTAAAGGCCAAAAGGCGTTGAATTTTAAAGCAGTTTTCGAGAGGTTCTTAAAGGCCAATACGCGTGGATTTTTAAAGCAGTTTTCGAGAGGTTCTTAGAAGTCAAAAGGCGTTGAATTTTAAATCAGTTTTCAAAAGGTTCTTAAAGGCCAAAAGGCGTTGAATTTTAAAGCAGTTTTCGAGAGGTTCTTAAAGGCCAATACGCATGGATTTTTAAAGCAGTTTTCGAGAGGTTCTTAAAGGACAAAAGGCGCTGAATTTTAAATCAGTTTTCAAGAGGTTCTTAAAGGCCAAAAGGCGTTGAATTTTAAATCAGTTTTCGAGAGGTTCTTAGAAGTCAAAAGGCGTTGAATTTTAAATCAGTTTTCAAGAGGTTCTTAAAGGCCAAAAGGCGTTGAATTTTAAATCAGTTTTCAAGAGGTTCTTAAAGGACAAAAGGCGCTGAATTTTAAATCAGTTTTCGAGAGGTTCTTAAAGGCCAATAGGGTGTCTTTTTTAACCGAAGGCTTTGAATTACAATTAATTAAAGTTTTTTCCAACATATTTGACTTCTCAAAAATGTAATTAATTTCCCACTTAATTTCTCAGTAAAACAAGCAAATTTGTTTCCCGAACAGTAGACACACCAACATATATTACACAATAGCATATTGTTCATATAACAATTCACGTATTTTATAATATTCCTCCGATAGACAACCTTCCATTGTCACCTTGCCGGTGTCAATGCGCCGCAATGCCAAGGAGCCATTACAACACCACAGTACACCACCAGAAAATTCCGAATTAATATTATTACGCATTAGCACCTGTTTGAAGTCGGATAATTTCAATTCATTAATTAGAACGGAATTGTGTACGGGAATTTCATCGGTTTCCAATGATTCGAGGGTGAGAGTTCTTTCTTCCGCTGTTGTTTCGGTAACATCATTATCTGTTTCCGAGTTTTGATTAGTTGTGGCGGGAGCATCAATGGCCTGGGTGCGCATACCAATGCGAGCATCAATCCATGCCACTTCAGCATCTTTGCCTTTTTGGAATTGCAATTGAGCTACAAGGCCCTCGGTAAGGCGGACTTGATAGATGTGGATTTCGGTGGTAACATCCACGGTCTACAAAATATAATATACATTACAAAAAAATTAATATAAAATGTTAAATCATTTTCTTACTTCTCCCTTGTGTGGTGCAAATACCCTAGCACCAATATTCTGCTCACAGTGCCGGGCCACAGCCATGGTGGCTTCTTCAATGCCATGCACCACAATAACACGTCGCGGCCGCAATTGTGACAATATTTTCAGCATTGATTCCCCATCCGATCGCCCCTCAAAATCTATACGTTGTATTTGGGCATTTATCTCTATCGTTTTACGCTGGACAATACATTTCGTTGGCTTCTCCAGTAATTGGACATCATCATCTGTCGTGGATTTTTCACCTTTTATATCTTCTTTTTTAACATTCTCCTTATTCGCATCTTCCATATTTACATCGTAGGCCACATCAGCAATGCGATAATCATCCAAATTGATTATTTCACCATATTCGTCACATTTGATTTTCTCTTCGTGGAATGGAAACATGACATGGTGGCGTTTGTTCGACTTAAAGAATCCCGTGTGTTGTTTACCCTCTGGCCTTATAACAATATCATGTTTTCCTGTTATTATACTCATTTCAATATCATCATCCGAGTCGGAACTGCTCTCCTCATCGACATCTTGTTTGACAATCAGACGATTGACCTTTTCGCCTTGGATGCGTAAATACTCTTCAAGTTCAGCGCCCTCTAATTCAACTCTACGTCGTATATCCAATTCTATTTTGCGGCCAGGTGTGTGGTTGTCGACCAAATCCATGGCCAGTGTACCCTGAGATGTACTGAAATTTAAAAACGTGAAGTTATTAGAAAATAAATTTAAGAATTATGTTGTTTTTTATAGCTCCCTTACCGTGATGTAAAAATAATGCTATTATTTGGATTTCCAGCCCACTGTACAAACAACTCTCGTGTATAACCACTTTCCATATCGGGTTCGCTGGCCAACACCACCTTTGGTCCTGGCAGCAGAGCAAGCTCCGCCAAATTATGACACAATTGCATATGCTTGAACTGAAAGGGATTATTACGTGCCCCCTCAAACGTCTTCATCAGCTTATCACTCATCCATTCAATCTGCGATTTGGCAAATTCAATCACATTATACGAGAAATTATTCAATAAAGCCAATGTGTATGCCATTAGGCCGGATTCTTTATTTTTCCACAATTGATCTAACATATGGGCCAATTCTAAAACCCGTCCCGCCGTATCAACAGCTATCAAAACATTTCCATTACCGCGCAAAGTCTGCAAAATGTTGGTCATAAGTTTTTCATCTCTGGCTCTACGCCGTGCCTGCTGATAGAGGGCATTAAATGCATCTGTTATCAGCAATGAGGGTCTCTGCAGTCGCTCCAATTCACAACCATTAAGATGGCGTTCCTTTTTGTGATTGAAATCCGTGGCATAGACAATATCTTCTTCGCCAACTTTAAGGATTTTCCATATAGTACCACCAATCATGTGTCCGGCAGGCAGTGGCGTTATTGCAATTCCATATGCTTTTCCCTTCAACGACACAGTTTGATTATATTTCAATTGGATAATTTTATCGAAAGCCGCATCCACATCATCCAAGGAAAACAAATCAAAATCATACATATTGAAGTGGGACATATACAAATCATACATAAACATCTGACCCATTTTATGTACAGGTATGGTGGCATAAATGGGACAATTCAAGCCCAATTTACCCACCAGATAGGGTAGAGCGCCCAAATGATAAACATCCGGATGGGACAGCAGCACAGCATCTATGCTATGGACATGTCTGTAAAAACGAAAAAGCAAAACAAAATTATATTTTTTTATTTTTCCAAGTTACCTTCCTCCTTACCTCTTGACTTCTTTGATAAAATTTGCATCAAACTTTTCATCCCAGCCACAATCGAGCATAATTTTGACTTCATCTATTTGTAGGATATAACATGGTGGTGTCTCATCCATAGCCCCCGAAACAGTATGCAGTTTAATAATAGAGGTCATTTTGTTTGTTGTGTATTAAATTTTTGGCTTTAATTCATTAAAAATTTATTAAATTTGTAATGAACAATTGTGGAAAAAAGGTAAACAAATGTATGCGGCTTTCGACTAGGGATAAGTAAATCGACTTTCGACTAATCGAATTTTTGTATTGAAAAATCAAAAAGTCGAAATTGATCGCAAAGTCGACTTTCGATTTTCCTTTAAATACTTGCAGACTTACAGCCAGTTTGTGTAAAATTCGAAACGAAACAATTCGAACGAATTACTTCCTTTAGAGTATATGCATAGAATCAATACAAAAATGTGTATAAGTCATTAATTTTTTAACCGATTTTTTTGATTTTTATCATTTTCGAAAGCTAATTTAATTTTCTTCCCCGTAATATAATAAAACTTATATGGCTTGATATCATAATTTCATCGTACAGTCCGAAGAAAAATAAATTTTGTCATTTTATGCGTTTTTTTCACATTTCAGCCGCTGTAACTCGGCCAATCCTCCACCGATTAACCAAATATATATCATGTTTGAAAGGAAAAATTGTACTCTTCGTTATAAAGGAAATAAGTTATTCAAGTTTCAAATGGAAAATCCATGAAACCACGTTTTTCTCTATATTTACCGTTATAAAATTAATTTTTGAAGTGATTCAGAAAAACCAAAGGTATTTTCGTGGTCCAGGGACTCCAACTAAACAAAATTGGTACATTAGAAACCCTGAAAAATGTTCGTGTCGCACAGTGTAATAGTTCAATGATAATAGACAAAAAACAGAAATTAAATGAAAATAATGTGTTTGAATGTAGATATCAATACGTTCAGATAAAATAGAATAGAACTAGAGGAATTTCAGGATATATTTGGACTGTTCCTGTACTGCAAGAATGTACGAGTTTTTACTATTTTTTTCGATATCATAAAGAAAAAAATTGTTTTCGTAGTAAAAAATAGTAGATTCTTGCAGTACGGGAACAGACCAATTATGACGTTATTTTTCGGTACGATTGAATGGAAATATTTTTTCAGAACACTAATACTTTTTTCGATCTTTATTGACCTTGCTCAATGCGACACAGTGGTGACCAACCTACCGGCATATCGTTCTTTTATTGAGTTTGAGGATCGCTTTGAGCTACAAACATATTTCTTTACAACTATCCCTAAATATATATTCCCCTATTCACGATGGATAGTACATTTTTCGAAAAACTTCCTAAAATTGAGTTACATGCTCATCTAAATGGATCACTGAAAATGGAATCAATTCAAGAATTGGGTATGCAGCTATACGGAGAAAACAGTGCAGATTTCCTAGGGCGGATACAAGAGTTTACAGCATTTCCCGAAGAAATGGATGCGGATAAATTATCCAAATGTTTTCAAAAGTTTGCATTTATGCATGAATTAACCTCAACCAAGAAGGGTCTTCAATTGGCCACACATTTGGTGATACGAGACTTTGCCCGGGATAATGTCGTTTATTTGGAGTTGAGAACAACTCCTAAGCACAATGAACATATGACACGTAAGGAATATTTGGAAACCATATTGAATGCAATAGAAGAGGCCAAAGGGCGTTATCCCGGAATATTAGTTAAGCTATTGGTATCCATTGATCGTTCTCAGGTTATTGAGGCTGCAACGGATATTGTCAACTTGACGATGTATATGAAGAAAAATTACCCCAATATTATCAAGGGTATGGATTTAAGTGGTAATCCGGCAAAAGGTAATTTCAATGATTTCATGCATCTCTTGGAAAAGGTCAAGGCTTCCGATTTGAAATTGGCCTTACATTGTGCGGAAATAGAGAATGAGAAGGAGACCCAGCAGATGTTAGATTTCAATTTTGAAAGATGTGGTCATGGCACATACCTAAGCGTACCACAACAGATGGAGCAGTGTAAAAGACAACAAATTACCGTTGAATGTTGTTTGACAAGCAATGTCAAATGTGGAACTGTCAAACACTACGAGGCACATCATTTTAAAACACTCCGCGATAATGGTATAAAGACAGTCATTTGTACCGACGATTGCGGGGTTTTTGATAGTACCTTAAGCCAAGAATTTGCCATAGCAGCCAGGGTATTTTCATTAGATAAAAATGATATCTGTGATTTGTGTATAAATGCCATAGATGCTGCCTTCTGTGATAACACTGAGAAGCTAGATTTACGTCAACAAATTGACCGATTTTTTGCGAAAAATAAATAACAAATTTTTGGTTTTTTTAAGTTACTTCGTTTATTTGAAAATCTTCATCTTCTTCGTTTTCTATGATATCATCGAAACTATTGATTTCAGCCGCGCAATCGCCGGATGATGAATGCTGTTCGTGTTCATCCATCAAATTATCCGAATCGATTTGCAGAATGGAATGCTTACGCATATGATGTACCAGTGATGCCCGTTTCATATAACTTTTATTACAAAAACTACATTTATGTTGTTTGATACCAGTGTGGGTGGTTAAATGATTCTTCCAATCGGATCGTTGCCGAAAACTTTTATCACAAAAGTTACATGGATATGGTTTCTCTCCCGTATGCGTTCTCATATGTAATTCCAAGAGAAATACACGAGTAAATTTTCTTTGGCATACGGTACACGAGTGTGGCCTTTCTCCGGTATGTGTTAGCATGTGAACATCCAAGTTACCTTTTTCATAGAAAGATTTTCCACAAACAGAGCAAGCGAAATCGGGCTGGCCGGTGTGTCTGAAAATGTAAAGCAATTATAATGTTTAGGCATATATTTGGGACAGAATGTATAGAGAATACAAGTTCATAAAAACCAAGTGGTCTGTATAGAGACCACATATTTTTTTCAAGACCAATTGGCATGTATAGGGACCATAGGCATAGGCTGCCAGACATGCATAACTCAAATTTCCGTCGAATAATATAATTGCTGCTTACCTTTTAACATGATAATTCAAAGATGATTGGGTCTTGAATGACTTTTCACAATATTGACATTGAAAAGGCCTTTCTCCTGTGTGGGTTCTCAGATGCATTCTTAGAGCAAAGGGTGTTTGAAAAACACGCTCACAATAAACACATCTTCGATGATTTTCTATGGACTCATTGTTATAATTTGTGTTTAATACTTTTTTCTTTTTTGTCTCGTCAACGGAGGCGGCAACATCATCACCATCCGAACTTAATTCCTTACAATCTTTGGCATGTTTTAATAATTCGATTTCCGAAGAAAACCAATGATCACATATCGTACAGGCATAACATTGTGTAAGGGCATGTGTCTTTTGCAGATGTTTTCGCAAATTAATGGATTGGACGAAGGCCGCTCCACAAATATCACATTTATAGGATTTTTGCTTTTTCACTTTGATGGGCATTGATTTGATGAATGCACTATTCGAAAGATCTATGTGTACTTGAAAATCATTTGATGTTGCTTCATAGTTTATAAGGGAAGAATCTTCTTCGACCACAATTTCATTGGTATCATCAAAGGCGGTAGTGGTAGCCAACACAGTTTCATCATTATTTTCTATTATTTCTTGGACAATATCCTCTGAATTACAATTTGGTGGAAATTGGACAACATCCATGACGACTTCCTCTTCAATAATGTTGGTATTTTCCAACTCCTCCACATTATCATCATCATGTGCATTATTTTCTATCAAAGAAAGTAAATTATCATTGGCCATATTCGATTCAGGGTGTTCAGTCTCAATTGTAGAATAATCATTTGCATTCATGGAGTACTCAATGATCTGCTGATCTTTATTATTGCTTTCATCCTCTTCAGCATCGCTGAGGTTAGGAACGACAACATTGCCCTCTTGTAAAAGGTCATCATAAACTTCTTTTGATTTGGCACATTTATCACGAAATTTTGCTGCAATTAGCAGCTCTCGGGTACATTCTTCACACAGATATTTTGGAAATATATCATTGTCTGTAATCTAAATTAGAGGCAGTGAAGTCGGAACTTGTTTCGAATAAACTAAAATAGAAAACAACACCCACCTGAATGCCACCACATTTTTCTAGCAGAGCGCTAAGACTAGTTTCCAGATCTTCTAACTCATCGAAGACATTAATTAATATTTGTTGTTCTTGCAGACAAACTCTGCATGTTAATTCATTTATGCTAAGCATAATTATAAATTATTTTTCTTAATATTTAATATTTTTTGTATTTATTTATATTTTCCTGAGATGAGTTCAAAAAGCGAATTCACTAAATGGAAATGAACGGAACAATACAAGACGCGAGTAATGATGCTATCCATTGCCGAGTTATCATTTTGCAGTGAATAGCCAATTTCTTAACAAATATCAATAGGTCTGTCTGTTTACTCCATATTTATAATTTGTAGCAAGACCACAGGCCAATTGGCCTATATAGAGACCACAGTAAAATCTAAGGGTTCTGAAGTCTTCCTTTGGTGCAAATTTCCCTTATTATTAAATCGTCGTTAAAAAAAGGGATCGGAAAAAACAAATTTAAACGCATTTTATATTAATGCTGATAATTAAATTACATTTTGTTTATAAATATACAAGTACCGTTTATTTGTCGTCAATAATACATATATGTATATAATAGATTATTTTTTGTTTGTTTATGTTTTTATTAATACATTTTATTTGTTTTTATTATAAAAAAGCATTTACAACAGAGTGTTGACACGTATTTGTTTGTGTATATATTTTTCCTTTTTTTGTTTTGTTTTATGATTTCAATTAAACTGTCTTAAGTAATAATAATTATTATATAGTTTGTGTTGTTTTTTGTTTGTATATATATATTTGTTGTAGTGTATGTTTTTTATTCTTATTCTTGTTATTCTTCTTCTTTGCCATCAGTATTAGGTTTGTTTTTTAATTTATATTTATTTTTGCTTTTAGCTTATTATTAATTAAATATTGTTTTTGTTGTTGTTGATTTTGTTTATTTTATTATTGTTTATCTATTTATGCAGCATATACACATTATTGTTGTTGGTTGATTTTTGTATTGTTGTTGTTTTTTAGTTTGCATCCATGTATATATACCACACATATTTAAATTTATATTTATATATGTGTTTTTTTGTTTTTGTTGTTGTTGTTCTTGTATGTGATAATCATTACAGTAGATAGTTATTTTATAAATTATTTATATTTATATATATGTATAGAGTTTACATGTTATAACAAATATAAATTAACCATTCTCATAGCTAATAATAAAACTCTCTCCTCAATAATGGGTTAATATTAATAAAAAATATGTATGTAGTATGTAATTCCTATATTGTTTGTTTCACTGAAAAAAAAAAGAAAAAAAGAGAGGGAATAGTTTATGTAGAAATTAATTGATCATCAATTGAATTTTATATTTTCTTTGTGTGTGACAGGATCATTAACGCCCCCGTTTTGGTGTTGAAGGGATGACGTTGCATTGTTTGCTTGTATAATGCTTTGCATATCCTTTTTTTATTTAAACAAAATGACGAAATGTTTCCACAAATATAAATACACAATTATTAAACATGCATTCAATTAATTAAGAGTAGTAGAGGAAGTAGAGCAAAACGAGATAGACCAAAATGTATTACAAATGTAAAAAAAATCATGCTACTAAGAACACATTTAAAAATAAATTATTATTTTAACGTTACCACAAACAACTTAAATTTAATAGTTCCAAAGTTTTTTCTCCCATCATTGAAGAAAAATTTATGTTTTTTGTAAACTTTCGTTAAAAAATATTTTTGAAAGGGGATTGTTTTAATACTTGAAAACTCTCATCTACCTTTTTTTTAAATTAACGAACATAATATTACCAAAATATTTTTGTTTTCTTTTCCTAATTTGTATACGGTAACAACACATACCATTTGTAAAAAAAATAATGTTATTTTTGTATATTTTCCCCTTTTTGTTTGCAATAGAAATAATTAAAATTATATTGATGTTTTCAAACGAAAAAGAATACATATTCTTTAATTAGTTAAACTGGTACAACTTCGAAAATAATATAAAGTATAATATATATGAATATATATATATGGAATATTTATTTTGTTTGTGTAAGAGTGTGTGTGTGGCTTTTGTGTTATAAGTGCACTGCTTATATATAGAAAAATATTGTTTTATTTGTTTTTTAATGCTTTTGGCTTAATATGCAACTGTTGTTGTTGTTGTATTCCTAAATGTTTTTTATTTTTAGTTGTCTCTTCTAACGCCTGCGTGCGTTTCGCTGTTGTTTTTATTTTTGATTTGGTGTTACGAAATTGAAATCTATTTCATATGTTGTTACTCTTCTATTTGCCAAATGTTTAAAAAAATTGAATTTGATTTCCGTTATCTAAAACGCATTTGCATCTGGTGGAGTTTTTAAATATTCATCTGGCCTCTTGTGTTCAAAGAGAGCATGTACAATGCCGCTATCAGCTGGCAAATCAGATTTTCGTCTTAGCAATGGTTTATCCATGTTACGTGGCGATTTCTAAGAGAATTACAAAGTTGTTTTCGTTTTGTTTTTTTTTTTTTACAGCAAGTAGCAATACACAAAATAAAATATTAGTTATTTGAATTAACATACATACAAACATTCATTTAAAAACAAAACAAATAAAATATGGGATTGAGAGGGATATCTACATATATAAATGTATTGAGTAAAATACCACATGTACAGATAGGTTTACAATTATATATATAAGAGCAGTACAAAGCGCCTTTTTTGTTAATATTAGCAAAAATAATTTTGTTTTTTGTTTACATTCTACATTATATTGTTATAAAGGGCAAGACACAACAACATTGAATATTGTTTAAGGTTTTTGTTTGTCTATTCTAATAAAGCTACATAACGCTAAAAAATAAAAAAAAGAGAAAGAAACTCAAGAAGTTAGTCACAGATTAGAATAAAAGGCAAGAAATTTTTGGTTTTCAAACTACAATAGTAACAAAGAAAATTAGGAAATGTTATTATGAGAAAGCTACAAATATAGTGTACAAACAAAAATATTGAAGTATTTTTAGTAATTATTATAAAAAACAAACTAATTTCTAATATCTTTAAGTGTATGTTTTTGAGGTAAAGCCAACAACCATGTGAAACAGGTAGGAATTTTTACTTTTTGCTTATTAGATAATTAAAGAACGTATAAAAATTTCGATGAGGAACATTTTTATCGTATCACAAAGTGTATACACCAGTATTACCCATAAGGCTGCGGTTATAAAAATAAGGACCAAGGGTGTATTTAAAAAAAATGTTTTCAACAAATTTAGGTTTTTTTCAGGGACCAACAGACAACAAAGATGGATTTTGAATTATAAAATTAATTCATTTTTAAATATTTTTTATTTCTTCAAAAGGAAAATAATGTGGAGTTTTTAATAATGTTTTGCCGGACCAACTGGTTAAAATAATTTTCCAGTAATCAACATACCTAATGCCATGTTCTGACGGGCATTCGAACAACGTAGTTCGCTCTCAGAATTACGTATATGAATTAACCCGTTCATACAACACTATTCTTAATTCATGTCATCAGAGTTTTTGTATTTCAAACTTTTTGTTTCTTGTTTCACACCAAAATTGTAACATATTTGCGTGAATCACATATGGATCTAAATAGAAAAAATAATTCTCTTTCTCCTGACTATAATATCAACCCCTATCTCTTTACTTTTAATTCATGTTTTCCATTTTTTCTGAAAATATTGTTGTTTTCAATTCATTTTTATATTTTCTCAACTCAAATGTCACATTTAAAAAATTGGAGAATTTTTGTTTGGGTTTCCCCACTTTTGTTTTTCGTTTTGTACGCTAATTAGAACCAAGGGGATAGAAATGCATATTGCATTATGTAGACAACAAAATTTACATCCTTCTGCATATATAAAAACTAGAATTTTGGTTACTTTTCATTCATCATTTTCAATTTTACTGAAAAAGTTTGAAAAATTGAAAATTTTTTTCATGCTGTCAAAATTAATTTATTTTCGATAAATTCTCTCAATAGTTAGAGATGGGACAAAATTCTTGGTGATTCGGAGAGTGATTCGAATTGAACAACGTACAAAAGTCGGTGTTCGCTCAGACAATTTTGTATGGGGAACTAAGTAATTACTTCATAATTAAGGGTCGAACAACGAATGAGAGAGCGAACAACGCTCGTCTGTACATGGCATAAAAAGTTATTTTTTTAAATGAAATAGGAAAAAATCAGCAGTTTTTTCCAAATATCAAAAGTAGTTGATTAAAAAAAATGAATGGATTTTTGGATAATATTTTTTAAAGACTAATTGATTTAATAACATGGAGCCACCAATATATAAATATTTCTTTCATTATAAATATTGATTATATAATATTAAAACATATGTATAGTACCCATCACATATATTAGTGTATCTCATTATTGTTATTCATTAAAAATACTTCAATATTTTTGTTGCTTACTACGTTATCGAAATTATGGTTAGTTACTGGTTCTAGCTATGATATGATATGATATGTATAATTATATATTTATATATAATATATTTTTTTAATTCGAAACATATTCAACATACCTCACGATTATCCTGTGCTATACTATGATTTTGCATTTGTTGCGACTGTTGTTGTTGCTGCTGTTGTCGATCATCATAATCCAACTTATAGGTAAGATCTAAGTTATCATTATCATCATCGAATTCATTTTGACTACTCGAAATACTTAAATTGTCCATTTGACCGCAAAGTTTGTGCCATTCGGGATTATTTCTGGCCATAGATTCAACCTGTTGCCACAAGCCCTCACGTTGAGACATTTTTTCACGTTCCCTGGAAGTAGAGAAAGATATTTTTTTATTTATTTTTCTATCTATGTTTGAAGATATTGCATACAATTGCTTTTCTTGTCGATAATTTTTACTGCACTCGTCAAATAAACGCTGATTCATTTCCATAAACAATTTCAGTGCATTATAAATTAAACCGTGTATGGTTTTGTTCCAATGTGTTTTCGAATTGCGATTCAAGGCAGGAAACATAATGGGTAAAATGACTTGAGAATTGTCCGATATTAATGACATAATGTACTCGTTGTTCCAGTAGTAAAGCGCCCGTTCGGCCACCTGGAAATGTGGCGATGAAACGCATTTGGCAATTTGACGGAATAATGGAACCATGACTTTTTGGAATTCAGCTGGCTCAATGACATCCAACAGCTCTTCCAGTTCATTTAAGAACATAACCTCTTTGGGACTATGGGTTTTGGGCCAGAATTTTAAAAGGCTCCTAGGAAGAAAAAAAAACAATGAAAGTTTAGAGTTTACAATACATTAGTGAAGATTTTTTTAACACACTTAATGACTGGTTCGGCCAAGCTGGGATCTTTTTCCAAAAACTGCACCACACAATAGGTCAATTGCGGATGATAGACGGACAGGCTTTTGGCCTTGTGCAATGGTAACAGTACTTTGAGCAAAAACTGTTTGTGTTCCTCTTTGAGAGGTAAAGCGAAACCATTGATTATACTGCCCAAAATTTCCAAAAGTTCAGCAATGCCATTATGATGTTCCGTTTCATAGATGAATCTGAAAACATGATTGACATCATTATTATTAATTCAATATTTTTGAATAAAAATAGGTTATTTTCTGGCTCACCGGTAAAAAACATTATTGATTTGTTTGCGTATAAATGCTCTCAAACCCAAAAATTTGCCATAAATACGATGTAAAACAGTCTTTAGGAAATCACGTTCTCTTGGATCTTCCGAATCGAATAGATCCAACAATTGCAATACAAACTGATGATCAATATAACGTCTGGCGATGTTCGGTTGAAAATCGGGCGATTCTAAGAAACGCAAAAATAGCTCATAGACAAATTGTAAATGGGGCCATGATGATTCCAATGTGGGTTCATCTTCTTCCGGATCGAATTCGGCACCATTTGGATTTGAAGAAGGCGGTAGGGTGCGAAATAGGTTGACAGCAAACTGAAATACGAGAAAAAATTAAAATGTTATTAAATATATGAACACAGAACAGGGGAAGGGGTTGGTTCTTACCATATTGATTGCCTCGGGATAAATTGCTTCGGTAATAACATTATTTTGATTGGATAAATATTCAACCATTTCATGTAAAGCCGCCCGTTTAACCTCCTTCCATTTTAGGTCGCTTAATGGTTCGGAAAAATCGAACAGTGTACAGCATTGTCTTAGTTTTTGTATAAACAATTCCTCGCGTTCATTGGCAGGAGTTTCTGTTGTGTGGAAAAAATGGAATTGAAATAAATTAATATAGGAATTTTTTTATAGGGATATTTAGATGAAAATAATAAAGAATTTTAAAATAACTTTAAATAATTTTGAACAAATAAAAAATTATTTAAAAGAAAAAAATTGTTTTTTTATTATTGGAATAAAATAAAATTTCATTTTTGTTCGTTCAACAAAAAAAAAAAATAGTTTTCCTTTTTATAAAGGAAGAAAAAAGTGATTTTTTTCAGAATCACCACAGCTATATGGACAATTAAAGACTATTGTCTCAAATACCAACAAAATGCTTATCCAGGATTTTTTAAAAGAATATTTTTTTCTAAGGACTAAAAAACGTTTTTTATATGATAATTTTTTAACAATCACAATTTTTAAAGAACAATTTTCAAAGGGCACAAGTCGTGGATTTTTTAAAGAATTTCCTAGGATCATATGGCTTGGATTTTTTTAAAGAATATTTGTCAAGGAGCTTAGGAAGTGGACTTTTTAATGTCCGTGTTTTTTTAAAGTACTTTTTAATAGACCCTAAAGCATGGCTGCAGCACATGAGGCAGCACTCGATTTGCACGAAATTTCGCACAGCGTATTGAATTGGGTCTAGAATAACGTGTGTCAAGTTTCGTGAAAATCGGTTAAGATTTAGATAAGGCTCCCATATATAGTTTCATCCGATTTTCAGGGTATGGTTCACCAAAGTCCCTATATGTCATTCGATTTGGACGAAATTTGGCACAGCGTATTGAATTAGGTCTAGAATGATGTGTGTAAAGTTTCCTGAAAATCGGTTCAGATTTAGATATAGGTCCCATATATATTTTCGTCCGATTTAAGGTAAATGGTGCACAAAAGCCCAAAAATATGGCCCATTCGCACAAGATTTTGCACAACGTTCTGAAGTTAGTATAACCTACTGTGAAATCGGTTCAGATTTAGATATAGCCCCCCATTGGTTTCAATTTTTCAATTTTTGCAGGGCTACCAGAAAATATTTTGAAGTACTATCAGACTAATAAACCTGGATTTGTTCTTAATAATTTCTTTCAAGGACTGTCAGATTAATAAACATGTTTTTTTAAGCTAGTAAAGGTGTAATTTTAAATACAAAATTTTCTAAAAGACTATTTTGTTTTAAAGTATATTAAAAGCAATAAAAAATTAGGATTTTTATACTAAGCAGATTTTTTTTACCAGGGCAATATGGATGTTTTTTTAGATTTTTTTCCAAGGGATATTTAGTCTCTATCAAATAGTGTACAGGTAGACAGGCAGGCCAACTGTTTAATTTCAAAATTCATATATCAATTTTGACAATAAAACTGAAATTGTCTAGAGAGAGACATCGGGTGAAACATCTCTCTGTCTCTATACATAAATATTTTTTTTCTGAATTAATCATCTTTAACGAAAATTCCTTATATTATGTGTGTGTGTAGTAGATTGATGTTTGTGCTTTCGTCATTGTTAGTTTTGTATTGCAATGCTATTTATTTCGATTTTGTCTTTTTTGTATTATTATTATTTTTAAATTCTTGGCACATTATCAATTTTACGACGGCTGATATAGTAAATATCAAAATAAACAAATTGCAATGTATAAACAACCAACGACAACAGAAGTTTGTAAACAATGATACTAGAATCTATAGTGATCAATATGATGATAATGATCGTGATCATCATGATCATCAATAACAACAACATGATCATGTTTTGTAGGAGATGAGTTGAAACGGTTGTTTCAAGTTGAAGTCAAATAGAGAATATATATATAAAAAAACAACGAGATAAGGGGGTGGCGGGCTGTGTAGTGAGAGGCTGATCAATTGATGCCACAACTTTGTGAAATGATAATTGAAATGACTATAAGGAAGACATATTGAAGTGTTGAATGTAGAAAACGTTCTATAATGAATACATTTTTACTTTTCAAATTTAATGAGTAATCAAAAAATAATTATTGCAAATTAGTCAATTTTACCCCGATATCATTTAAATAATACATAGATAACATAATTTAATAATATTACATATTAAATTATGTTATCTATGTCTTATTTAAATAACATTAAATTACAATCCTAATTAATTGTATTTGTTGTATATTTATGCTTCTCACATTTCCTATCAAATTTATTTAGCAAAGGCTTGTAGGTATTAACATATGTGATATGTGTTAATTGAAAAAGTTGACATTGATGATTGCTTGCTTAGCTATTAATGTCGGTCTAATAAGAAAAATAAACTTAACATACACACACATTTCACAGATAATGTGATTGAATGAAGAAGTGTACGGACAATAAAATGCAATAGCAATATTTTAATGAATGAAATTGCTTTTCAAGTTTAAAATTTAAATTGAAATAAAAGTGTGGCAATTATAGATAAATTCGCTCAGGACAAGATGAATATAAGAAATATCTAAAATATTACATATTTGTTGCTAAGCAAGTAAAAAAAAAAATAATCTTAGATCTACAAAACAGTCATCGACAAACGATATTACTAGAATGTTATAAATAAAGTGGTAATTTTTTTATGAAAAAAATTTTAAATTTGTATGAAAAAAAAATAAGAATTTTTATGAAAAAAAAATGTGTGAAAGGCCAATTGTGGATTTTGAAAGAATATTTGTTATCAAGAATACATCCAACAAAAATGCTTTATTCAAAAATCATATGTTTTTAATGGATATTTTTTAAAGACCTACAGCTTAATACCCGTGTATTTTGTAAAATATATTTTTAATATTTTTTCAAGAAATTCGTAGATTCGTATTCGTAGATTTTTAAATAATATTTTTTTTAAAAAACGTAGATTTTTATATCCAGAATATTTTTCAAATAACCATTAAGGTGCGGTTTTGTACAAGAATATTTTTCAAGTAACCATTAAGGCGTGGAGAATATTTTTAAAGTAACAATTATGGCGTGGAGAATATATTTTTTATGTAACCACTAAGGTGTGGAGAATATTTAAAAATGTTTCTTTATGGATCAATATGATTGAATTTTTTAAGTATATTTTGTCATGGACCAAAACTCAGAGCATTGACCATGGATTTGTATATAATTTTGAAAAATATATACATATATTTTTCAAAGACTCTCTGAGCATTTTTAAGGGGCTTGTTAGAGCATATAACGTGGACTTCTAATTATTTTTTAATAATATTGAAGGACTATAAGAAGACTAGTGACCATCGAGGCATGGATTCAGACGTGAATTCTTATAAGCATACTTTTCTAGTAGGCAATAAGGCGTGAATTCCCATAAGATTTTTGTCTAGTAGTCATTAGGACATGGATTCCTTGAATACAATTTTTCGAGTTACCAAAAAGGCGTAAATTCCTTTAAGAATTTTTTAAAGTAGCCATTAGGGCGTGGATTCCAATAAGAACATTTTTCCAGTAGCCAATGAGGCGTAAATTCCATAGAATTTTTTCAAGCAGCCATTAGGACGTGGATTCCTACAGGAATATTTTTCAAGTAACCTTAAAGCCGTGAATTCTCAAATTTAAATATTCTTCTAGTTGGTAATACGGGTTAAAAAATATTTTTAATGACTACATTTGTGCGTGAATTTTAAAATAATATTTTCTTTCTGAAATTGGAACCATAGTTTTTTTTTTGAATATTTATTCAATTGGCATTCCGAGCTACAAGAGATTTTAAAAATAATTCAAACTATTCGCTTGGATTTCTCAAGAAATATATTTTCAAAGACTACAACAATTATAAAAAATGGCTTTTAAATAATATATCTAAAGACCTTTCGAAATATATTATCTGAGAAAAATATGTGATTATTTATTTGAAGAGTATTTTTTCAAAGGACCAATAGCCCAATAAAATATAAAGAATATATTTTTTTAAAGTAAATTTAAACTGTTCACCTATGGAAAGACTATAGGGCTTTTAATAGTATTTTTAAGCTATACATAAACGGCGAGGATTTAACGACAATCCTAGCTTTAAATCTGTTTTATTAAAAATATATTTGGGACTGCTTTATACGTATTCGTTATTTTTTTACACAATAGTTTAAGGGACGAAGTTCCATGGGACCACATATGATCTTATTAATTAATTTTGAAGATCAATTTCATTTTAAAAACGAAAAATGTTTTTCTTATGTCATATGTAAATGCCTAACTACGTAAATATTTAGCAACCAACCACATTGTGTATATTTCAATTTAGTTTACTTTTCCTTCTGCTGTGGTGCTTATATGTATGTGAGAAGGTATATTATAAAAAAATAAAACTATAAGAAGAAATGAAACAAACAAAACAACAACAAGAAGTTGAAATTAAAATCAATTAAAACACAATAAACGACGAGAGAAAATAAAACCAAATAAAAAATACTAAGTACGCAAAGCATTCTTAATTACAAAAAAATGAAATAAGGAAACAGCAACAACGAAAATGCAAAATAAAACAAACCAAACTGAAACAAAAACGAAAAAATCATGACTAATTGTTATAATAGTTTTGTAATCAACCTCGTAGTAATGGTAATTGCACTGCTGCCGTTGATGAATTTGGCGAATGAAATACATTACGATCTCTAGCTCTACCAGGACTGCCAGTGATTTGTTGCAATGTTTGTGTGGTGGTTGTGGTGTTTAATGAAACATTTGTATTGTTAGTGGGAGTCAGGTCATTGTTGCTGTTGCCAACACCACCACCTCCACTATCATGTCCATTTTGATGCTGTCCTTGATTAAGTTGCTGTAAGGATGGTGGTGGTGCCGGTTGTTGTTGATTATTTGGTTTTGTGGTAGCTGGTGCCGCTGCCGCTTGTGACACTGTATTAGATACAATTGTTGTTGATGCTGTTGCTTGGTTGCCATTATTACGCCCCGGTGACGGTCCACCACCACCACCCGATTTGCCATTATTATTTGCCGAAGCATTACCAATACCCAAAGATATACTTATACCGCTAACTATTTGTTGAGTTACAGAGCCGCCGCCATTATTCGAGGATGCTGGTGCTGCTGATGTGGATGACGACGATGCACTGGATGATGCAGCTGCTGTAGCTGAGGAAGATGATGACGCTGATGAGGACGCGGACGATGCCGATGAAGATAATGATGCTGTTGCCGATGGCGGTGATGATGATGTAGATGAAGATGTTGATTGTAGGCCACTGCTAGAATTAGATGCTGCCGCTGCTGCTGCGCTACTGTTGTTTGCAGCAGAATTTCCCACATTTTTAGTTGCATTTAGGATATTTTTAATGGCTGTGGCGGCACTTACTGGAGACTAATGGGACATGAATATACATACATATATAAAAATTAATTGCCAATTCGTATTATTATTGTAAAGAATTTTGAATAGTGATTCATGGGAAAAGGAAAGCTAGTGATGATTTCAACATTAAATAAAATTAAAGTAGAATAGATGTAGGTTCTTAAAATTGAAAAAAATATTGAGTTAAAATTAAAAAAGAAAGGTATTCCCCTGGACATTTCTAAAGATCTTTAGCCCATTTGGTCTCAATACAGACCAATTGGTCTTTATAAAGACCGGTGGCCTCTATACAGACAAAATTGATCTTTATAAAGACCGGTGATCTCTATACAGACCAATTGGCCTTTAAAAACACCGGTGGTCTCTATACAGACCAATTGGTCTTTATAATGACCGTTGGTCTCTATACAGACCAATTGCTCTTTGTAAAGACCGGTTGTCTCTATACAGATCATTGGATCTATGTTATAACTAATTTACAATCGTATCTTAAAATAAATCTTATACAATCCATATTATAAACTTAAACTAATATACATAAAAACAAAAGAAATAGAAAAAAAAGAAATATAGAAATGTATAAAAAAACAACTTTCATATTTAAAATTCAAATAATACGAATAATTCAATAACAACAACAAAAAAAGAAAATACAAAATCATATTCAAGGTGAAGAGGAGATTATGATGGATTGCAGAGAAGTTGTTGTTGTTGTTGTTATCAAACCTTATTATTGGAACCAAGTGTTGATGAGGCTGTCGTTAGCAGCTGTGTTGCTGAGGTGGCCGCATTAAAATGTTGAGCTAATGTCGACACAATCGAGGATGTTGTCGACGAAATGGAACTTGTTGCAGCTGATGATGATGCCGACGATGACGTTGTTGCTGCAGATGCACCACCACTGTTGCCGCTTGTTGACGATGCCGAGGCCATCGATGTTTTTATTGTATTTTGTGAAACGGATGTAGCTGCAATGTTAACTGCAGAAGTTGATGTCGATATTGAAGAAGAAGAAGATGCTGATGCACTTGAAGAAGATGATGATGATGAAGTTGTTGTTGATGATTGTGGTGTTGTTGTTGTTACTGTGGAGGAGGAGGGGTGGGAAGTTGATTGTGGTGATGGTGATGCTGATGATGCTATTATTGATGCTGATGATGATGGCAATGCTGAACTATTATTACTATTACTACCACTACTACTATTGTTGCTATCGTGAGCATGCAATGTTGGCATTTTATTATAGATTTTCGTAACAACACTTTTCGACGTTGAGGAACTATTTGTTAATTTTGCCTTGATCTCTTCAATATTTGTGAATTTGAATTTGCAACCAATGACACCGACAACACCGACGCCGCCCCCGCTGACGACAGTTGTCGCCGCTGTTGTTGGCTGTTGCGATTGTTGTTGTTGCTGTTGTGATTGCATTACTACTACATCCCCATCCCGCCCGGTGGTATCATCGTCATCGGCCAATAGATCTAATCCACTGTGAAATGATGGGGATTTTGGTATACCTAAGCCAAAATAACCACTCCCCACAGATGGTGGCTGCTGTTGGTTAGGCAGAATTTTTGGTGGATGTCCCGATGATGCTATAATATGACTATTATTCTGTTTCAATTCGTTATTTGCACAACTCACATCAATTCTTCGAATTGTTTTTTTGATGTTGTTGTTTGAATTAATTTTTGCCAAATTTGTATTTGTTGCAATTGCTTGATTTTGAATGTTATTTTCACTAGTATTTTTACTATTAAGATTATTTGTTGTCGCGCTGGCTGTTGTTGTTGTATTATTAGTTGTTTCAAATAACATAGCACAAAATACCATCATACATGTAAGGGGGGTCAAACCACACTAATTTCTTATTTAGATTTTGCTAGTTTTTTTTTTTCAATTAATTTTAGAGCATAGTTTTAAAATGGAATAAGCGAAATTCAAGCATTGTTATCATCTGTAAGAGCAGAAAATCAATAAATATGAAAGATGTGAAAGAGAATTTTGATTTTTTTGGATATATGATATTTAAAAAAATTAATAAAAATAGAACTGACTAATTATAAAGAAGCTACAAATAATAACATGGCCATGGCTATAATAGTTGTATGGGAGTGCGTGTGTATGTGTTTTATTTCAAGTAATGATAAGAGGGTAAACATTAAACTCAAAAATAGTTTTTTAATTCTTTAATTATGTGGGAAATCAATGAATGAATCGAATATGATATCGGCTAAACTTGAAGTTTATACTTCATTTCATTTGGGTAATAACGGGAAAATAAAACAAAAAAAAAATTAATTACGAAAAGGCCAATGCAAACTCAACTACATGGGAAATAAAAAAACAATAAGCAGGAAAAACTTCAATAAGAAAATTGTTTGAAATGATCACCTTTCTAGGAAAAAGTAATGACCAATTGGTGTTTATAAAGACCTATGGTCTCTATATAGACATATTGGTCTATATAAAGACCTTGGTCTCTATACAGACCAATTGGTATTTATAAAGACCTTTCGTCTATTTACAGACTAATAGATCCCTATAAAGGCATTTGGTCTCTTTACAGACTAATTGGTCCTTATAAACACATTTGGCCTCTTTACAGACCAATTGGTCTTTATAGACTGGTGGTCTCTGTACATATTAAGTGGTCTATATAAAGATCTTTCGTCTCTTTAGATACCATTTAGTCCCTATAAGCCCCTTTGGTCTCTATACAGACTAATTGGCCTTAATAAAGACCTTTGGTCTCTATACAGACCAATTGGTCTTTATAAAAACCTTCTTTATACAGACCAAAAGTCTTTAAAAACCCTTTGGTCTATATAAAGACCAATTGGTCTATATAAAGACCTTTGGTCTCTATACAGACCAATTGGTCTTTATATAGACCTTTGGTCATCCAATTAAATTAATATTTTCTTTTATAAAATTAATTATAAATAAATATAAATATGAATCATGTTTTAATTCATGTTCCACTGTATTGCATTGGCATAACTTATGGAATTAAAAATACACATGTTATTAACTAATTCTATTGTTTCTTTTCTTTACTTTATTCCATATTAGGGAATGGCAATACAAAAATAAAGAGAGATGGAAATGAAATATGAAATTTCTATAGTGAAGAAAGCCGATCAAAAAGTATTTACATTTCTGTGAAAGACACCATTGTGTCAATCAAACATCTATTTTGTATTTTTTGAAAGTTCCTAGAGAATTGGGTGGCACACACTAAATATGATGAATGGAAACAGTACATACAACAATACTACGTAGGATGACACTTGAACTTAAACAATTAAAACAAGAAAAAAAAAACGAAATAATGGTAATTTAACAAAAGAAAAAAAAAACAACAAATTGCAAAGCATGTCACTGGTATTTAAAGGGAACATAAATTAAAGAAAAAAAACTACTTTATCATGTTTACATATATTTCTATTTTGTATATACATACATATGTATAACAATTTCTGTGGTGGCTGAAGAAGGGAAAAAAATAGTAACAACTACAATGGCACAAATAAATAAAATATACAAATAACGGCTTATTATTAATACTTCAACCAATGACGACACCAACATTACAAATAATCAAAATAATATTGTTTTTGTATTGTATTATATATTATGTATTTGATTTGATTTGTGATGAGACGACAGCCGGTAAGGGTAATATGTGGACGTGGTTAATGAATGACTGACTGGTGACGGTGGTGGTTATGGTGTTGGTATTGCTTTGCTTGCCTTCTTACCTTTCGTCTAAAATAAATAACCTAATTTAAAATGTATGATTATTGTTATTAGTTTAGAGGAGGGTAGGCTAGGAAAACTGTTTTGCTTATTGGCTATATTATTATTTTCATGTTGTTTGTTTTATTTATTTTTAATTAAAAATACTTGTTTTTTATTTGATTTTTTCGTTTCTTTACTAGTTTTGTCACTTATATACTGAAAAACTTTAACTACTGAGGAGCTAACAACAGAAAAAACGAAACAAATCAATAAACTTTTTGACAGGTCTGCTGCCAAGACAGAAATTTTCTCCAAAGGCCTTTAATATTGCACTCTCTCTCTCTCTCTGCACTCTCGGTGTATGGGCTAGTTGGTTGATTTCTTGACTATCCTTAAATAGTAACTATGAGAGAGAAAGAGTACGAGAGCATAATGCGCATGTACCACACTTTGGCAAATGGTGTGGCCAGGAAATACGTATAATTAAACAATAATTAAGTAAATAACAATACTAATAACAATAAAGATTGCAATAAATTAAAAATAATGTATTTATATAAATTGCTTTTAAAAATCATATTATTGATATAGCACAGACAATATGCAAATTGAAATAAAAATATTAATAATTGTAATATTTATTTATGTCGTTTGTATTTTGCAATCAGCTGATTGTCTGTTTTGACGGAAATTGAGGGAGGAATGGAAAATAAATACACCTACATATATACAATGAGGGTGAGGGAACACAAACAAAAAACCTTTTTGTTATTTTTAAAGATAATTGATCTGTTCCGGTACTGCAAGAACCTACCATATTTACTATTTCCTTCGATGTCATAAAGGAAAATTTGTTATCGTAGTAAAAAATTTATATTCTTGCAGGTTTTGGAACAGACCCCAAGGCCTATGTTTTTTCCTATATTTTCCAACGAGAAGTGGTTGTTATGTGGCATATTGGGTTCTTGATGGCTAATGGACTTCCTCATAGAATGTTCTGTCTTCATTAAGACTATAATTAGGCATTTAGGGGTTTAGAGGATATAAAATCTCCTAACCGAAAGTGTCAATGTTTTATTTCAAAGGTTGTTAAATTGAGGTAATTTTGAAAAAAAAATTTGATACAGGTTCATAATTTGTCATATTTTTTTTAAATATAGGTCAATGTTAAAAAAAGTAAATACAGCATCCGTTCCTTTTTCATTGTTTTAAAGTTACTGGACACATTTTCTAAGCCAAATGGCAGTAATTTTTGTATTTCGTTTTTCAAATAATAATGAATATCTCTTGGCAAATTGTCAAAATATGTCCGTATTTTGTCAAATGTAGTGGTGGTTCGTCCCATATTAAATTTGCTTTCAATTTATTTTTTACAAGCTAAGATCTTATAGTTTGTTAAACGGGTTCTTGGAGTTTTAAAAACTACTTCAAAGAAAATGGTGAAAATAGGCCCAGTTTTAAAATAGCCCCACATATAGTTCCCGTCCCATTTACGGTATATCATTCCCTAATATAAGTATCTAATATTGATGGTTCAAGTCAGAAAATCAGAGACGGTAAATCGATATTTTCGACATAGGTTTTCGGCGTTAGGTCAAAATATCGGAAGCGGTTGAAATTTTTGTATTTCGCCCGAACAATTTTAGGTATTTTCCAATGACTTTAGTAACAAATTAAAAGAAAAAACTTCTTTCTGGCTAGACTTAATTTATTTGTTTTCAAACATAAATTATTAACACAAATAATCAAAGATCCATTAAAAAATAAGTCAAATGTTAGATAGACTTTACCGTTTAAAATCAATTGAGAACTGATTTAAATCTATTTTAAGAAAACCAGTGCTCAGTACTGGTAATTAAAATCTGTCTAGTAATATATAAATATAACAGATCAAATAAGTTAATGGATTTCGGTTCTGTAGTCAACAGTTTAATTTTGGTATTAACCCACTGGAGTGCATGAAATCATGTCAAAATAAAATTTTCTTTTGATTATAGCAATAGATTCGAACTCGCTTATAACGACCGGCGAAATTGGTCACTACAGGCGATAGTCGTTATAAACGATATCAAATAAGAGGCTACTTTTTAATAGCGTCGTTAAAAACGATGTCGCTATAAACCATTTAAAGTCTACAATCCTAACAGCAGGATGTTATTTATTACGGATTATTTATTAAGGGATTAACCGAGGGCAAACCGTATCGCAATAAAAAAACTTAAACATTTTAGATGTCCATCTGATGATCACAGATGTAAGGATGATTCAAAATATGGCGCTATTCAGATGAAATATATATACACCAAAACAAATATTTAAAACCCTCAACAAAAATTTGAATCAATAAATACAAATTAAAATATCAGAATATTCTCCCAGTAAAAAAAACTGTCATATAACTGAGGAAGTTATTACAGGAAAAATTCAATCCTATATAATGTTTTTTTTAATATATATTGAAATATAAGAATACTCACTCTCATTCAAGGGGGATAATGTTGTTAATTCACAATTTTTGGATACATTATAACGTGAGCTGGTTTGTCGTTTCTCCTTTTTGACTATGGGCGTGGTAGTTAAGTTTAAACCTTTAGTTATGGGCGTGGGTGGAGGAGCATCCCTTGGTGGTGTGCTAAGATTTTCTTTATTGGCCTGAAAATTTAATAAAAAAATAATAAATTTGTTTAAGTTACAAAATAAACAAATAAAAAACTATTGAATTTAATATTTTTAAAGAAGCTTGGATTAAAAAGAATATTTTTCAGTCGGATCGGACCATCTTAAAATTTGATATCTATACTCTAAACTCTTAAATTTGGATTGAGCGTTATTGATGGAGTGTAGGATAGATGTACCAAAGGGTTTTTGAACATTCGAACTACAAGTATCCCCAAAAAGTACTAATATGTACTAAATTTTCTATATAATCTCGTAGCATTTCTATGGATAGAGCAACAATTTTGAAATTTTGAATTCGAATTAAGGTCGATATAAGGAGGTGATTTTAAAAGCTTGTACTCATGTATAAGAGAAATACAAACTGTACTAAATATGGTACAATTTGTATTTAGAGAAACGGATGGAAATGGATTCATGAAATTTGAAAATAAACATTGCCATCGGAGTGTAGGATAGCGACGATATGTAGGTAGTTTTGGAAATTTGTACTTATGTATTCGAAAAGTACTAAATAGTACAATATGGATTTGAGTAAACCGTTGGAGCTGAAACATTGAAATTTGGAAGAAAAAAAAGTACTATATTTGGTACAATTTGGATTTGGGTAAACCGTTGGAGCTGGAACCAGAGCACGAAGCCGATCGGCTCGCAGTCGGCGTGCAGCCGCCGCCGACTTTTTTTAAGTGATCTGAGCCGCCGCTGATGTATGCGGCTCTCATCGGCTCAAATTTTTAGCCGACTGAGTCGGCTAAGCCGTTGAAAAATATAAATTTATACAGCAAATTTGTATAAATATGTCTTTTAATCTTATCGATAAATTAACATATTATAATGCTCATTATTGGACGATAATTTACATTGTGCACTCGTCTTCGAGAGGCAAAAACGTGTAGGCTATTTATATTAATTATACCCTACAGCACATAGTGGTAAGGGTATTATGTCTTTGTAGATTTGTTTTTTTTTTATCACAAAACCTTTGGCAACCTTTTGTAACTTACGAATTTTGATGGAGTGGCAACCATATTGTTTGCCAAAGATTCGTTGTGTTTTTGCTTGTTCAAAGAAAAGAATGCAAAATGTGCCAAAGGAATATTAAAAATTATTTTTCCGCTAACCGAAAGGGTCAAACAGTTTTGACTAAATCAGAATCCGATTCTGACGAATCTGTTGATACTGAAATCAATATTTCTCAATATGCAGATGTATCTCAATATGAAGATCTTTTTAAAAAGAAAAATGAATTTAAAAATTTGGCAAAGGTTGTTGTAAATGAAGGTGGTATATCATTGTGTTGGAAATATTTTGGTGATCTCTATTTTAAAAAGAGGCATATACTTCAAAAATATAAATTTTGCAAATTGTGTTTGGATGAAAAGACCAATTTAAAAAGGTAAGAATTTCTAATTTTTTCCATTCGCATGTGTGTAATTGTTTATGATTTTAGTTTTGGAAAATCAACATCAACCACAAATTATATGAACCATCTACGAGCTGTACATAACTTGGACGTGAAATCTTTAAATAACCTGAAAAGTTCAACAATGACACAAAATGCATTGAAATCCTCAACAAGTTGTAACAACAAACAACAAAATGCTCGCCGGGTCGCCGAAATGTGCTGTTGGGATTTGCAACCGTTTAAAATTGTTGAAAGGCCAGGATTTAAGAAATTGGTATCTTTCTTAAACCCAAAGGCTATATTCCCCACAGATAGGACAATAGCTACAACGGCTTTAAACGATGTTTATAACATATATTTGGACCACGTAAAAACAAGCCTTAAAGAGTCGCCCGAAAATGTTACACTTGCATTGGATATGTGGTCAGATAAACATAAGCACTTGTCTTACATAAACATAAAAGTGCATTTCTGCCAAAATTTTCAAATGCAAATTGTAACGCTCAAGACAGAGATCTTTCCACGACCTCACACTGGACTAGCAGTTGTAGAAAAAATTGAAGAAGCTTTATGTGAATTTAATCTGTTGGAAAAAAACATATGTGCTGTTACTGATGGTGGAAGCAACATCGTTTCAGCTTTAAAAATTAAAAATATACCAAGATATGGTTGTATGACTCATGTTTTACACAGATTTTTGATGGAAGATATACTAAACAACAAGTCATTTGAAAATATTAATAACATAATATCAAAATTAAAAAAAATTTATGGCAGCTTAATGTATAGCTATGAAGAAATATCAAATATTCAAAATATGGAGGAACAAAACGATTTAGTAAAAATATTTACAGAGGTTGAAATAATTTTGGAGAGTTTGGATAGTTGCGAACAATTTCCACATGGAGATGACTATTTTACTGAACAATATGAAGCAACTTTAAACGTCAAGCACCACACCTCTTTGAAAAATTCCGTTGCAACACGTTGGAACTCTCTGCTTGCAATGATTCAAAGCTATACGAATAATATATCCACTATAAATATAGCATTAGTTAAAGCTAAAAAGGAACTGTTAGTGATTGGGACAATGGAAATGCAAATTATAACGGAATTTGGCACGTTTTTAAAAATTTTTGAGGACGCCACAAAACACCTTCAAGGCCAAGATTATCCGACGATATCTTCGTGTATTTATTTTCAGGAATCCATTATGTCCTCATTGAAGAAAGAAGAAGAAAAAGCGTCTTTTGAACTAACAATCAATTTATGCAATTTCGCTGTGCAAAACTTTACGAAGCGATTCAAAGTATATAGAATGTATGTTGTAGCTGCGCTTATGGACCCATGCCAAAAAAACTGGCCTGTTTTAGATAAATATATACTACAGATACCCAAACAATCGCCAAACTCCTTGGAACTTGTGCATGATGTTCTGTCTCCAATTTCCAAGGAGAACTTGATTATGGAAGAAATTGAAAAATTAAAGGAAATCGATGACACATTATTAAATGAGCCATCAACGAGCACTGAACCAAATGCAAAAAAACAGGTATTATGTTTTAATAAATGTAAAGGTAAACTTAACTAACGTATATTTTACTTGCAGAAAATATCAGCTAGTCGTCAAAGAATGTTGGAATTTATGGGACCATCGCCTTCTAATGTACAAAATAACGTAGAGTTAGAAATAAGAAAATATTTGGAAATGAAAGTCGAGGCGGTTGAGCCTCTAGATTGGTGGCGACAGAACAAACAAGTACGTTAAAGATTCACATCTTAAACTTATTTTAAGCAGGTTACTTTTTAACCATTTACTTTTTATAGATCTTTCCAAATGTTGCTGCTGTAGCAAATATGTGCTTTGGAATTCCAGCCACATCAGCATCTTCAGAGCAAGCATTTTCATATGCCGGGAATTGTGTAAATGCAAAGAGAAGCAGCCTGCATCCGGCAACAGTAAATAAACAATTGTTTGTTCACGATAACAAGGCAGTCGTCGAACCATTTTTATCAAATTAAAGTATTTTTATTAATTTTTAATGTGCTATAAGCAACAAATGTGCATATAAACTTATATTTTCATTTTTATTTTAAATTAAATGAATTGACAGTTATTAAAACAACCGAAATTATTTGTTCACGTTAAAGTCGTCGTCTGTAGCCGACTTTTAGCCGCCGCCGGCCGTATATTGCTTTAGCCGCCGCCGCCGATTTTCTTTCGGCTGCAGTCGACTTTTAGCCGCCGCCGACTTTTTTATGCTTAGCCGCCGCCGCCGAGAATTTTACATCGGCTTCGCCCTCTGGCTGGAACACTGAAATTTGCAAATAAGATTGGAGTGAAATATTGAGGTGTGTAGTTTTGTAAATTCATACATATGGGTACGAAATGGTACTAAATTTGTACAATTTGGATTTTGGAAGAACCGATAGAGCAAAAAATTTGAAGTTAGGATTATTGTTGGGGTGTAGGATTAGGGTGTGTAGCAAATTTTGGAAATGGTGCAAAATTTGGTATGTAGGAAGTTTTGTAGATTTCGATGAATCGATAGAGCTGGAACATTGAATTTTGGAAATAGGATTACTGTTGGGGTGTAGGATTGTGGTATGTAAGAAGTTTTGGAAATTCGTATTATTGTGTACTAAATGGTACCAAATTTGGATTAGGATCAACCGAAAGAGCTGGAATCTTTGGAGTTACGATAACTGATGAATTGTACAAATAGGCTATGTAGGAAGTTTTGGATATACGTCCTAATGTGTACTAAATTTGATGCAATTAAAATTTTTTGGGGAACTGATAAAGCTGGAATCCTGGAATTCGGAGTTAGGATCACTGTTGGGATGTAGGATTGGAATATGTAGGAAGTTTTCGAAATTTTTACTAATGTGCACTAAATGGTACCAAATGTGAATTTGGTCAAACCGATAGAGATGGAATTTTGAAATTTGAAGTTAGGATCACAATGTGTACTAAATTTGCTACAATTTTGACTTGGGTAGTTTTGGAAATTCATACTAAATTTGGAGCAATTTGAAAGAGCTGGAATTTTGAAATTTGAAGTTAGCATCACTGTTGGGTTGCAGGATTGGGCTATTTAGGAAGTTTTGGAAATTTTGTACTAATGTTTTTTAGATGGTACTAAATTTTGCACAATCATATTTGGGTGAAGCGATCGTGCTGCAACCTTGAAATTTGGAAATAAGATTTCTATTGGATTTATATTAATGTATAGTAAATGGTACTAAAGGTAATAAATGGTACCATAATTAGTATAGAGCTAGATTTCTGTCGAGGTCAACGTTTGGCGTGTAGTGCTGAGTTATGGAGGTAGTTTTGGAAATACGTACTATGTTTTCATTTGCCTACCACTTTATATGAAACAGAGGAAAAAATTCAGAACGATATCTATATGAATTTTTTTTACAACATGAAAACTGATATAGAAAACAATTCTGCATTATTAATAAAAAATACGATTTAGATTTATGCCGGTCTTGCAGCAAATACAAATCAACTATAATTTCTTTAAAATTAAATACTTGAAAACAAGTAACAGAACAAAAAGTGCCACAAATATGAATATACAGTAAGAAAACATAATTTCAATATGTTGGATATATAAGAAGGAAACAAGTAGTGAAGCCATGGAAAAACTTATATGTAGGTATATATGTACATATGTATATAACCTATGTTACACATAATGAATATAATGAAAAGAAAACAGAAAAATATGCACAGATAGAGATATGAATGCCGATCTCAACTTACCTCCTTTTTAATAGCCGCTGAAAATGGTGGCGATGAAGAACCGGAACTTGTTGTATTACCACCACTGGCCAATGTATTGGTAACCACAATTGGTATGGAAGCTGTTGACGTTGTTGTTGCTGTGATATTATTACTGTTATTTTCTTTGATACCGTTGGAGGACGCGGTGGTGGTTGTTATCTTGGTATTTATGTTATTGTTATTATTGTTGTTGTTGTTATTGACAACCACCGGCGACACCACAACATCCACTGGTTTCGAAGATGTTGTATTTTGCTGTAGCGTCGTTGCTGCTGCCTTATTATCCATAACGGGTGTTAAGGAGCCACCTCCTTCACTTCACCTGGGATCCGTGACGTTAGTAAATAATTATTCTTCCTCCTCCAGTGTTGTTGGTTTGTTTAGGGAGGTTGGTTGGCTAGTAGATTGATAGTTTGTAGTTTCCAGCTATCACAACAATTCTCCAATAAAACTTAGATTTTTTTGAAGAGATGATGTGAAGAAAATAGCTAGGTACACAATGTTGTTGTCAATTGATGAAGACGACGACGACAAACGTGCACACACTTAATTGTGATTACTACTTACATACGACGACGACAGACGATGATGACAACAACCACAACAACAAATGATTCAACTAGAAAATCAATAAATGAACAAATTAAAAATTCATATTAGTGAAATAAAAAGAAATTGTTTATGGAGAAAATTTGTTGCAAAAAATATACTATTATTAGGGTTTTATATTTGTTGCTTTTGTTTTTTAAGGAGCCTATCTTAATTTTAGATAATAACTCCATAAGAAAACTTATTATGTGTTTTAATCCTTTTGATAAAAGAAAACACAGCTACGATGGCTATAGGTTCCGACAACACTGTGTTTGTAATATATTTACAAAAATCACCCACACTGCCACAATTACAAAAAACCATATGTATAGTACTAACAAAATGTCATTTAAAATAATATTATAAAAACTAAATCCCTTAGAGCAACATATCGGTTATATGTGCTATTGCTATTTTACTTTTTTACTGCTATTTTAATATTATATTATAGCGACCGATTTCGCCGGTCCCTTGACCGCAGTTACAATCGATTTCGACTGTAGTAAGTAGCATTATTAAAAAAAAAAATTTCCTTCCTTTCGCTTAATATTGAAATTTTAAAAATTATAAATTTTAACCACTTTCCAACAATATACAGGCTTTGCAAAGATAGTCGGCAAATTCGCGTTCGCATAATATTACAAAATTAATTTTCAGCCAAATTTGAGCACTTTGTGCGGGAGTAGACTGATATTCCCCAAATTCGAACTTGATTTAAGTTTGGAAGAAATATTACGTTGTGCAAAGTTTACATGAAATCAGTTATTCCCTTCAAGATTTATAGTGCGCACGAACCAGTCGGAAGGACATCAACTTAAATCAATTTCAAATTGTCCGAAACGGATTTGGTCCAAAAAACAATATTTCGAATAGGCACATTTCTGCCGTATTAAAGTGTATATTCCCTCATTAGCCATAATGCTGAGGGTAGAATGAAGAGTTGATAACAGTGTGTTTGGATAGGCTTATTCAAACTTATTCAAGTCGAGTACAGCTTCGATATTTGAAATTTTACTAAGAAGTCGAATCGATAGCCATTCAAGTAGGCTGCTCACCCATCGTATCTCTCCAAAAATGTATAAGACGCAAGTCTGTGTATAGTAGAAACTAGTATAGTTTAGAAGCTATTCTGCATTTGAAAAATCACAATTTAATAATTTGAATATTGGGGAACGTATGACGAATGACCATGATAAATGCAGTCGAATCTTACTTATTATGTGGTCTATAATATAATATGTATGATAGATTGATTGATTTAAAAAAACGGCAAATATCAGCCCATGTCTTTGAAAAGGTTTCATACAGCCGATTTATTTTTTTATTAGCTGACTTGCCTCTAATATGGGGTTGTGAATGGGTAATATACATTTTTCCAAATTTGTTCATTATAGATTCACATTTTTACTTTGTTCCTATTTAAATTTTGGTCACCATCTTGAAGGATTTAAATAATAACTTAAACGACATGTAGATTAGAACATTTTATCGGGTTTACCTACTTAATGAGGAATTATTTCACATATATGCAATGGAATTGACAATTTATACCCACTGAGTTAACGAAATCCAGTACAATGTAAACGTAATTGATTAATTATATGGGACCTCGTTTTCCCCTATGAACGGTACATTCTGTAACAAATTTTGGTACATCTTTGTTACTTGTATATAAAATATAGACATGCTGAACCGTGTTTTTTTCGAATTTTCAAAATGGTTTTAAAAGTTTGTCCGAGCGAACCTAACGTTCTTCGCTGTCAAATTTATATATACTTGACACACACGTTCCATACGTGGGAAAAATCATTAATTGCAGAAAAATATTTGTTATGGTGGGCTTTGAATATGTGTATTCCCCAATGTAAAATATTCTGTCATTCATTATCTTTCACTCGAAAAACTCTCATGACCATTGACCATGACAAATAGTGTAATGTGGGCCTAAGAGATTTCCATTCTCTCTCTCTCTCTCTCTCTCTCTGCCTTTTTTGTATAATTGTCAACCGAATATTTGTACCGACTAAAGGAAATTGTGGTTAAAACGTTACTTGCTAATATGTTTAGACAATTTATCTATAATACTATTAAAAATATATGTATTAAATAGATAAACAAAAGCCAAGCCTTCATGCTAACTGTCTGAGAGAGTTCTATTCTAGCTCTGTGTTCTAGAGAAAGCGCATGTTATCGGCGCTTTCAGTACACGTTTAGTGTTGTCAACATGTAACATGTCAATCATTGCAAATTATACGTACGCGGTTTTTACGTGCGCGCATTTTTACAGAAAAAATTACAAAAAAGTGATCTTTAAATTTTTTTATAATAATTGTAAAATATGAGGAAGATTGCCTAAAAAGAATAAAAATTATTGATTTGATTTCATTTTGTTTTGAATATACTGGCTTCAACCACCCAAAACTATGCATACCGGTGGTGTATCGATTGTCATTATTGTATATCACTATAATCACAATGACAAGCCGGTTTTACATAGACGAATAGTCAAGTAACCGGATTGATGCATTGGAATTTATGTCACTATTTAGCATTACTTTCAGCTGTATCAACGACATTCTACACACAAAATTTACAAAACACAAAATTTACAAAAGAAACCCCCGTTTAATATTATAAAAAAAATACCCCAAAAAATAAACACATTCGAATATTTTCAAAAATTTTTATATATTATCAATGAAAACACTGTAGTACGACGACGATACGTATTAGGAGAGAGTTATTTTTTCATCAAAACAACAAATGGCGGACGAGAAATAGGCAACAAGTATAAAAAAATACATGTGTGTATGTTTGTTGTGTTTATATGCATGTAGGTATCATCACCATCATCATCAACAACCGCACAATAAATTATGATGAATACTTTTACAGTGTATGGGAGGGAGGTCCGTCCGTCCAACTCAACTATGATTTACAATGCAATTTCTTCGTTCACAGATAATAATCAATGTTTTGGTTTTAAATACTTTTAATTAACAAATGGTTAGTTGTCTTTATTTGTTTGGTTAATTTCTTGTTTCTTGTATTATACGCACCCCCAATATGCGGAATATTTTATTTATTTTCTCTTTTCCTCGATTTAAATTTGAAAACATTAAAATATTATGCTGCAATTATAAACCAAAGAATATTTAACAAAAAAATATATGATGTGATGTGTTCTTGTTGCAGACCGATGGGAACAATTGTAATACGGGGGATCGTCGTTCTGAACGCGGCGCACACACACACTCGCGAACGCACTTATAAACGCGTTAGCCGTTTGTCAACCTTTTTTGATGTCTTCTTCGTTCTATATTTCTTTTTTATAGAGGCGCACTATGTTTTTTTCTCTATTTAAGTTTCTCTTCTTTTCCTCCTATAATAATTCTTCAATAAAATGGATATGGAACTACTACAAATGGTTTATTTGATTTGCAGCACTTTCAACACCAACCAAATCTAGAAAGTCGATCGTCGAACATGAAGAAGAGCAATCAAGCGATAACAAATTCTTATTCGATTATTTTCTTGTTTTTATTTTACAAACTGCATTCAACTTCGATTTCACCTTTTTCAGACATACATATTAAATACACCGTAAATAGATTATTTTCTTAACAATTATTAGATAATTATTTGTAAAATAAATCTTCGCGAATTTCTTTTTTTCATTTGCGAAAAAGAACGACGTTTACTGACTGACCAGAGTAGCCATATCACACACGCAACGACATAAGACTTGGTATGTTGACCAACTATTGCATGACGTGTGACGTCGTTTTGTTGGTAATGGCGTAAAGCGTAGAGTCTGCGATTGTCTTGCTGTCATTGTTCATGGGATGTTTACACTAAAATATTTTGAAACTTACTAGATCATTAATTTTATCATAATACAATTTAATTGAATTAAATTGTATTGAGTAAATAAATAAATTGTCGATTGAAATTATTATTAAGCATTTATGTGGAATTTGTATTAAGAACATAAATATATTGTCAATACCTATTAGTATTTAAATTGTAAAAATGGCTGTTTTAGTTTAAAGATATTTTTCAAATATTTTTGGCCGTGGATTTTTAAAAATTTTTTATTTATTTATTTCAAATTTTTGTATCATAAAGCCTTAAGGCCATTAATACGTATCTGCTGACAAATATACATAGCCTGAGATACATTATATATTAAACATAAATAAATATAACTAATTTTACTTTGATTTCCTAACAATTGCTTGTTTCTGTTGGATTATTGATCCAAATGTCAATTCCATAGCGTATAAGTCAAATATAATCCATAGGATTGGTGAACCTCACCCTAATTACGGTTGGTGTTGTCGTGTCGATAATTGGGCCCTGTCGCACTTATACCACAAATCGGTATTATGAAAGTCGTTACAATACGCCAAATTTGACGTTTAAGATCCTTTTGAGGACAGCATACAAAAAATATAAAAATGTATTAAAATTGCAATTTAACAATATTTACTGATTAACTGTTACTGTTGACTTTATTTTTTTTTTTTTTTTTGCATTTCTCAATATTCATAAGAATTACACTTACCACAAAATTAATTACAAAACAAACAAAATGTCATAGTTTTTTCCATGATGCAATAATAAGGTGATGTATCAAAACAAAAACCTTTGATTTTGTCTCGACCATCTGTCAAATTTTTCCTTATATTTTTCACATGGTTGGCAGCATTGCACATCGAATTCAAGTATGAACTCATGGTATAATAATAGAAGGTCACAGCAAGTGTTGTTGTACAACAAACAATACAACAACCACATGGACATTTGTTGTTGTAAGTTTTACTAGAGTCAACATCATTTGGCAGATGTTAAATCAAATCAGCTGTTATTTGCTGTTACCTTATATAATTGTACCATGTTATGCACTTAGGCGAGTTTACTTGCGGCAATTCTTATCGTTCTCTTTTGAACTTGCTTCATGCGTTTATACACAGCAATTCGATTTCATTTTTTTTATTTGTTACAAATAGTTTTTTCACATTTAAATAAATATAAAATGTCAACAAATACGAAATATACAAAACGAATTGCTAGAAAAATGCCGGTACGAGCATTTCTATTCCCCTTGCCCCTCTCTGCTACAAACAAATACTTACCGCAAGTAAACTCGACTAATCTAAATTGGGACAATGTAAACATAATGTCACATCAAAAATAAAAAAAACATGATTTTATTTCCTTTATTTTAACACATGGTACAATTATAAAAGGTAACAGCAAATCCCAGCTGATTTGATTCCAACGTAATACTAGTGTCAATATGAATTTGACAAATTATGTTTTTAAAAATCACCCAACAGGAAAATTGAGAACGCATACAATTTGAAATTGTTCTTTATTAAATTTGCTCCCGTATTCAATTTACTCAATCTGCCTGTTGGGAAAGTTTGAGGAAGCAAAACTTTCTTCATGGAATAACTCGCAATTCCCTGCATTATCATTTGTGTTACACATATAAGTGGCAATGGCTCAATTATAGGAAAGATGTAGAAGCGATAGAAATATAAATTTGATAGATTTTCATTCATGTTTTTCAATTTTTATTTTGAGAATTCGAAAATATTTCATTATAAAAATAAAAATAATTTGATGATAATTTGTTTGTTTGTTTACATTTTTCTGTCAAATGAGTTGACACTAGTAGAACTTACAACAACAAATTTCCATGTGGTTGTTGTATCGTTTTTTGTACAACAACACTTGCTGTTACCTTCTATTATTATACCATGATTTTAACATGTCAAATAAAAAAACAAGTTGGATGTGAATGCATCAACAAGAGCAATGAATCAAATGAACACTAGTTTCAACAGTTCTGCCAAGTGAATTGTGATAATTCACACAACAGTTCAATTGTAGGCAGGCAGCAAAATAAAAAACAAACATTTTTACAGGGAACTCCGACAAATTAAAAGAAATATAAAATAAAAAATGATGAAAGTTTCTATTAAAGTATTGAATGGGCAAGAATGTCATTTGGAAGTAAGTACTAACATCACATGATTCTTTTGTACATGATTATTTACAATTTTATCACCTGTCATTAGGTTGAACCGAGCACCACCATCAATGAGATCAAACAGGAAATAGAAACGAGGCTTGGTATTCCCAAGGATTCCCAGAAGCTTTTATTACTTGGACGTACATTAAGTGGTGATCGAGCCCTGTCCTCATATCCCTTCATAAAGAGTAATGAAGTGAAACTAAATTTGATAATTGTCAAACAAGACATCAAAGACATTATTCATCGCTCTTTCCGCAAATACTACAATGAAACCCAATCGGCCGCCCTCACCAAGGAATTTATGTTGGACTTGGAAAAGAAACTAAAGGGATTCAGTCTGGATGACATAGAGCGTTTGGCTTCGGACCATGTTGTTTGATTTAGTTTATTTTCTCTCTTTTTTCATTGTAACAACAAGCTGTGTTTTCGTGTTTTTTTATCCATTAATTAATAAAATCTAAAATAAGGTTGGCAATGCCATTTTGTATTTTCTTTCTAATTATTGATTATGACATTCTGCCTGCTGCTGCTGCTATCATATGGTCGGCCGCCTATAGTATATGCAGCTCATATATCATTTGAGAAGAAACGAGAGAAGACGAGAAAATGCAAATTGGTCGCGTTATATTCCAAAATACTTTCTCGAAGTTGCAATCGATACGTCAAATCTCTACAACGTTGAACGCAATGGCTCCCATTAAGGTATGTTCCGGGATTGGCATTTATATGGTTTTATTTTTGGAATCTCAGAAAAAAGGCTCAAACGATTTGTGTATATTATGTAATTATTGCGGAAGTACTTGAAAAATCAGATTGTAATCCTAATTATAATATGTGAAAGCATGATGTTACATTCTCGAAAAGTTGCAATTTCTTCCAAAAAAATTTAGCATTTTTTGACAGAAGTACATAACCATTTGGTTACACGACAACCAATACGGAAATGAAAACTATTGTAAGTTGCAAAGAGCCGGGAATTGAGTTACTATTTGCAAAGTATTGATTATCGCTTAGAGAGCATAAACATTTCTGCAATCTGGGAACGAAATTATCACACGTCTTTCTTAAATTGTTTATAGGTTGGCGAAAAATTGCCCTCTGTGGATCTGTTCGAAGATTCTCCAGCCAACAAGATTAATACTGGTGATTTGACTTCCGGCAAGAAAGTTGTAATATTTGGTGTTCCAGGTGCTTTCACTCCCGGCTGCTCCAAGGTAATAGTTAGCAAATATTACAAACTATGGAATTATTTTTTAAATATGTATTTTAATTTCAGACACACTTGCCCGGATATGTCTCCTCAGCTGATAGCTTGAAGTCACAACAGAAAATTGATGAAATTGTTTGTGTCTCAGTAAATGATCCATTCGTAATGTCGGCATGGGGCAAGGAACACAATGCCTCCGGAAAGGTACGCATGTTGGCCGATCCTTCTGCCGCTTTTGCTAAAGCCTTGGATTTGACCATTGACTTGCCACCATTGGGCGGTGTACGTGCCAAGCGTTTTTCCATGGTTGTGGAAAATGGACAAGTCGTTGAATTGAACGTCGAGCCTGATGGCACCGGCTTAAGCTGCTCTTTGGCCAATAATTTGGGTAAAAAATAAGAGATTAACATTAATGCAATTAAATTGCATTAGTTAAATGCATTATCTACCGGAATATCAAATAGGAACGTAGAACGTGTAAGCTGTCAATTGAAAAATATAAAAATATATAATTCAAGCGTAGGCTATAAACTGTAGATGGAATATAACGAATAAAGAAAATTATAGACAAAACATCCTAAAAATGTTTTTTGTACACTTTTTTATTTAAAAATACAAAACTAACTTAATTAACATTTCGGAACGATTTCTAATTTTTGTGATAAGAGTTTGCCATATCCACCTCTACCGGCATCATAATCTGTACGATATTCATCACGTACTTGTCCCCCGGTTTTGCCACGGCCATATTGTCGGCCTTCTATAAAGCCTGCATCCCAATCCACACGAATCAAGCGATCGTCCAGTCTTGTGCCATTAACATATCTGAAAACAAGAAATTACAACAAATGTCACTAACATTTCTGGTCATTTCCAAAAAGTAAACAGAACACCCACCTCATTGCCGTTTCCGCATCTGCACGGGTGTAATATTCTACAAAACAAAATCCGCATGGTGTCTTTTTATATTTATCCAAACCCATAATTATTCGTCTCACCTCTCCGCATCTTGAAAATAGTTCATGAATTTGTTCCTCGGTTGTGTAAAAGGACATATTGCCCACATATAATGTGGTCGATTCCCGCAGAGATCGCTCTTGTTCCGAACGTGAACCCTGTTAAAAAAAGAAATTTTCTCTTTTGAATTTCATTCCAACAATTAATCGAGTTTTTCCTCACTTTGAAGTGCTGATCACGGTAGGAGCTAAGTTCTATAGAACTACCAGACATCTTTAAGGACCTTTTTCTAGAATTGTTGAAAAAAAATTGTTTACTCGTATAAAAAATGCTAAAACAACGCCACCGCTTCTTTAATATGTCAAAATGTGACAACGACGGCCATATGTTTTAATTTAATGCGCGTTGCCAATACATAACAGTAAAAAACGCCAAAACAGAATTGGCAAAGTTGAAAGTCGTGGTAGAAATAAGTGATGTATCAAAACAAAAAAAAAAAATGTTTTTTTCCCGACCATCTGTTAAATTTTATCTATAAACATTTCTCATGGTTGGCAGCATTGCACATTGAATTCAAGTAGAAACTATGCACTTGACAGTTAATATTTTTTACATGGGTAAGCCATATTTTGAAAATGTCAGAATATATAAAAATATATTCTTCTGCGAATAAAGTAGAATGTACGTTTACATTGTACTGAATTGTGGGTTAAATAGTCAATTCCACATTAGATGTAAATAAAAAACATACAGTTAATCAAAAAGCATTAGAATATTTGGCAGAATATTAAATGCAATTACCAGGACTACGTAAATATTGCAATAGCTTCAAACGAAAAGCATTATTGATTTGTGAAAATATTCTCAGTTCAATGGGCAAATTGCAATTTTAAAATGAAAAGAAAAATTATAACAATTTAAATGTTTCTGCGATATTTGGAAAATCCAAACTAAATGCTAAAGGCTATAATAGCAAAAATTCTGTAAATAACTTTTGTTTTCTTTTGTTTTTACATTTGACTACTATTGAATATAAAAAACAAGATGTGAAAACAGTTGCATATTTTGGTAATTTGTGAAAAACTTCTTTCTTTTTTGTACAAAAATAGCGTTGCACCTCTTTAGTATCATGATTCCGTTCATGATTTCAAATAAACCTTGCTGCAAGGTGATTTAAATTCTTAAGATAAATCATTGTAAATTTCGTCTGATTAAGAAAATAAACACTGACTCGGCACTTAATCGATTTCACTCGATTTTAGAAAGAAAATTTGGCATTCATTTAGTATCATGATTCCGTTCATGATTTCAAATAAACCTTGCTGCAAGGTGATTTAAATTCTTAAGATAAATCATTGTAAATTTAGTCTGATTAGGAAAATAAACACTGATTCGGCATTTAATCGGTTTCACTCGATTTTAGGAAGAAAATTTGTCATTCATTTTTCGTTTTATATGTTATTTTTTTAATATACGCAAAGTTGGCATTAATTTGTCATTAACGTTGCCAACTTCATATAATCTACAAGAAGAAGAAGGGTAAAACAACAAATGACAGCTGTTAACTGAGGGAAAGAGAGCTACATGTATTTATCGCCAAATGTGAAGTAATTATTAAAAAAGGCAAATACTGGCAATAATCCACTAAAAACGAATTAAAATAAAACCGCCACATATATCTGGAAATTTATATTCCCCTGGAATATAATATCCACACAATACCGTACCAGTGTGGTATTTGCAAAACATTTGTTGTTGGATTAATCATAAACATCTCACAAAGTATTTTTATGCATTTTACTTTGCCTGCAAATCAAAAATAAAACTGATATTGTTGTTTAAATGTACACGAAAATCTGTGATAAAATGTTCATGTTGCACTATTACTAATCGAATGAATGATCAATGCCAAAAGTATGGAGGGATTCGTTGCCGAAGATAAATATCAAAAGTTAGCCAGCGAATATGCAAAGGTATGTCAAGTTGGCCGAAAAACGCCCATTGATATGAATAGCAAGCACTCTTGTTAAACGGATCATTTTTGTATTTTTTGGTTTTATCTAGATAAGGGCTCAGGCTTCAGTATTGCGAAAAGGCATATTGGAGGAACAATCAAAAAATTCCAATCTACGTGATCAGCTGAAACAGAAAGAGCTAGAGGCCAGGCGGGCAGAACAAGAAATTGACTCGTTGGGTTTTCGTAACAAGCAGTTGGAACTAAGGGTAGCCGCACTTCAAGAAGAATTGGCCACAAGTGAAGCGCGCAAAAAGGATAAAGATAAGAAACGAAGCCACCACGATAAAAATGATGCCTCGCACACCAATGCTATGGGTAACAAGGGGGATATCTCACAGGATGCATTAATCTTTGAGGAGTTACAGAAAAAAATTATTGAAAATGCTGAGCTGACTTCACTGGTATATCGTCGTCGAATAAATACATTTTATGATTTAATTAATTCGCTTTCCTTCCCTCCATTAGATCGATGACAAAGAAAGAAGTCTGCAGTTACATGTTGAACGCATCAAAAACATGGAAGATACAATAGAAAAACGTAATATTGAGCATGCCGATAGTGAAAGGCGTTTACGTAAAGATATCGAAGCACTGCAATCTCGAAATCAAGAACTGGAAACAAAGCTTGTCGAAGCAGCAAGCATGGTAAGTAAGACAGGTAAAAAATGTATTAACTTAAATTACATTATGTTTTCATCTTTAGCTGGGCAGTGAAGATGCTTTAAGTGCATCGGGCAGCGAGAATACACCTTTACACAACCATCATCCAACATCTCATCAAATGGAAATTGAAAGTCGCATTCATGCCTTGGAACAAGAAGTGGCACATTGGCGTTCACAATATGAACTAAGTAAACTGTATGCCGATTCAATGGAAATAGCTGAAACAAGTTTGCAAGGCAAGGAAGAAAATCGGGCAAATTCATCTTGTAACAGCACAACAACAGCTGCAGGCCTTACTATTATACCTTCATTTGCAGATGGCAAAAAGTGGGTATTTTTACATTAAATAAAATAATATTTATTTAATGTTCTCTTCCTTAATTTATAGCAAGAGAGACTCTGGAAAGGATCACCATGCAATGCCATGCAGCAAGGAACTACTAATATTCAATCATTTGAGTAAGAAACTGGAAGACCTACTCAAAGATAAAGTATGGGCCGAATCCAAAGTGCGCAGTGTAGAAACTGAAGTGGATAATTTACAAATTTGTCTCGAAAATGCTACACAAGAACTGAAAAACAAAGACGACCAGATTGAAAGCATTAATCAAGCACTGCATTTACTGGAAGAAGACATGGTAATGTTTGATATAAATATTACAAAAATCAAATTATATCATAATACATTTGTTTTCTAATCTTTATAGACTACCACAAGAGTTAACTACGATGAACAGATTAGTGTTCTCACCGAACAGATTATTAGCCTAAGCGAACAGTTAGCTGCCAGTAAATAATTTGTTGTCTCATCTGTGTAGTTTATTGACAATTCTTTTTTTGTTAGTCAAAAATTGTGTATTTATTTATGTAATAAGCGCTTTTTGACTAGACGCGCGTCTGCTGCGTCTGGTCCTAATTTATAATTGTAAACAACAACAGAAAAAATAAAAACGTCTTTGTATATAATCTAAACGACATAGTCAAACCACAGTTAGTTGGATTTCTTTTTGATCGTATAACAATTAACACATAGATCTCTCTAGTCCAATTTTATGGCAAACGATGATCCACAAGAACAGCCCTGTTCAGCTTTCGGATTGGCCAGCATACGAAAACCGGAACGAATTAATTCTGTATGATAGTCGACGGTGGCACCATTACAATATTCCAACGAAACCGTATCGATGACAACTTTGGCATCATCTTTACCAAATTGTAAATCGTCGTCGTTTAATTTGGTGTCCAGATCAAATTTATATTGAAATCCTGAGCAGCCACCACCCTCTACGGTGATACGTAAAAAGCTACCATCTCCACATATTTCCTTTAGCCGCTTGAGACATGAATCACTGATAACAAGTTGTTGATCCGACGAGGTAGTGGGTGAGGATGCGGCTTTTGAATAGTTTTTGGGGTTCAGGGCTTCCGCTGCTAGCATGGGAATTCGTTGATGTAAACAAAAACTATATAAAATTAAAACTAGTTTTTAGATGTATTTATATTATTATTGTGAAATATATACAATATATACCTTCCCTGGCCAGGTCGTATGAGATTTCTTAATAAGGATGCCATTTTGTTTTGTATTATATATACTCCTGATGCTTTACAATAGTCGTAATTTTATTTAATTTATTTATGCAAGATGCTTTGCAATAGTCGTAATAAGCGAATAGTCGTAATATAAGCTGAGGTGAAAGCAAACGAGACGAGGACCAACCTGGCGAATGAGAATCAAAACAAACGAGAGTAGGACCAACCAACAGCTGATCACAATTGAACAGTTGATCAGCTGTTGAACGAACTAGTTCATTGAATTACACTTCGTTTTTGTATTCACTATAACATGATAACACATTGTTCTATGGACTATAAAATAAGAGAATTTACGTTCTCGTTTACATCGTACTCGATTTAACTAAAACGGCATATACATTAGAACTTTTTACCGGGTTAAACTACTTTATGGAGATTTATTTGACATATATGCAAAGGAATTGACAATTGAAACCCACTGGGTTAACGAAATCCGGTTAAATGTAAACGTACTTTAACAGGATTTATTTAAATAGCATAATAAGTAATAAACTAAGTGTAAACGTGTGGAACATAATTACTAATTAAATAGATTGCACATATCAGGTTCGTGCACCTTCTTTATTTTTAATTTACGCTGTTTTAAAATCGATGATTTGTATAGATTCTGAATGATTTCCATATAATAGATATAATAGCCCCAATTTTACTTGTGGCAAGTAGACATGTGCATGAATGTACCCCCATGGTACAATTATTCAAGGTAGACCATAGCAACCAATAAGTTACAATTTTTTCATACTGTGGCTTGTTATGCTAAAATCATATACAAAATGTGTGACTGTGTGTGTAATGTTTTGAAAACAAAAATACAAAATATATTCGAAAATCGATTTTTTTGAAGATGATTTTTACAACATATGTAAGAAGATTTTTGAATGATTTGTGAGTAAATAAACATGTAAATCATATCCCCAACACAATTTTGAAAAGAAAACCTGACATTCCATTCATTTTTCGCGTTTTTGGTAAAATGTTAAAAATGTGTCAAATGAACAGAACGGCTTGTTGCATTTGTTTTCATTTTAATTAATTCTAATTATTTCTTCTTTTTATTTTGATAACACAGTTTCATGTACAGAGGATGATTAACCGAATTAGAATTATGGCTCAGCTGACTATCTGAATAACTGTCAAAGTGCGTTCTAATTGAATTCGATGTGCAATATTGCCAACCATGAGAAATATCACTAGATAAAATTTCACAGATGGTCGAATAAAAAACAGAGGTTTTTGTTGTATACATCACCTTATTATTGCATCATGCACCAGCCAAATGTAAACATACATACACTGCACATTGAATTCAAGAAGAAATTACCCACTTTGACAGTTAATCAAGACATTAGCTGCGTTAAATGGACTCTCTATTCAATGTGCCATGGTCTCGATCATCTGTCAAATTTTTCCATATAATATTTCACATGGTTGGCAACATTTTGCCACTCGTGATACGTTCTATTTCAAGGTGCTCCTTAAACAAAGGTTATCTAGAAATTGGTAGTTGCTTAATGTTTTCACAACACTAGTCCTCGAACGTAAACAACAACACGTGCAGAAAATAAAAATAAATTACAGATTTTCTTAATTTATTTTTAATATTTTTATTTAAATAATTAAAATAATGGCCAGAAGACCTGAACATTCTGCTCCTCCAGAAATTGTATGTACTATTATATATTTATTAAAAAATAGCAATAAAAATATCTTACATTTTTAGTTCTACAATGACGATGAAGCCAAAAAATATTCAAACAAGTGAGTAAACAATTTATTTCCTGGGAATATAATTTCCTAATTATTTATATTTTTATTATCACAGCTCTCGTATTATTGAAATTCAAGTGGAAATGGCTGAACGTGCTTTGGAGCTACTAAATTTAGATGAAGATGAATCGTATTTAATTTTGGACATTGGCTGCGGTTCGGGTCTATCGGGTAGCGTTCTTGAGGATAACGATCATATGTGGGTTGGCATAGATATATCAAAATCTATGCTGGACATTGCCGTCGACAGAGAGGTGGAGGGAGATTTGATATTGGGCGACATGGGACAAGGTATGCCTTTTAAACCGGGTACCTTTGATGGAGCCATTTCCATTTCTGCTCTCCAATGGTTGTGTAATGCCGATAAAACTTCACACAATCCCCACAAAAGACTGTACAAATTCTTTTCCACACTCTTTTCAAGTTTAACACGTACAGCCCGTGCTGTATTTCAATTTTATCCTGAAAATGCCGATCAAATTGAAATGGTCACAACACAGGCAATGAAGGCCGGGTTTTATGGTGGCATTGTTGTGGATTATCCCAATTCAACAAAGGCGAAAAAATACTTTTTAGTCCTGATGACAGGTGGTGCTGCACCAATGCCCAAGGCCTTGGGCAATGAAGAGGACGAGAAACGTATTAGCTATATAAAGAAACGTGAAATGACCAAAGATAGTAGAGGCAAACCGTTGAAGAAATCACGTGATTGGATTTTGGCCAAAAAGGAACGTAGAAGGCGTCAAGGTAAAGATACTAGACCGGATACAAAATACACGGGCCGTAAGCGCAGTGCGCGTTTTTAGTTTTGATTTGTTGGTGGGGCGGCAATGTGAAAACCAATTGGCTTTATTATTTAATGCGTTTAATATATATATTTTTTTGAATAATTCGTATATACAATTGAGAAATATATAATGAGAAGTTCTTTATATTAAGAATGGAAATAAATGTATATTTTTTCTAAAAATTATGTTAATTTTTTTTTTGAATACCCATATTTTAAAAATTATAATAATCATAAACAATTAGTAGCCACTTCAAATCAGTTGGGTGTTAAATTTTGAACCTTTGGGGTCAAAACCTACCTTAAATGTATGTTAAGAATATTTTATTGAAAACCTCACATCAGCACTAAATAATAATTCGATTTGATATTTTGCATATTAATTTCTTCTACTACTAGGATATTTTAGGTATTTAAAATAGGATAAAGAGCATTTTTAAGATTATATTCGAATTTTATAATGGAATGGTGTATATTTTAGCACTAGTTGTTTGTGGAGAATGTAAAACGTATTTGCAGAAAATTCCCAATATAAATAAATGTTTTGACATAGATCCCATATACTGGTCCCAATGATTCCGGGCATTTCTCAAGTGAAGTGACCGGAAAAAAAAAACTTCTTGATAAACTATTTTCAATATAGATCCTTGTTTTGGCATATCCCTATATAAATATCCCACTTCATTTTCAGTTTTGAAGATTCTAGACGAATTCGGTATTTTCCTTTTACAGAGGATAAAAAACCTCCTCAACCTTTCGTTCTCTACCGAACAAAATTAACTTGAAGGCCTCAGTCGTAGTCCCGTTTTCTTCACTACACATCAATTGTGCCAATTCATATTTCTAGCGATATGGACTTCTAAAGTTCGGAAATAATTATTTTTTTTTTTCGTTATAACCTACCCTAGATCGGCTGAAAGTTTTCCAAGTAGTGTTAATTAGTGTTGTTTTTTATTTTATTTCAAATAATGTTTAAAGTAAATATTACAATTATCTACTTTCTTTATTAATTTTTATATATATTAGTAAAATTTAACTATTATTTCATATACGCTTTACGTCGACTCCATTTAGAATGCATGGCAACACAAACTCCCTCTAACGGCAAATAGCAGTGTTAACATATGTTTCTCTCTGAACACTTCCAACTGTCAAAAATTCGCATGCACAGTGTGGTAGCACTGACAATTTCCGTCCTCCATCTTTTTGCTTTGAGGTTTCCAAGATGGTAAGTCGTGCGGCCAATGTTTTCGACAAAAATTTCGAATAAAAACCAAAAAAAGTGAAAATAAAAAAATTAAATGCAACTAACAATAAAAAATACAACAAACACTAGTGAATGTGAAAAAAACATGAAACTACAGTGAGAATTAAATGAAAACAAGAAAACTAATTCAATCTAACCTCATTAAACAAATGCTGTGGTGCCTGGTGTATTAATAAATTGTGTGTTTTTTTTTTAATAATTACAGCCGCCAAAGAAGGACGCAAAATCGTCGGCTAAACAGCCACAAAAGACACAAAAGAAGAAGGAAGGTAGCGGTGGCGGCAAAGCCAAGAAGAAGAAGTGGTCCAAAGGAAAAGTCAGGGACAAGTTGAACAATCAAGTTCTTTTCGATAAGGCTACCTACGAAAAGTTGTACAAGGAAGTTCCCCAGTACAAATTGATTACTCCCTCTGTAGTCTCTGAACGTTTGAAGATCCGTGGCTCCTTGGCCAAGCGTGCTTTGATTGAATTGCGCGAAAAGGGTATGTTTTTAAAAAACGAAAATTATTTTACAATTATATGATTTTAATTTTTGTTTTTCTTTCTTTCTTGCAGGTTTGATTAAACAAGTCGTCCAACACGCCTCTCAAGTCATTTACACACGTGCCACCAAGGGTGATGATGCGTAAATGTGTCTGTCGTTTGTTTTAAAACACTTCCTAAGAGACATGTTTTACATATTTTTTTGTATTAAATGACTTAAAGGTAAAAAAAATCCAAACCAAACAATGTGTTCTCATTTCCAAATGGATTGATTGTGTACGTCAACGTGGTGTGGTTAACACACACAGGCATAAACAAGTTTTGAAAACAGAAAATAGTTGTGGTGGGTGCGCAGACTTTTTAGTGTCATGAAAAATATTTAATTACTTTCCAGTACAAAAATAAGTTGTAGTGATTTTTATTTAGTTAGCGGCATTTGTGCAACAAATACTTTTATATTCTAAGTTGAGTACAGCATGACTTACAGTTAACAACTTTAATAATGTACTTTTGTTTTAGAAACTTATAATTTATAATTGAGTTTTACAAAAGAAATTTTATTTTCAATTAACTGCTACTTATAAACTTCCAATTAAAACTATTTTAAAAACTAGCTGCTACAAAATATTGAATTCTAGTTAAATGGGCTTTAAATTTATTATTCATAGTGCAATTTTTGGAAGAAAAATTATCTTGTTTATATTTGGGAAAAATAACGAAACGAAGTTGTAATTTTAATGTATTTGTTGCAGCAAGGTTCGGAACAAATCTAAGTCGAATTCATCTTATTTATTTTATTGAAATTCTTATGCGAAATCATTGATATATGACACTACTCTAAACCGAAATACATACTATACGGGAGGTTTAAGACAGCCATGAAAAAAAAAAACAAATTTTAAATCATTTTTGTTTTGAACAGTTCAACGGAACTTTAGAGCCCCCTGTTCCAAAAATTATGGACTTCCATATATGGGCTTATGGAATATATGCCATATATATAACGGATATCTTGATAATCTTATGATACACACGTTATTCTATTTTATATTCAGGCCTAATCTTTAATTTATAATATCCTATACAAAGAAAGCCTACAAGGCCCTTAATATATATTATTATATTCATAACTAAGTACTTCGTATACAAAAATACACGGTCGAATGGGAGCGCTAAAATTCGTATGTCGACATAAATATTTTGGTTAGTATAAGCAATTATAGATAGACCCTTATTATGGGTCTATCTTTAGTGTTGTGTAGAGATGAAACGAAGGAATTCTGCTCTGAAACTATGCGATTTAAAAATATGCAATTTTAAATTATTGACCCTTCATAGGACCTAGGTTTGGTAAATACATAACGATGTGCAACGTTTGTTGTCTTATACCACGATGGTGTGCACTGGTGTAGACTTCGTCTTCGAACTTCATTAACGATTGGAAGTACATAGTATAAAAATAGGCAAAGTTTGGACCCAAGTTGTAACCGCCGCCAAACATTTCTAAATCGGCTTCAAATTTGAGTGAATCTGGTGGGTCGTTAAGGCATTAAAATAATTATTTCTATACTGAGAACATTGTTAAGATTGAAATAAATAAAATAAACATTGCTATAACCGGAACATAGTTGTGTCATTGTTTGCATAGCATTTCAATGTCAGGAGTATTAGGATTAAATCTGTATGGATTCCTCAATAGGAGAAAGTCTTAAATCTCCGACCGAATTCCTACCACCCACACTTATAATTAAATGAGGAAATTCTAAGGAAGTGTGCACTTTTTTAATAGGATAAATTTACTTTAGCAACTTGTAGTTCTGCCGATTTTAATTGATACCCATTTTGCTATTTTAAGATTTATAAAAAGGCCCCCCACGGAATTTTGAAGGCCTTTTATCTCAGGAAGTATCAACTTTTTCGATAAGAAAATTAAATTTTTGTAATCAGAAATTCAAACGCACCGATTTTACCCTAGCTAATTTCAAAAACCAAGAGAAATTACAAGGGTCTAAACGGAACTTTAGTAAGAAATTTATACAATTGTACAAATTTGAAAACCAACCTCGACCGGCAATTCAATAGACCAAGTCTTGTGGTCTATTGAATTCTGGGCAGATGTATTGCGAAGTTGGATGTATCTATCGGGGATTAGACTTCGGCGGACACCGGCTAACTTGATCCGCTCTACGGGGTGTGGTCCTAACCCTTACCCCACTCTTGACATGCAACAATAACCCACATCTTGCCCATCCAACCTTGGTCACCACTAAAACAAAAACAACATCCCCAAATGCATTCGGGCATGGCTAACCATACTCGTATAACTATGGTTAACCACAGAAACTGCCTGAATAACATTAAGCTCTTCCTAGCTCCTCCATATATACCAGCAAGCAGGAGCTAGGGATTAATTTAAATGTGGATTCGCCACCGCCACGAAGGCTGAAATGGTCTCGTCTTATAGTCCCCCCACGAAAAATATTTTTTTGATGTCCAGGTGTGGACTTCGATTCCTTTCTTTTCGAGAGCTTCGCAACACATTTTTTGTCATAACAAGATTTTATTGTACGGCGCTATCAGGGATTTGCTTATTTTTGCACCCTGAGTCAGCCTGCCTAGCTTTTAATTTCTGCTTGATGTAGTTGGTGTTCGAAAATCATAAAAATGTATTACTATTCACCAAATTTACTTCTCGCTTCCATAAATAATTGGAGATTGCGCTTCCGGAAGAAGAAATTGATAATAACTCGATACATTCAAATCTTTGCACTTGTGACGTCAAAATTAACGGCTCATGGAGCAATGGGGTGGTTTGCAAGATAAATGCTGAACGAAATGTTAGAAATGTTGCTTTTATTACAACAACACGTAGATATTTTCGCCATTCGCTACTTGATTATGTGCAGGTTTGAGTGTGTGTGCCAAAATTGCTGATGATTTGTTTTTACAGTGGAACATCTCTATTAAACCTATGGTCATTTTTTAATTTTATATAAATAATTTTTAAAAATTATATTAATAATTCATGTTGTAATTGCACAAAAATAGTACTCAAAATAATGCTATGCAAAATTCCTGGTACATAAGAGTTATACAGTATTATAATCTGTTATACTAAATGATAGATACATCTAACGAAGAAACTCAGCTCAAAGAAGATGAGGGCGGTATATACATGTTTCACTGTATGTTATTGTTCAATAAGTGTACACACTTGTTATTAGTGTCATGTGCTTTGGACATCTAATCAGCTGAATTATCAAGCTTATGACGCGTAACGTATTTAACAAAAAATCTCAGCGTACGACTACATTTTGTGTATAAAAATCTACACTATAACTTTCATCAGAGTTGTCTAGATCTCTATAGAAATTAGTACTATTAGACAAAAAGTTGGAAATAAATAATGCCCAATACATTGCTACTCATTAATTACAACCTTTTTCACTTAAATACCAATTATTATTGTTAATTTCCATAAAAATACAACAAATTAATGTATTTTTGAAATTATTATTTTTACGACGTACAAAACCCATACGCCGCATCTATACGCCATCTCTGTTTTATAATGAACGTTAGCCGGGGGAACGTTTTTTTATTTCGATTGCAACTGTCAAAATCTTACTACTTCTTGTCAAATAGAGACATATTTTGGTATTGTTTTAATACGCTAGAGAGCAGCACTTGATCATGTGATTAAGGCTGAAAGTTTTTCTCGTAGTCACCTGTCATTGAAAATATTCTGTAATTTTTGTGAGTTTTTTTCTCCGTTGAATTTTTTGTTTCCTCCCCGTTTTTTTGGGCACATAGAATAATTAAACGTATTTACAGTTAAATTCAACGAAAAGTGCTATCGAATTTGGGGAAAAAGAAAAACTAAGCTGAAACAATGGCCCAGTTACGCAGTATTGTTGGAAAAACATTCTTCTGGCTTTTCGTTGCCACTTGCACCGTCTTGATCTTCTATCATGTCTTCACTGGCAAGGGCGAACGTGTCAGCGTTGGCTGGTTCCTGTCCGTCTCCTCGCCCTATATGTGGGCCTGTTTGGGCATTGGATTGGCTGTAGCCTTATCTGTGGTCGGTGCTGCTTTGGGTATACACACGACTGGCACCAGCATTGTGGGTGGTGGCGTTAAGGCTCCCCGCATCAAAACAAAGAATTTGATTTCGGTTATCTTCTGCGAAGCTGTGGCCATTTATGGCCTCATCACTGCCATTGTTTTGTCCGGTTTGTTGGAAGCATTCAAGATGGAAACTGCTATGAACAATCAAACCGTAATGAATAACAATTGGACTGCTGGCTACGTTATGTTCGGTGCTGGTTTGGCTGTCGGTTTGGTTAACTTGTTCTGTGGTATTGCTGTAGGTGTTGTCGGTTCCGGCGCTGCCTTGGCTGATGCCGCCAACTCGGCCCTGTTTGTGAAAATTTTGATTGTTGAAATTTTCGGTTCCGCCATTGGCCTGTTCGGTCTGATTGTTGGTATTTACATGACCTCCAAAGTGAAGATGGGTGACAAGGAGTAAAAAACTGTAAAATTATCCACCCAAAGAAGACGTAAGTCAATTCGAACTTATTCCCACAAAGTAGTCACCTTTTAATGCTGTATATTTTTCATTTATAGTTGTCTTCACAAAAACCAGCCATTCCATCAACAACATATATTACAACAATTGGAAAAAAGACCAAATAAATTAATATATAGTAGACAGAACAATTTTTTCTCGCCAAAGTTATTCAACAAACCAAGCAAAGAAATTACTTATCCCAGAGTGTGTGCCTGTTGCAGGATATTTTAATCTACGCGAAATAAAAATAACCATATAAAGTGTAAGGACTTATTATTTGAAAACAAAACGATATGATTTTAATCTTTTGTGGAACATGTATTTTCGAACCAACTCAGCATCAAACAAGATAATACATGTTCTCAAAGATTGAATTGAATTCTTTCTTTCTTCTTACCTTGTCATTATAATGATTGTACGACAATGTATTTTTCTCTTTGTTGGTTGTCTTTTTTTAAGTTTCTCTTTATATTGTTAAATATGTATTATTTTTTCTAAATATCAATAATTCTATATACAAATTGATTTAATTATATACTTAAAAAAATGGAAATTGTAAAAAGTATTGAATATATCAATAAATATCGATATTGTTCGTTTTCTTTCTTAAAAAAACACAGTTATTTTTTTATAATTTATACATTGTATAAAAGGAAAATTGTTTAATTATTATTACACTATACACTATAATACCCATAAGACATTTAGACCCACATGAAACATATTCATAGAGTTATAAGAATACAATTTTCTGAGTGGTTAATATTAATATAATCACATAAACAATCTGATAGGATGTATATAGTTATATTATAAACAAAAAAGGACTATAAGTTGGTACTACCTTTTTAAATTTACGGATTAGATCCATGTGTCGATTGTCAGTTATATGCAACTTGTTGGATCAATTTGCGAAAATTAATCCCGTATTTTCACAAATAGGTCAGATGACTAAGATTTTATTTTAAACCATGTATTATGGGATTCCACATTCGTTAACAAACATTTTACTGTTGCGTTATTATGCGATACAAACTTTGCTTATCTAAAGAAACAAAAACGAAAGCATTTTTTATCTCGAAATGAAATACATGATTTGTTGATAACTTTGAAATGATCAACAATACCTATATGAAGACTATCAACGACATTCTCTGTTTAATACTTCTTTTTATAAAAAACGATGCGCCCTATATAATTATTCTGCTAGATTACTTACGGGAAGATTTTGGTCTTTGGGAGGTTTCACATTTGTAGTAATGGCAGATACTCTAAGGAAGATTCCATTTACCCAGTTACCCTGTACCATATAATAGAGGATATTTGAAAATTGCCTTTACGTTTGAAACATCTCAAAATCTTCATCTGAGACCTCATGAGTATACCTGTTGATATCGCCATCGTTTTTCAATGTCATTAATAAAACTTCTGTTTTGTATATACCATAGTATATAAAATTATATACTATGGTATATAATTTTATTTTTTCGTTTGTAACTCATCGAAATAATCGTTTCCGACCCTATAAAGTATATATATTCTTGATCAGCGTTATGGCGATTTAGCCATGTCCGTCTGTTTGTTGTGATCACTTTAGCGTCCAAACGAATTGAGATAGATCGCCAAAAATTTTGCTTAGAGTATTGTCTGCAGGCAGGTCAAGTTGGAAGATGGACTATATCGGTCCATGTTTAGGCATAGCTCCCATATAAGTGTACCCTCCAATTTTTGGTATTTTTCAACCGAATAAGCTGAAATTCTGGTAGCCCCCATATAAGGGTACCGCCAATTTTGAGGTTCTTCAGCACGTTTTTCAACCGAATTCGCTTTAATTTAATATTTTGTAGTGGTATATGATAAAACTTCTTCCTACCAAAAATTATTAATATAAACCCCTTTTTATATTAATATTCGCTGTGGCAAAATATAAAATAACTGTGAAAAATTTAATGTTTTTATACTCTTAATGTTTTATACTCTGGTGAATGAGGATATATACACTTTGAATGTGCCTTATCGAAATATTGGTTTTAGTCAAACCAAACTTGGCAAAACCTATTATAGTTGTCAAGCCTCTCCCACAAAGTGTGTACATTTTCAATATTTTTAAATCCAATATTAGGCGAATGATATGTCTAATTCAATCCAAACAATGCACAAAGAAGAGGAACTTCGGGTAATGTGGATCCACATCTTCTATTTGTGATATTGTGGGGGTAACAATGGTAAAAAATAAAAACAAATTGTGTCAGTAGGCATGTTGCCAAAATATATTCCAGGTCGCACATTACATTTAATTTACTTAAAAAACTCAAAAGGGCGAAAAAAATAACATGGCGGGTTATGTGGAAAAATCAGGTTGTACATTGTGATAAATGTCTATTTATTTTAATCATAAATACAAAAATACAATGGTCCATGTTTTAGAATGGCCCCTATTTAAATGTACCACCAGATTTTCTGTATTTTCAAGGTCCTTGCATCATTATCCAACCGAAGAAGCTATAATTTCGCATAACGAGGATTCGAACTCGTCCTCATGAAAAGGTTGCACTTTTTATAGAGTTCCACATTACACGACTTTGACTTTTTTATTTAAAAATAATTTTCTGCTTAAAAAATAAAATTCACCGATTGATTTAGAAAACCAAACAAAAAACCAGATAACTTCTTTATATTTGAGAAAAACAAAGTGTTCGACTATTGTGGGAGTACAATGTTGTAATATGGGACTTATCGGTCCATTCATTCTAGTACCTACCCCACACAATGGTTCAAAATTTTGTAAAACTTGTGAATAATAATTTTAAATAATTCATTTGTAATTCAAATAATTTTATTAAATTTTTACATCATCACACCATATTTTAATCACTTTAATCACAAATATAATAAACGCCCGATCATATACAACCTTCCGAAATGCACGAAATGTCGTCGCCTAAACGAGCAACAATTAAAATAAAAAAAGATAATTTTTTAAACAGATTACTCATGACATTCACAATTTCAACAATAAACACATTTATGCATTTTGTTTTCCTTTATAAACGCCCGAACATCCGAAATACAAATCAAATATATCGGCGTTACCTGCCTTCCACAAGTATAAATAAAGTGCAGCTTTCTGTTTTTTTTTAATGAAAATTGTGAAATCGCGAACTAATTATTTCTAACTTTATTCACTCAAAAACCTCGATCACCCAATATTCGCAAACCGTTAACTTTGATAGAGTTGCCATGGTATAGTCATAGACATTAAAAATCAGGATCGATAAATATTGAAGAAAAATATTTTTTCTGGATTCATTTATAAAGCGTTTACATGCACATCGAAAACCGTTATAATTTATGATATATTTTGACGTATATTAAGGAAAATAATGTTTTAATATATAATTATAAGGAAACAAAATTGACGATAGAAAGTAATACAAATGTTAAATAATATGTTATACTTCATTTCGTAGTTGGCAAATGGTATAGTGTTGTTGATTTGCAATTCAAATAAAGAAATTTGAGATATTTGATAGGCTGCAAATCGATCGATTATGTAGTTGTTTTTAAAATATACCGGAACACGGCTTGTCTTTTATTGATGCCAACAACAAATCGGCTATGACAGCCTTACCTAATTTTCAACTAGCTCGTTCGACGTTTTTCACCACAAAAGTAGAACACATGTATTTATATGAATGTTACCGAAATACGTCGAACGTACAAAATTTCAAGTTGAACAATTTCAACTTTGACAGAACGTATTTTTAATTTTTTTCCTTCGGTGAAAACAAAAACAAAATATTCTGGAAATTTGAAATTTCGAATGGGAACTAAAAATACGTGGATTAATTTAATAAATTTTCAATTTTGTTTTGCGGTTTGTATTGTTTGCTTGAAGATAAAATTCGACGTATTTGGGTAATACGGCCGTAAACAACATTTTGCAAAAGTGGGGAAATTGAATATTTTTGTACGCCCCGTCGGATTTTAGGTAACTTTGTGATGAAACATTCTATGTGAACAGCTGATTAGCGTTTGCTTTCACCTCAATTTACAGGGTTGTAATTTGCGAAGCAAGAATGTGAGCTACCCTTAAACTTGTCACTGCGCTACAAAATTATTTTGTCTCCGATAGGAGTTATCAATGAAGTCCTAGACACCGGACAAGATGTCCTAAATCTTCCAGACTTCTTTAAAACAACAACTCTAGGCATACATAGAGGCTGATTTCTAAAAAAAAAAAAAAAATAATATAATTTAACTTATGTTTGAAATTTTGAGCTTTGCTCTATCGATGTTTAATATTGTTATGTTACACTAACATTTCTCAATTATAGTAATACATCTGTGATAACTTTTCATACCCACCTCGTACACTACAAAATGTTCGCTGTTTGTTGCCTTTCAACAGCCTCTTGTTTTTTTAGTTTTAAGATTGTTACGTAGTTTTAAGTTATTTATTATTTTTCACAGACGTTTATGCTCTGTTCGTTACCTGATAAGGCCGTGAGCAAGCCTGTATACATATATTTATCAATAATATTTTTGTTTTCAAATTTTCAATATCAACTCAGCATGTAGCATATAAAAACATATGTTTGCCTTTAGAACAAGACGTTTAATAGTTCTAAGATTTCATGTTATCATTTTACTTTACATTTCACAATGTTATCGATATAAAAAGAAAGTCTCAATATACTGCGCTCATTTAAAAAATCCAACAATCGATCAAATTAATCAATTTTCCACTAAAGTTTTAGAAATTATTATAGAAATAAAGTAACTTTAATGTCATTCCACTATCCACGCCGTGTTAAAGATCTGCCTAAGTTAGAACTAGATTCGGAAGATGAATTTAATACACCACTTAAAACAAGGCAGCCGCCACCACCAAAGGATAAATTTTCGAATTCACAACAAAGGTAGGAAGGAAGGATGGAGTAATTAAAGTAATTAATTAATTGCAGTTTTGGTATTTCTTATTCAGCACGGCAAGATCAAACAAAGAAAATGAAAATAATGCCAACAGTTGTTCCACATTTTCATTTAATAACTTGCGTATGGTGTAAGTGGATATGTTTTTGTTAATGGTAAAAGTTATTGTATTGGAGTATTGTTTCAGTCCAAAAAGACGTGCAGAGTTACCTGCGCTGGAATCGGATTCCGAAGACGAGTCTGCTAAAGATGATAACTTAAACTGTGCCATTCTCAATGATTCATTTGTACTTACTCCGGGTAAAAGCTATGGCGAAGCGGGCTCGAAAGAGAGCTCTGTGGCCAAGGGGAAATGTAATGAGACTTCAGATATGTCCTTGCTGGCACATTTCAATAACATGGATTTAAAGAGTCCACCGAAAGAGCAGAAGACTGATAAACCCGCCCAAGAGAGTAGTAACAATTCGGCGGCAACAACAGAATCTCATGAAGCCCATAATGCTCCAGCATCAACAGTTAAAAATGCATCATCCATTGATGCCCAATTTGCCACACCACAAATACGTTCTTTTTCAGTGCAAAGGCGGCCGCGTGACCTCTGTTCTACACAATCGCAAAAGACCAAATCGGCCATTGTCAATGAATTTCGTTCGCAAAAAGTTTTGTTTCAGACACCAATGGCTATAACACGGGCGCCAATGTCTTGCCTTCCCAATGATAGTATTTCATTTTCTTTATGCGACACCATAAACGAGGGTGGAACACCGTCAACCACAGAAAAGACTCCTAAATGTCCAGCAGAAAAACCCACCGGACGTTCTAAAAAATCTCTGGAAGGTGAATTTATGGAAGTGACACGTGAACAGCAGGCACAGAAAATTGAGAATAACAAGTGTTCGGCCATTACAACCCGAGACAAAGAAACAATTGTGCATATTAATAATTCTGACTATATTATTATGCAAAAATTAGGTTGTGGTGGATCAAGTTCGGTGTATTTGGCAAAAAGAGCAGACAATGATAAAGAATGTGCCTTGAAGGTAAACTACATTTCGAGATCAATTGTAATTGTGATTTAATTTTTTTGTTCATTTTGCAGGTGGTTGATCTGCAAGGGGATCCTGCCGTTGTGGAGGGCTATTTAAATGAAACTAAATTGTTAGCAAAGCTCCAAGGCAATGTGTGTGTGGTCTCGCTATACGAGTAGTAAGTATTACAAATAAGTTTCCTTTTCATTTAATAACGTTTTTTATTTCACAGTCAATTGTTACGCAAGGAATCTAAACTTTTCCTGGTAATGGAAAAAGGTGATTCAGATTTACATAAAATTCTGCAAAGTTATACCACAAACTTACCTTTATATGTGCTCACCAACTTTGTATATCAAATGCTACAGGCTGTTAATTATATACACCAAAATGGTGTCATACATTCCGACCTAAAGCCAGCAAATTTCCTCATGGTTAATGGTCGTTTAAAACTAATCGATTTTGGTATTGCCAGTAATATTGCCATCGATTCGACAAGTATTATTAAATTTTCTCAAGCGGGCACATTTAATTATATTAGTCCAGAAGCATTAACGGACACCTCCACGGGAAGTAGTCCAATGCGTAGTAATCAACCGAAAATAAAGGTTTGTCCTGGAAATTGTATTTTTGAGTTGTATAATTTCGAATTTTTGTTGTTTGAATAGATTTCCACAAAATCGGATGTTTGGTCTCTGGGATGCATTTTATATTTGCTGTTATATAAGAAAACGCCGTTTGGTCATATTAAAAATCTATGTGCCAAAATAAGTGCCATATGTAGTCCAACGCAAAATATTGAATTTGGTCCATTGCCACCCTACTATCCCGCCATGCTGGTTCATGTAAGTTTTTTCTTATTTATTGATTTTTTTGATGGTATATATTTTAAATGATTTTTTTTTTCAACAGATGGCTAAAAACTGCTTGCAACATAATCCCAAACAACGCCCGTCATGTGCCGATTTACTTAAATATCCATTTAATATGATAATTCCAATACAGAATCTTTCACTGCCACCCAAATAATAGATGTTTTTAAGTATAATTAGTTGTAAGGATTTTTGGATATCATCGTGAAAATATAATAAAAATAAAATTGTAAAATATTACTATTTATAACGAAATTAACACATTTTGTGAAAAGTTTTTCAGAATTCTCAAAAGAATGACGTTCTGCTTCTCAACTAAGTTATGTGTTTCTTTTTCTCTTCAATCCGATAGAAGAAAGGGTAACCCATATAGAAGTTTCCATCTCGCTTGAAATTTTTTCGACCGATATGGCCACCAGTCTACAATCCTCCTTACAGATGACGACTAGTAAAAATTCCCAATGAAATAATAGTGAAGTTGGTTATGAAAATATGAGGATAAAATAGGGTACAAAAAACAATCCAACCAAATGGGAAATCAGAAAAATCTTGCCTAGCTCAGCTGCCTGACAGTTGATTCTAGATAACCAAAAATGGATTTTATTAATAAAGCGATATCCATGATTGTATCAACTATGAAAAACATAAAAAACAACCAACCAAATGGGAAATCAGAAAAATCTTGCCTAGCTCAGTTGTCAGAAAGTTGATTCTAGATAACCAAAAATGGATTTTATTATTAAACCGATATCCATGATTGTATCAACTATGAAATACAATCATGGATATCTGTTTATTAATAAAATCCATTTTTGGTTATCTAGAATCAACTGTCAGGCAGCTGAGCTAGGCAAGATTTTTCTGATTTCCCAATATATTTTATCCTCATATTTTCATAACCAACTTCACTATTATTTCATTGGGAAGAAATATAACTGATTATGGTGATCTATAGTATGTATACATTCTATATTGAGCTTCTATAATATAATTGATAGTTTTTCAATAGTAAGGACACCTCTATTAGCGAAAATGGGTTTCATTCATAAAAAAAAAAATAAATTGAAATAAAACAACAAATATATACAATTAGATTTTTTAGATTATTTTCTGTTGTTTATGCTGTTGTAATATAATCATAATTGAATTAATGTATCTTTTTTTGTTTTGTTTATTGCATACTACTATAGTGCTTAATGTATAGATTTTGTTTTCCATTATGACAGACATTAAATGTCCTAAAATATTAAAGAGAATAGAAAGAAAAAAATTAGCAAACAAATCAATATCCTTCACAAATTCAAACTTACTTGCTGACCATTAGATTTGTATTGTAACGTATTGATTTGTTCATCTTTAGAACGTACAACACTACGCCAATGTTCTTCCTGCTCTTCGGCTTTTTGCATCAGGTCGGATAATGTATATTCCTATAAAAGAACATTTATTATTAATACATTTTTGTTTCACAATCAAATTTCCGTTCTCAACATACAGTTTTTCTAGCGAGTTTTGTCAACTCGTCGATACGAACGCGCAGGATTGAATTCTCTTTAAGTAACTCAGACTTTTCAGTGTCATTGTTGTTATCCCCAGAGCCGGGACTGCTACTAACGCTGGAACTGCTACTCCGACTGCCATTGGCATGGGCAGAGTTTTGATTTTGATGGGAAGGAGGAGGAGGAGGACTATTGTGTGAATTTGATGATTGTGTAGATTTGTGACTACTGCTGACTTGCTGCTGCAGCTGCTGTTGTTTAATGTGAGTCGACAGGACCTGCTCCACCCATTGATCGAATGTAACAGACAGTGCTGTGCCGGCACAAGCTTTAACTGCCTCGGGACACAATCGCTGTAAAAGAACACGCAATTGTTTTTCATCTTTGGCAGCATCCGTTGATGCCTTGCCTGTCTTAGCTGCTGCCGAAGATAATAGTTTTTCCTGTTGCTAAATTGTGGAAGAGAAAAAATATACATGTAGTAAAATATTCATTTAATGTTATGTGCAACAACAATAAGATTATGACTAATCTACACATATACTAATATACATAAATATAATTTTCATTTGTCAATCAAAAGAATTTTCTTGATATAAAGACAGAGACAGTCACTGATTCATTGAAATGACAACCGGGTATAAATGCTGGTCTATATAGTAGTTCATCCTCGAATCTTACGTTTTTGTTTTTGATCTCGATATCCTTCGCAGGAAGAATGATTACAAATCAAACTATTTTAATATAAAATAGTTTGGGACATAAAAAAAATTACAGTGAATTCGGTTAAAAAACGCTCCCAAGAATTCCAAAATAACGAACATTAGGGGGCTACCCAAAAAAATTGACCTATATTTATAAATTTTAGTGGAGAGATTTGCTATCCAATAAATACAAAAATTACAGCCAATGCTATCCAATAAATACAAAAATTACAGCCAAAATACGCTCAAAATCCCATAAAAAATTAAAATTGGGGGGTACCGTTATATAGGGACTACCAGAAAAAGTGGACCTATAAAATACCCTTATATAGGTGCTACACGAAAAAATTGGCCTATATTTATAATTTTTAGTGGAGAGATTTGCTATTCAATAAGAACTCAAAGTACAAAATTACAGGCAATTCGGTCAAAAAATACACAAAAAAGTCCAAAAAACTGAAAAGTGGATCTATATTTATAATTTTTAGTGGAGAAATTTGCTTTCCAATAAAAACCTAATGTACCAATTTTCAGCGAATTCGGTTAAAAAACGCCATAAAGAACCCCAAATACCGAAAATTGGGGGTACCCTTATATGGGAGCTACGCCTAAATGTGAACCGATATAGCCCATCTTCGATCTTGACCTGCCGAACTTGACAAAAGACTGTATGCAAAATTTTGGCGATCTATCTCAAGTCGTTTAGAGGCTAGAGTGATTAAAACAGACAGACGGACTGAGATCGTCATAGTATTTTATGCTGATCAAGAATATAATTTATAGGGTCGGAAATGATTATTTCGATGAGTTACAAATGGAAAAACAAAATTAATATACCTTCCATACTATGGTGGGGGCTATACAAATTTTATTCTGTGGGGCTTTGAAACCCCAAATTGTGGATCTCTTTTAAACCTTTTTAAAATTGAAATTTTTCGTAGTCTTATTAACCTAATTGAAATTTAACCCACAAAAATTTATAATAATTTTTTGTCTTCCATAGAATAACGAAGCTCTCCCTAAAGAAGATCAAAATGCCATTTTAAATTCAAGACCCAAATTTTAACCCAATGTTATTTCAATGAATCATAAATCATTTTTAAAACATAACTTAACTTCTATATTTAAAAAGAAATATAAAGAAATTCTCGCCATCTCATTTGAAAATTGTATATATAGAAAATAGAAATAGACAGACAGAATAGGAATAGGATAGTGTATAAAAGAAATATTATATACATATAATTATATATAGCATGCACTTACAACACCTACTAAAATTGCATTTTGGCTTTGTTTACTAACTTTTGCTTCAGAATTTTGCAAAGCCTCAACCAATTTCCAGTTTTTAGTGCGCAAATCCTAAAGCAGAAACACATAAATTATATTATATTAGTAGAAAAAAAATAGCAAAAAGTTTTACATTAAAATAGCAATGAAAACTGGAAAATTTCGGTTTTGTTTTAGAGGAGAGAGGGCCAAGTCAAATTTGTGCATTGTTTGAAATGAAATTACATAGAGAGCAAGAAACGCAATAATGTTTTTTTTTTTTTTGAAAACTACTACTTACATTATTTTTCTCTTTTTGTTCTTGCAACTGTTGCAACAACTCCTTTTCACGTTTGCTTAGCTTTTCCGTTTCCTTTTCGGCTTCCTTGAGCTGATCGCTCTTTTTGCTAAGATCCTGTTTGAGAGCATCAACAACTTTTTGCACATCTTGCTGCTTCGCATTGTCCTGCAATTGTTTGTCTTTCTTTTGAACTTCTGCTTTCAACGTTTCCACCAGATTTTGCAGTATTTGTTGTTTTTGTACATGCTGTTCGCTTTCTTGCAGAACTTTTGATTTGTTGTTAACATCTGATTTGAGGCCTTCAACTAGTTTCTGCAATTCTTCCTGTTCGTGAGATTTTTGCTTAAGCTCTGCCTCCAGGGTCGAGAGTTTCTGTTGCAATTCTAATCTGCATGCTTCGGAATCGTTCAATTGTTGTTGTTTCTCGACAATTTGGGTCTGTAGAGCGATAAGATTGCTCTGCAAATCGTTAGACTGCTCTTGTGTTTTGCTAGAAATATTCACAAGCTGTTGGCTAAGCTCTGCGTTTTGGGCCTGTAACAATTCAATTTCCTTCTGTTTATCGGCAATTTCCTTGGTACGCACCAAAGTCAATTCATTGCGGAGCGCTTCCTTTTCGGCATTGCTTTGGCTAATATCAGATCTAGCAGATTCGAGAGCATTTTGAGTGTTGCGCAATTCCAATTTAAGTTCGCCTAATTCGGCTTCCAATTGATTAGCTTTTTCCAAATCGAAAATTCTATTATTGGAGACTTGTTCCAGTTCGTCGCGTTGTTGTTCCAAGACACGTATTTGCTGGGCTTGTTGTTGAATAATTTCGTTCTTCTTTTGGGATTCTTCGACGGCCTGATGTGAGGCTGTAAGCATGCACCTCATCTCAGCAATGCATTTATCCTTCAGGGCCAATTCGTTTTGCAACATTTGCAGTTGGGCCATGTCTTGCGAACCGGATTGTTTTTCGTGTATGAGTTTAGCCTGGAACTGTTGACGTTCCAAGGTCAAGGTGTCGTTGAGGGTTTTAATTTTCTGTTCCAAAAGGGCAATATCTTGATCTTTTGTGGCCAATTTTTCGGTATACGATTTGATGGTGCTGCTCATGGTGGCCCGCTCAGTGTTGATTTCAGTGCGTAGCTCACGCAACTTGGCTTGTATGCCAATGGAGGCCTCCTGCTCCTCGGCCAAAGCCTTTTCTTTTTCTTCCAATTGGCGTTTGAGTTTTTGACAGATATCATCGGACCATTCGGAATGGGAAGAGGGCATATCTTGTTGACGATTCAAAAGGTAGTCAATTAGAATTTGTATTTCGGAGCGGTTTAATTCGGCACGACGGAACAGATTCATAAGCAAAGACACACCAATGGTATCCGATTCTGAGAGTTTCTCAAGACCGGCCACAATATCTTTTGAATCTTTTTGTTTTTTATTTTGTTGCTTTTGTTTCTGTTGTTGAGTGGGTTTTGGAGAATTTTGACGTTGCTTTTCCTCAGCCTGCTTTACTTCTTTGACGATTGGAGTTTCGTTAGCTGCTTGTGGATTGTTTTCATTGGATTTTTCTACAGCTTGACGATTGTCTGATTTTTTGTTTGATTTATCTTTTTTGTTTTGTTGTTGTTGGGATTTTTCTTCTTTCTTTTCGGATTTCTTGAGTTCAACAGCATCTTTGGGAATTTTGGTGTCAAAATGATTGGTGGTGGCGACGGCAGCTACTTCGATTTCCTTTACATTGGCGGGTTCATTTTTGTGCACCAAAATGCCAGCCTTACCAGCTCCACCACCACCGGGTTTCTTGTCCTTTTTACCCTTCATTTGCTTGTTGAGATTTTCCTTTTCAGCCGTACTGGAACGTCTAGATGCTGTTTGCTGATTGTTGTAAGTCAATACTTCCGCATCGGGTTCAAATTCAACGTGGGTTTTGGACAAACCTTGGGGTTCTTCATCTTCCACCGATTGCTGTTCCGATTGGGCATCCGAGTCTTCAGGTTGCTCACGTGAGCGCTGCTGCTTTTTCTCTCGTTTCATTTCCTTTTTAAGGGAAATCTTTTTGGGTTTCTTCACCACATTCTTTTCTTTGCCATAGATTTTTTCCGTCAAAGCCTTTTTCTCGGCAATAACTTCTTCGAAGGTTTTGCGGCGTAAGAATTTATTGATGAATAGCAGAGAACATAATGATGCCAAGAAAACACATGCAATCACAATAAAAATGTGTAAATCCATCATTGCATAGTTTGTCGATGCTGTTCTAGTTTAATCCAAAGTTTTGAGTGTGTGTTTTTTCTTCTTTAAATTAAATTCTGTTGTTGATTCCTTGTTTCGATCTCTTTGCAGTGTATTTTACAAATTGTTGATACGTGGAATGTACTAAAAATAAATGTATAAAAAAAAACAAAAATTATTAGTTTGGTTGTTCATTTCATTCATATAGGAAATGATCATGATAAGTATTGTTGCAGCAGAAAACAATGACATACTAGGAGAGCGACAGAGAGCGGGCGGGCTATGGCGACAGTGGTGGTTGGTGGTATACAACCACTATATAATTTGTCTATTATAAATAACTTATCTCGGTGATATTTTCTAAAAAAAATAAACTGGAATTTCTTATCAGAAACCGTCGCAGCAGCACGAGTCGGGTATAGAACAAAAAAGAACTAACAAAAACAATAATTTCTTTTTTTTAAATTAAACCTCGAACAAGAGTTGATTTGTGCTGGTATTTGATGACGTGTTCTTTTCTTTTTGGTTTATGAATGAACAAAAAAACAAAAACCAACAGATTCTCTCTTGCTCTCTTCTGGCCAGGCCAGTGTCAGTCACGGATCACTTTTTGAATCATCAATGATAATTATTTAGCTACTATGTTTTTCTTACGTTCACATTAAAATGCGTGTGGGGAAGGAAGGAGGGGGCGGTTTCCTATATGCCAATCACCATAAACACAACCGCACACTTGTATGAAGATGGTATTATGTTCGTGTGTGTATGTGTGCGTATACAATTTTGTTGTAGTATGTAAAAAGCCGGCCGGTATTAATTGTTGTTTTTTTTGTGTTTTCTATTAACAAACGACCACACAACAGTTTTGCGGTGTTACTAGTCCAAGCGACAAATTACAAATGTTAAGGGATCTGGCTGGGAAATCAAATTGGAATTTAATGAAGTTACAATCTCCGTTGCGGGGAAATATCAAAAAAGAAGAAGAAGAAAAAACGAAGAAAATATTTCACACCAGATGACGAAAGAAAGTTACCACAAATATTTAAGAAAAGAAACAACAGCAGCAACAAAAACTTGTTTATCTTCTTTGCTTTCATTGTCGTCATCATCATCACCATTGTGCATTTTTCTTGTGCCCAACGTCACAGAAATTAACCCATTAACAGGTGAAAATGGAGAAATTTTTTAATAAATGAAAAGTATATGGAATAAATAATAATAAATATAACAGATAATAAAGAAAAAAAAATAAGAAATGCAGTCGACATGGGGATTGGCGAAATTGTAAGCTATAAGGTCTAGTGAAAAAGTGAATCATTTTTTCACAATTTTGAATTTTTGTCGTTATTTTGACAGTATACAATTTCTAAAATTTAATTATTGTATCCGATCTCTTAACAACTAAAAAAGCATTTGATTTCTTACTGGATTTTACCGGAGATGTTGTTCGATAACTTTTTGATTTTTGACTGATTAATTTTTACCCAGTAAGTAATCGGACAATTCTTATGTTGAAAAATTGATCAACAGAACAATAAAATAATGGAAAAATTAAAAAAATATTTTTTTTTCGAAATATTAGGACCCAATAGCGTGGATTTGTTAACAATTTTTTTCTAACCATGAATCTCTTGCAGATTTTTTTGTAAGTTTGGATTCTCTATATAGCTTTTATTTTTCAAATTTTGTTTTTCAAACTTCTTGCGACTGCAATCGCACACCAATAAGTGTGTATTTCTTAAAGATTTTTTTTTCATGCGTTTGGTATCCAAGCTGCGATGATTTTTAAAGATATTTTTCAAGCAACTTTGAACCCGAAGGGATGGATTTTTTGAAGAATATTTGTTCAAACCTATTTGAGAGAGATTTTTTCCCGAGAACTCGAAATGTCAAATGTTAGGCTAAGACCTTTAAAATTCCAAAAAGTAGATGGCGGAACCTTTAGATGCGATTTTATTGAAATATGGACCTACATACATAAAAAATCTGTCAAAATTGCGGTTACTCCATTTGGCAAATGTGGTGACAGATTTTATATGAAGGACCAATATTGGCAATTTTTCTGTGACCGTAAAAATTTCTAAAAGTAGATGGCGTAACCTTTAAATGTGGTTATGGTGAAATATGGATCTAAATATATAAAAAAATCTGCCAGGAGGGATGTTATTCCAAATTACGGTAACTTACATTGGAAAATGTGGTGACAAATTTTATATGGGGGACCAATATTGACAATTTTTCTTTGACCTTAAAAATTCCAAAAAGTAGATGGCGTAACCTTTATATGCTGTTATGGTGAAATATGGATCTACAAATTACGGTTACTTCAATTGGCAAATGTGGTGACAGGTTTCATATGAAGGACTAGTATTGACATTTTTTTTTTTTTTTTTTTTTTTTTTTTTTTTTGGAGGTATTTCTTCCTCTAAAAAAATTAATAAAATTGGCCCGCACCATTATTCAAGTTATAACTAAAACATAAACTTATATTGAAAGTTTCCTGAGAACGCAAAATGTCAAATTGAAGCCACATTGATATAATGTTGTGGCCTTAATATATAGGAAAATTTGGGTGGGACCTTTATATAAAAAAAAATTTTAAAAAAAATCTAAAATATTTCATAACATCATCTAATATGTGCATGATGATCATAAGATGTGTTTAACTCTTTGTTTCCAAACTTCTGGTTGATGGTATTTTTTCTCATTTGTTTTAACTTTCGATTAAATCGCTGCAATAGCTTCAAAACTCGAATGGGTTAAAAACTCTCTTTGGCTAGGGAAAAGAAACAGGTTTTCATTTTCTTGTGTGAAGAAACGAAGAAACAATCCCACATTAAATTATCTACATTCACTGACCTCATCACCACCACCCGGAGAATCAGAAGCAGCAAAGACCACGACAAGCCAGTCAGCAACAAATGTAATGCAGAAGACATAAGCAAAGCAACATCAGAGAAATGAAAGAAAGCAGGCAGGCAATGAAATTCACATTTAAAATATTCACAAGAAAAAAAACGAATTTTAACAACGTCAAGGTTGTTGCTCCAAACAAATTAAATATTCGCAAAAATAGCAATATTTGTAGGTATTTTTAACAATAGTCGCTGCTGTCGACGCCAATGGTAGTGAAAATATACAAAAACACAACTTCCCACTAACAATTACACACATATGTATGTATGAGTAAACAAAAATGCTGCCTAAATTTGCAATTTTATTATTGGGATAATTTTGAAAAAATAAAATTAAACTGGCTTTGGGCATATGTTTTACTGAAATGCAGATATATGTATGTATATGTATTACAACATATTATGTACACACATATAGATTTTTGGCAAATCCATATGATTCAACAAAACGAACAGACGACATACAAATTTCAAATTTACACTATGCAGCAACATCATTTTCGAAAATCTAAAATATAACAAATATATACATATTAATTAATAAAAACAGAAACCAACACTACTTGGCTTTGTCGCATAGTGGCTCCCCTCCCCCTCCTCCTCATCATCACCATCAATAAATATCTTGCAAGAAAAAGAATAAAAAAAACAACACTGAATGTTGCAAGTTTGCCACGTTGATAAGTACCATCCATCCAAGCAAACCAACAATAACAACAACACAACCCAGTCAGTACTTGTCCATATGTACTATTGGGGGGCCTCTCTCTGGTATTTTTTCTTTACTGTACATACGAACGTACATAGACAGAAACATTAGTATGTACATGTATTTAACCTATATGGACTTTGTTGTTTGCTGCATAGGACAGGATTTTGTTGCTATTTTATGTGTGTTGTGGCACAATTAAAACAACAAACTATGTGAATGTCAGTCTTTTTTGCATTTTCAATATAATAATTGTCACATCGGCAATTATCAATATTATTTTAGACTAGGCATAAAGAATCATTGGTCGGTTTTTCTTCTTTCTTTCATTTTGTATGAATCATACTCAATTAAAATTTAAACCAAATAAAATGAAGTTCGATACAATAATTGCCACATAAATACATATTTCTGAGAATTTCTGAAGTGTGCGTTAAATAAAAAAATCAAGTTTTTTTTGGCAGAAACAAAAAAAACTTGTAGGCTTAATATAAAAATACCCGTATATACACATCATCTTTTTTTGAGAAAAAGGGCGACGGCAACGTATGCAATCTTCCATGTAATTCGGTTTTCAGGTTTAGAACTTATCACCGCTGCACATTCATCAAGCAAATTGCATATATTTTCTTATTTGATTTTTTTGTTTGTAATACATATCTAAGGAGAATATATTCTCCAAATATTCTTTTACTTTGCATTTTTATTAGATTTCGTTTTATTTTTTTCATTCGGCTTCACCGCCATGAAGAAAAATGAAATGACGGCTGGCACATATAACTGAACATCTTGAAAAAAGGGAATTTATTCACATTTCTTGGTTTTGCGATTTATCACTTATAAATTTAAACAAATAGAAATTAAATTACTACCAAATTACGAGAAGAAATTACTTTTTCTTATTTACTTACATTTTTCCTGTTGTATTTTATTAACTAAACTGAAAAAAAACTAAAAACTTGTCTCGCTTGAAGATTACCGATTACTGCCGAGAGCTTATCGGTTATTATTTGTTTGGTTATTCAAATTGGTGGAGAAAGCACTATGACAATTGGAAATGAAAAATAATCGATAGTGATTTCTTTGCAGCAAATATCGATTGTGATGATGAACAAAATGCCAATGTGTAGGCATTTAAAGAGGCGTACACACTAGCACTTCTGAATGGCACTCGACCAAATTTTACTTGTTGAAAGGGCTAAGCAGAATGCTCGCGTTGAGCCGATATGCGTTTGTGTTATCGTTTCCTTGTGGTTGTTGTATTTTCGATAACAAATAACCACAAGGAAACGATAACACTAATCGCCTTGTGGTTGTTGTATTTTCGATAACACAAAACGCAACAGATGCGCTTTGAAGTTTCAAATATATTTTGGTCTTTTTTGTGCGTTAACGCGATAACAAAAAACGATATTTGCTGCAAAGAAATCACTATCGATTTTTTTTCATTTCCAATTGTCATAGTGCTTTCTCCACCAATTTGAATAACCAAACAAATAATAATGGTAAAGTAAATTGAGTTTATAGGCGAAGGAGTTGAGAGGAATAAAAGGGGGTACAGATATACTTGTACTCCGCAATTCTGTTTTATTTCATTATTCGTTGTAAAAAAGTTGAAGTTGGCTGCAGAAAAGTTGTGCATTTTCATTCATTTTATGTTTTTTGTCGGCAAAGAAACGCCAAGACAGATAAAAAATTAAAAGCTGTTGCAAGGAAAAAGAAAATCAACAAAAAATACCGTTTATTTGCTGTCAAATAATACAAATTAAATTTGTATATATCCTCATTGCAAGCTACGGCTATAGCTTCTTCAAGAAATTCAAGAATACCTTTCATAATTAAGCTTTGTCTTTTAATTCCATTAATTAATTTTCAATTTTTTTTAATTTTTTCAAAATTAAAAAAATCATAAATTTGGCGCCAGCATTAGATTCTTGCAGTGCGGGAACAGCACCAATATATATTTTTTATTAAAAAAATGCAAAATATTTGACGTGGCAACGAAAATATTACCAACTACCGAGAGATAAATATAGAATTATAGAGCCCTTTATTGTTGTAATGGGATTACGTTACCAATGAAATCCTCCAATTGGAAAAAGTAACTGCACCAAGCCGATGAATGTTGTTTATTTAACGGCGGCGCAACAAGAACAGCTGTTGGTTGGTCTCTCGGCTCGTTTGCTTTCACCTCATTCGTTGCAAACTCTGAATGTGTGCTACGCTTAAAACAAAGTAATGCGTAATCTTCTAGGGGATTGCTGTCTGGACTGGACGCATCACATAGGGGGAAAGTTAATTGTTTTGTAATTATCTTGCCTTTAAAATGATTGAAATCAAGGCAAAACTAGTTAGGGCCGACTCGCCCATATATGCCACGGGTGAACATGTAGAATGTTTGATAGAATTCACAAATAAAATTCCTGGTGATATTGATAAAAATGTTGTGGAGAACCTAGCCTGGGCTTCGGTGCAATTGCATTGTTATCGCAAGACTAATATTACCATGGGACACAAGGACAAAATGTTGGAGCTTAGTGAAATGGTTGGTAAGACAGCTTTAGATGCTGTTACACAGGCACCCGGTGATATTGTCATTGCGACCAAGCCAAAAATATTGTTTTGTGATTTGAAGCTGCAACCAAACGAATCAAAAATTTGTAAGTAATGTAAAAAAATAGTTTCCTTGTGGAGCTCTAATGTGTTTTAATAAAATGTTTTAGATTTTTTTAATGAACTCATTCCAAGAGATGGCCCGCCCACATACAGAGGTCATGACATCAAGTATTTCTATAAACTGACTATAGCCACGCAGAGAGTTAAATGTAAAGTCCAAACGCTTACGGTCCCGCTGAGAGTATTGCCAATACCATTAATAGCTCGACCCGATGAACTGCCAATTACCGAAGAAACCAACGATGAACTGGCCCCTACAAATCCATTTGTAGAAAAGAAAGAAATTACCGAATTGGAAGTATCATGGCATCATTTAAAAGTAAGGAACATTACACTTTTAAGTGGATTTAAGGGTTGCTTTGGGTGGCCATGCGGATAGTTAATATTTTACCACAATTACTCCTTGTCGTGTTCCTTACAGTTTTATACATTTAGTGTGCTAATTACGGTTTAAGCAAATTATTCTCGGACTTCGAAGGCCAATGTCTTCGGCATTCCCAGAAAAATGTATAAAATTGTAATAAACAGAAGTAGTAAATACGGTAAAATTTTTTGAAATTATACGACCGAGATTAAATTATAGTCTTTCTTTGCAGAATGTAACAGCAAGGAGAGCTCCCAAATTCTATAGAATATCAAACAAACGAGGATTTGTGGGTAGATTTTGCCTTTTCAAACCCTCCTACAAATTGGGTGAAGATATTGTGGGCAGTTTGGACTTTGCCAACTGCAAAGTACGTTGTGTACAATTTTCAGTAAAACTGCAATCGCAGGAAATCCTTTTGAATGTGACAGAAAATAAATATTCCAACAACGATTTTAATGACAACTCCTCGGTTAACTCTTTGGATTTGGCAAGTGTTGCTAGCGGTGTGGGTTCGGAGTATATGCATAAATCTTCCACCTCAGCCAGTTCTAAAGATAACGATGCAAATTCAGAACCAACGGGAAAAGTAACAACCCATGCTATAAGTCATCAGGTTAGCTATGCAACATTACAGACTCAAGTAGTTGTACCTATTCCGCTGCATATAACTCCCTCGTTTCGTACCGACTGTGTTGAAGTTAAATGGAGATTACATTTTGAATTTGTCACCAGTACAATGATGGATTTTGGGGTACCAAATCCCGAGGTGGGTGAACTACAGGCTCCAGCAGAAATACCAGTGGAGACAATGGTTTGGAATTTGCCTATAACCATATATCCAGCTAATCCCTTGCAAATATATGCTCCTTCACAAATCCATACGTTGCTTATCAAGTAAAAAAATTAAATATTCCAATTTATAAAAAATAACAAAATAATAAGGAAATTAAGAAGTAAAATTATGATATTTGTTTATGTTAATATCTAATGAAATAAATAACGCATTTAATGCAAGTCTTGCTTATTTATTTCCTAAAACATATTGACCATTATAAATATGTGTATCATTAATTTAATATCATCGTGTGCTGAGAAATAATTCATTACTTTAAAATCCAACTTTACCAAGTTTGGTATCTGTTTTGGGATTCGCTGTAACATTTTGTACGGCAACAATAGTCTCATTGATGCGTGTTTGTAGCTCACGTAAACTTTGAATTTGTAGTAGACGTAAAATTCTCACCGGATAATCAAGATTGCCATCGTTGGGCGAGACAATGTCATTGCCCTTTTCAAAGGGAAATGGTGTGCCAACAACAGCAGGTCGATTTCTTACATCGGGTGCCATGCGTTCCTTAACAATACGAGATATGGCCTCCAACTGTAGCAAATGATTAGGGTGGTGAGGTATTTTTAATTTCGCAGCCAATGACCGTACACCGGCAATAAAATCTTTGTGTTGGACTAAAGAAACACACAGAAATAAATCAATAAGTTTAAGAAAAGTTTGCCATAATATCTTACAGTCCATATTATCAAAAAAGTTTTCATTTTGTATACTGGGCTTAATGGATTTACTGCTCTGTTCGGCCACCTTTTCACCACTCAGATCTTTGTAATTTTCTGGTGCATCCAAAAATTCCAAACGTATGGCATAGCTCAAAATCCAGGACAGCTCTTCCAGGGGTGTCTGAAACTTTGGCATTCCCAGATCCTGTTTGTATTGTTCATAGGCCGCCTCCCATTGTACGGTATCATCTACTCTGCGCAGTGGTTCACGGTCTTCGATTTTGTATGTTCGAATTTTCTGGTCTTCCAACCATAAAACTGTGCTTGCAAAAACTTTGCGATCTGTAGAGAAAAACTTTTGTTAGATTCGTGAAATTTGTTAGAAGTGGGTGTAAGGAAACATACCATTATAATCTAAGTTATCAGGAGTTGGATGTTCCAAGGCTTCCAGCTTAAGTTTCAACATATTTCGAGAGTTTTTCAAAGAGTGATGTGTGTGTTTGTGTCCCCTGCGTCCAGTCCAGCCGGCGAGATGAAATGAAATTAAAAAATATTAGGGTTCTATAAGACGACTTATTGATATGTGGGTAGATAACAAAAAAGAAAACGGTTAATCGCCGTAACAGTAAAGCCGTGTACACACAATCAGTTTTGTATAACTGTTTGGTTCCTGATGCAATATTTTTTTATGTCAGTTTGAATTACAATAAGTGATGCAAAAAAAATTTTATAACAATAGGTGTGTTCGTTTACCCTATATTTTGCATTCATTTTTTTTTTTTTTTTTGAAAGAGTAGATTTTATTTATTATATTAACTCAGTAAATGTTTTCATGTTGCATTTTGAAGTTATGTCAGTTTATTATATATTTGATAAGGATTGTTTCTAAATGTTACTGGATGTTGTCTGTTCACTCCAAAGTTCAGTAAAGGGGAACGAATTGAAAAAGAAAAGGTGACAGTTGTATGTTGACAAATTATTTTTTTTTTAGTAGGCAGTTAATTTTAAGTGTTGACCACACTTAAAATATTCGCTATTTTATGAATGTTGTTCTTTAATACACATTTCTTTTAATCAGACACAGCTCTTTTATGAATTTGTATATTTACTATGTACGGGAACACAACAATTGTTACTTGCTGAGTGAAACATGCATGCATGAATGTCATGGATAGGTTAGAATAACCATGCATTTTAACGCACGGGTATGTGTTGTTCCATATGTTTTTGATCTCATTTGCGTCCAGTCTACACCGTTTACAACAACCATGTCGTCCACCACACCGACAGAAGATTGTTTACCCTGCCGGTTAATCAGCGGATTTGGTGTAATGAGTATGGGGGCATATATATATCATCAAGCTGGGCGACGTAAACCTTTAGAGAAAAATATTATGAAAGTTATATCAGTTGGTAAGTAACAACAACACAACTGATCCAAATCCAATCGGAAGTACTAGCTACCTTTGTCTCTTCCTTACAGGCGCAATTATGCTTGGAGTTGCCCGCTTACTGAATATGCAATTCCTAAAATCACCAAAAAGAGACCAATCATAATAGTTTCAGTTGTGGTACAAAACTATTTTTGTATAGGTACATACTATATTTATTTGTAAATAATATTAACTACAAAAATCTTACAATAAAATAGTAATTCTTAAGATTAATCATCATCCCCATCACTTTCAATTGAATTGTTTCCATCGGCATCATCGTCGTCCTCATCTTCTTCGTCCCAGTGTTTATTTTTCTTGTTTGTCATAAAATCATCCTGCAGTACACTCCATTCGGATTTCTTTTTCTTATTATCATATTCTTCATCGCTACTGTCGTCATTTTCATTCTTGACAGCATTATCGACAGCTTCTGATTTGGCACGTTTGCCGCCCATGAGGACATCTAAAAATTTACGTTTATCGATATTTTTCAAAACAGCTTCTCTCCGACTGTCCAAAGGACCGGCTTCCTCCAACTGATGTTGCAAATCTTTTTGTTGAATACGCACGGCATTGAATAGTTGCACTACACCCTTGGTGGCCACTTTACGCAGGGCACGCTCACGTTCTATATCCTTCCATGATGGTTTGACACGCAGTTCTAGTTTTAGATTTCTCGGTGGTTTAACATCTTCAGGTTCTTCTTTTACTTCTTTTTTGATTTCTTCTTTCTTAATTTCACCATCAATTTCAAAACCGTAATCTTCCTCGGCTTTTTTCTTATCGTCTGGTTTGATTTTTTTAGCTCTGGACAGGACTAGAGTCTTTTTAGTTTTTGGTTTCGATGTGCTTAGAACTTTTGCAATGGAATCAGCCCAACCGCTGTTGCCTGCCTGTGGAGCCTCCTCATCTGAAGATGCCTCATCCGAGGTGGCATTTTCATCGTGGCTAGCTTCATCGGAATCTGAAACTGGAGTAGAAACGTCTTTAGTAAAATTATTATGGGATATTAGCTTCTAATGGTATTACCTTGTTCTTTGGGTTGTTTCCTTTTTAATCCAAGTAAAGCCATTTTTAGTTTTTTGTTCCTTTGATGGCCACCAATGTTTACAAATAAAATTCACGTGTATGCGCCGAATGTCATACCTTGTAAATAATCTATTACAATATCCATATGGACATTAGGGATTCTTAGTTCAGTATGGGTAGGAATTGTCTAAGCATTAAGTTGGATATACATTATCGAACAAAGGTATTTAGTTTGAATTTTCGTGTTAGATACCTTCCTTCATTCATGCTTGAATAGCACAGTCATAAAGACGAGTACACACTATAACTTCTAAATGAGAGCTTTCTATTGATTCCTGACAATTACGGGGGAAGCACATATAGTAGAGGAGAACGGAGTCCTAAATTAAGTTTAACTCTGATATTCCTTTATAAATGATATTTAATACAAAGCCAACCTAACATGCCAGGTCCGAATCCTCTTATGTGTTTCCTACTTTATTTTACTGACTTATATGTAGGGCTCACTATCAAACGGGAACATTATTACGAAGATCTCTCCTGACATATCTGTGTGAAAAGCTTCTGCATAGTATAATTATACATGGTAACTGAAATAATCAGCTAGTTTGAATATATCGTAATACTGGTGTCAAGTTTGATATGACATTTTTGATTTATGAAGAACGACCCAGCAGAAAAATTGTGTGAACATTTTATTTGAAATAACAAATTATATGATAAAATTTGAGCTTTACAATATATAGGGAACAAGAAATAATACAACATCTCTTTGTGAAATGTTTCACATTTATCTTTACCATATTCCCAAATCTGCAGACGACGGATAAATATAGTATCGGCGTTTAGTTTTTTTTCTGAACCGGTTTTACAATCCGGAATAAATATAAATAATAATAAATATAAATTTTAAAGAATACTAATTGCGCGTTAACATTTATACATTTTCAAATCAAAGACTTACTTCAATTTCCTAATGGGAAGATTTGATCCAGCAAATCCTTTTGCAATGAAAAATTGCAATGCTCAACGCTATTTTTAAGGGCTAAGCAGAATGCTCGCGTTGATCCATCCGTTGCGTTATGTGTTATCGAAAATACAACAACCACAAGGAAACGATAACACAAACGCTCGATGTTGATGTGCGCTGTGCTTCGGAGTTAAATATATTTTAACTTTTTGCGTGTGTTAACGCGATAACAAAAAACGCTCAACGCGAGCATTCTGCTTAGCCCTTTAGCGTTTTTGTATGAGTTACATCTACATATGGCAATGACTCAATTAGAGAAAAGATTTGAAAGCGATAGAATTGTAATTTTGCAAGATTTTCATTCATGTTTTTCAATGTTATTCGGAAAATTCAAAATAAAACAAATGTTTTGATATTTCGTATTTTTTGACACTAGCGTTACATACAACAACAATTTTCTATGTGGTTATTGTTGAATTATATTTGTGTATTTTTGAAGTTACCTTGTATAATTGTATCATGATAAAGTGTTTGGCATTGTATGAAATGTCAATTTATAAAGGAATTTCAGTGTTAAACATCATTTCTGGCGCCGTACAAACAGTCGATACTCGTCCTTTAAAACCCTACTGTCGATAAACGCCCCCATTGTTTTGATTGCCTTCGATAGTAGTTATTTGACAAACATTTTTTAAAAAAACAACAAAAAATATTAGATTACAACAAAAACTCATACGAATACTTATTTCGCATAAATATATATGTAAATATAATAAACGAAAAGGAAAAAGCATTTGGAATTGTTGTTGTGAGTCATCTCCCTCTATGCAATTATACAATTCAAAATAGTATTGATAAAGATACTCGACGAAATACGAAATAAAAACACAAACAAAGGGAATAACAAATGTGCATTTGCCTTTGCAGTAGTTATCGGCGTTTTCATTGCTGATTAAATGGCCAGTTTGTTGCCGAATCGGGCTGGAAGTGCATCAGTAAGTTTTGTTCCATTTCATCGATTTGTAAAGAACCGGTCAGCAGTATTTGTTGTGGATGATTTCATGTGATTTGCGTATTTATATATTTAGGGTGCTCAATATATGGATGTGAATTTTGGTGATTCGAGAATTATGGCTGATGTTGAACCAATTTTAGCCTCGTCCGGCGATGGATTTTTCAAAAAATTACCAACAATACCGGTATTTAGGTGAGAGCGATCATAATAAAGTTGTTATATTTATTTTCCATATATATTTTGCGGACATTTAAGATATAGAAACTGAGTACGATATGATAAAATAATTGGTAATCATGACAGCGGGGATTTAGGATGTGATGGGTTTATTCCTCTTTAAATTGTGAAATATGTAAATAAGTTTGTGTGCGTGTTAAAGGAGAGTTGCTGGAAATTCGAAATACAATTGGAACAAACATGCTGTGTTGTATACCATGGACATGTTAGAAAGTCAAACAAAATGTATACCCTACTCAGCTGTGGTGTATGGATATTGTAAATGAGAGTGGCCGAGAAATATTTAAAACTTTTATAACCTTATAATTCCATTCTTTTTGGAAGAGGGAAATAACATTTGACAATTCCTAACATTTTTATAATAAGGATGATAGGTCCTACACCCCCATCATTATGTATATTTAGAATGTAACGTAAAGCGTAACGTAAAGTTTTGGATTTGGACACTCCAAAAAACCCTATTATACTGTATTGTGGAGAAAGGAAGGCATGGGTCCAAGGCTTATAATGTTCAGTCAACACAATAATTCAAAGCGATCGATCATCAGTAACATAGTATCTTTGCTTGGAATGCATGAAAATGTTAACGAATTTATTTATTTATTTATATATTTCATAGTGCCCAGTCTTTCGACCTTAAGGCTGTAAGCTACATTTCACAATTAAATATAATTTTATCGTATTAAGCGGCTTAAATGTAAAAGGGAGGGATATTGAACTACTAAAGAATATTATACCGATTAAATTACAAAAAAAAAAAGTTTTTGATTATTATAGGTTATGATTAAAAAATT